GACGACGATTAGTACACAATATAATGATGCAGTGTTTATTTATAATGCAAGTTGCCTCATTGTTCTTGTCGTCACGCTGTATCGCGAATCATCGAGTAATCTCGTTGGGTAATACGTTTTAATGTAACTATCCTGGTATCGATAGGAAACGAAATGATTTAGTTTATTGATTTATTTTGGTTTTTGTGGTCCGTTAACATTATCGTCAATGGTATGAGGCGGTTACAGTCGTAAATGGGAATGCCGCTCCTGATCTTCATACTTAAAGTCTAAATCTCAATGGTATATAATGACTATCTCAATTTTTTAAACTTGAAGCAAATTAGCTTTGTGCAAAAAAGTTCTAATGAAATACGCACCTAACGAATGTTCACGATTGACTTCCACAGCGAAGGAATAACATCGTGTAATAAAAATCATACCCAGAAAAAAAGCGTAATTCTGCGGGTAGGTATCACCGCCCTGCCTATTTCGGCCGTGAAACAGTAATGCGTTTCGGATTGAAGGGTGGGGCAGTCGTTGTTGTGTAGAAAACTGAGACCTTAAAAGTCATGTCTCAAGGTGGGTGGCGGTATTTACGTTGTTGATGTCTATGGGCTCCGGTAACCACTCAACACCAGGTGGACCGTGAGACAGTCGTCATAAAAGTACTGGGTCAAATGTTCTTTATTTTTTTAATTTGAGGATTATCATCGAGTAGCCGTTGACGAATACGTCAATGAGGAGACATTGCTAGTTACGAGTGGTATATTGGCTGTTCTCCAGAGCGTTCATCTAAGTTGCAATGCTCACGTTCAGAATTTTTATTGGTTCGATCGTTTTCCTTACAACGAATGTGATTAATTTAATTAAAATTATAATTAATTATCTATAATGATGAACCTAAGTTAAAAGTTGCATTACTCGATATTTGGTGGTATTGCACGATTTCATTCTTAAGATCTTTAAGGACAAGGCACCGATGTTTTGTAGTTTAAACATTTGTTAGTAGCGTCACGGGTTCGGCGCATTTTTGAAGTGAAACTTCTTTGGGTGTGTTGACAGTAAAATTTAACTAGCGACAGATTCGTTACGACCAGAGAGAAGAGATACAATTTAGAAAGAGCGAGAGTGAGAAAATAGACAGAACGTCTCGCGAACCACTCGACTGTCGAGAGAGGGAAAGGACAAAGTGAGCTAGGTCGTTTCTCTTATACACGGAATTCCCTATTACAAGAGAAATTTGATTTAAGGACGAAAAATGAAGAACACCACAATACTACACACCGCAAAAGAAGGTTCACTTCTTTCACGTGCACCAAGCTACACGCACACCATCCTTTTTTTTAACATTAACTGTGTGAAAAATACATTCACAAATCTCCGTCTTCAATTAGATAAGTATTAGGTAATACTTACCTAATTCGAACAGCAATCGAACAGAACGAAAACGCATCGAATTATATTTAGTATTATTATAAGTGATATAACACCTCTGACGGTTTGCAATTTTATTTTCTACTACATAGAGACGTTGTTTCTTTATCTCGAGTATTTGGCGTTGAGACAATATTATGTATTCGCTTCTTCACGCCATTTTTTCTCTCTGTGAAATTAATCATCTGCGTCTCCACGGATTGCCGTACCATCCTTCAAACAATCAATCAATCTAATTTTCTTCTTGTATAATATATTCAAACTTCAATTCGACCAATTCGAAATGGCATCTTCTAATTTACATTCTACTTATATCTTTAGTTAATATACTAACACCAATGTTATATTCTGACGATAAGCATTGCTCATACTGATGCATACATATGTAAATTCTATAAAAAAATATAATATTAGACGCAAACACTTAAGGTATGACAGCAATACGCTACGGCAAGCGATATTACTAGTTTAAATAAATAGCTACGGAATCAATTCCAAACTTAGCGACACTGTTATTTAGCTAATCGAAGACACGAGTGGATGAAAAGGGGTTAAGAACCATTTTAAAGATTTTTTGAGTTTCCACATTGAATAATAATAATAATAATAATAAATGTAAATATAAATAAATATTTACTAACAGTCACGCCACGTTAACTGGTCCCGTGATAAGTTCGTAAAGAACTTGTGTTACAGGTACCAAATAATGGAAATAAATGTAAGATTTTTATTATACACATACACATATTTAATATACATCCATAACCCTGGAAAAGACATTTATATTTATCATAGAAATATCTTCCCTTGGCGGGATTCGAACCCGCGACCCCCTTGTGTAGTGACCATGTCACTTATCACTACACCAGACGGCCGTGAATGAAGGTGTTATGTGCCTATAAACCATATTAAACCTTAAAACTCCGGGTTTAAAGACTATTTTTAGAAATTGCATGTCCGTCCGTCCGTTTTCTGAAAATTAACAAATTGTATCATATCCCCTTCACCCACTCATGTCTTTAATTGCATCCAGATTTTATGCTTGACCAGCAAAAATGCCGCTGGTCATCTGATTATGATTCTATTACTGACCGTTTATGTAAATAGATAACTTAAATCGGTAAATATAAAACCGTAATTAACGCGAATGATTTTGTTCGTAATCTAGCGGTTTTTTTTTCTTTCTATTGTAGCTTACATGGATAAACACACTCACGTGTTGTGAAGTGTTTACCAACATGGTCCATGTATGTAGCCCAACCCAACGTGAACACAGTCACCTTGAGTAAGTACTACTCTAGACCGACACCACACAACAGCTACGACTGGTAATGAGTTCGTGACCTCGTAATATATTTTCAGTTTTCCTGCATTTTTTTATTGCTTATATGGGTGACGACCTCACGGTCCAACTACTTACCGGAGCCCATAGACATCTACAGTGTAAATGCCGCCACCCACCTTGATATACAACGGTTGCCTGACCCTTTGAACCGAAACGCATTACTACTTCACGGCAGAAATAGGCAGGGTGGTGGTACCTACCCGTGCGCGCTCACTAAACGTCCTACCACCAGTCAGTTACACCCGCTTCATTGTGCCGTGAAAAATCTTCTTTTTTTTTTAGTAGGTGAGCAAACTTGCGACCAAATTGGCGTCTCGAGCGCTCCTCGCTCAAGCCCATAAAAGCTACGATGTACCAATAGAAGTCCCACTTAATAGCACAACCTTTTCCAACCGACATTTTCCGACCGGCAGCTAAAAGCAAATGCTATAGTGCCTGCCTCTTCCTGCTTGAGTCGCATTCCTCATGTCTGAGGGTTGTGACCATCTCCTCACATTATCCTTCTTTGGATGATGTTTCGCCATCCAAACGCCCTGTTACCATCTGTCAGATTGGTTAGAGTTCTTAATAGGGGGCGAAAACGGAGAGTTTGAGAAACATTTTTATCAACATCAACCATTCATCTCTCAGTCTGACTCACTAAAAAAGCGAAGATAGTTGACGAAAACATCAAAATTCACTGGAAGCACTAAACTTAAAAAAAACGATGAGATTGCGTCCACAAGACACAACGAAACCTTGAAGCTGTTTACCCAAGTGATTAAATTTAAATAATATTTGTTTTGGAGGAAAAAAAAACCTTCAAAACATATAACTAATATTGTTTTTACGTATGTTTGTACCGCGACGTGAATGCCTAAGCATATGTTGAATGATGATATCTCACTGGGACGTCGGCTTCGTACTCTTTCCCAATTATATAAACTACTAGCGACCCGACCTCGCTTCCCTTTGGAAACATAAAATTTTATTATTGATAGCTGACTCCCGCGATCTTAACCGCGGTTTTTTTCGTACCGCAGGTGACGCCGCGGGGCGAAGCTAGTCTAAAAGAAGTAACCTAAGTTTCTTCTTAAATCATCAGCTACCTATCAGTGAAAGTCTCGTCAAAATCAGACAGACTGACAGACAAAAATTGTAAAAAATGTTATTTTGGTGTATATAGCTTATGCATGTAGTAAAAAGCTGTTATTTCAATGTTACGAACAGACAACCCAATTTTATTTATATGTATAGATAGATTTGGGGCAAGTCACGACATATCGATAATTACTCAACGGCCGACTTATTAAGTTGTTACCCCGAGCCCATAGGCATCACAACGCGATAGACACCACCTACCTTGAGATATTATTATCTAAAATACAGAATGTAACCTTTGCCGACACCGAAGATAGAGCAAACTATTGCTAATACGATACTAATAAGGTTCACAATGGAAAATATAGCTTAATTTTTTTTTTCTTACAATGTACCGTAACAAAAAATTTACTGTTGAAATTGTATGGCTATTGGCACTTCAAGAAAGTTTTCTGTAATAGTATTATCAACATACAACTATATATGTGTTTTATTCATTTAATTATATTTCACGGTAGTCAGATAAATCAGGCAAGAGTTAATTTGTAATTTAAATGTTTTTATTTAATTTTAGTTTATGTATTTTTATTAAAACCTTATTCACTGTTAATGAGCATTCCATCATCAGTTGTTTGAGAAATCATTTTTAACTATATTCGTCGCTCATTTTGTATATTGTCAATTTTTTTATTTCCAAACTGTATACCTTCATTATCTTATCTTATTTCATAACCTTTCATATTATATGTGTATATATAACAACATAGTGAAGCATGCATTGAGTATTTCCAAGCACTTTTAATTCATAAATTATTAACAGCCATCATCTTTAATTCTGAAAATCTTCACTTCCATTAGGTCATGAGACCTGAACAAAGTAGCCAAATACTCATTTTCATTGAATTTCAATACTATGTTTCATGACAAAACGCATACAATCTAAATTGAAAACTTGTCTTTTGAAACTGATTACAAAATGACATTCCATGTACATGGTGATGCAAGTTTAAGACCGTACATAACAATATCTTAGCAAAACCTCAACCTCTAGCGTCATTTGAGTCAATCCTAGAACATCCTACATCCCCAGCCTCATATTCGTCTGTGCGCCCCCGTCTATGCTTATACGAACAGGCATGCAGTAGAGAAGTATAGCAACCTGTGACTCTTTGTCGTAGCGTTTCATCCAGCTCCTTGTCAGCCTTCTGCGCCTCGGGGTTCGGTTTGGGTGCCGCCGGGAACACCACCAGTACGATACTCATGTTGTCTTTGCTTCCCTGTAACCAAGTTTAAGATTCAATTTTTTTTTTTAATTTAACTTACGTCTAATGCATTTTACATGCTTTTTATGCATCCGTTTTGAGGCCACTAACATTTTTATAATTATTTTATTTATGATGCTTATGGTCTATCAACAGTAAGCATTTATGAATGCATCACAAAATACATATATTTTATGCACATAAGTATATAACTATGTCTTGATCATTAAATACTAAAAATTGAAAAGCTTTCCTTTGTATTTTAGTTTGAAAAGTGTATTATGCTGTAGGCAATAACTATTCAGTGCCCCTAGCAAAACTGATAAATAGCAACAGGATTTAGTCAATTCCTTGTCTTTTTTAATTTCGTCTATGGGTGTAGAATTCCTTCTTAGTAGTTGTTCAGGTCTTAATATTGATTGCATTTGTGATCAACTGTGATAATTTCATCGTAACTTACAAAACTAGAGTTTGTTTGTTTGTTCTTCATACTACTATTTCAAATGAATCCCTACTTTTTCATTCTTTTTCAAACAACAAAATTTTATGCATATCTATTGAATCTATAATACCATTCTGTTTGTAATCTAGAAATATAACATCCGTTATATTTACCTAAAATTCTCAACTCAGGCAACAGATGTAACACTGTTTTTGCCAACCAAATATTCAAACATGCAGTTTTTGTTCTTTTTTTTTCTATCCATGGCCAGTGGATAAACTGGCTTAAATATAATCTAAGGATTTTTTTTATTTTTATATCACATTTTTATGTCACTTAATTTGAAAGGATTGAACATTCGTGCAAATGATATTTTAGCACCAATTACAAATCCTCTGAATTCCAGCTACCAAGAAACATTAGTTAATAGGTGTTCTCTTTTTGTTTCTGAATGATAGTCTTCTTATTACACACCAAATACGTATTTCTGATCACTAACATTTGTTATAAGAATTTAGTTAACTTTAGTAGACATTTGGCTCAATAAATTCCATTAATATTATATTAATATTTAATAATTTTAATAGTATCATTTTTAATGGTATCATCAAAATCAAACATTTCTCTGACAATGAATATCTTGAAACTAAAAGACTGTTTTGCATTGTTATGTAAGTTTAATTTTAATTCTGTTTTTTTTTCAGGGTTGAAAGTAAATTGATTTTTGTATTAAATAATAACAACAAATATCTGAAAAATATAACAAATGTGGCCACTCATCCTTTTCTGCTAAATACTGAGAGGTTGCCTATTGAAATTCTAAGGTATGTGAGTATATTTATTCTTATACTAAATAAATGTTGATATACATGGATGATCTATAATGTTGTATTAGTATCTATGTATTCATATATTTGATTATTCTAATCAACACATTAAAACTTTATTTGTAATAATGACTCATGTTTATCACAGCAGAATCAACCTTGCAATTCACTATCTATATTATTATATTAAATTTCATTGATGAAGGTAAAGCAACTTCCTTTGTACACTTGTTGGCACTCAAATTGGAATGAATCAACTACTTTTGTCTACTAATTATCAATGTTATTTTTATATAAATGAAATATTTGGCATGAATAAAGTAGAGGAGTTATAAATAAATAATAAGGGTAGGAAATTTAAATGTTTCACTTATTTCAGAAGTATGTGCATTATCTGTTCCATAATTTGCATCAACTCCTTACTGTACAGACTATTAAATATTGAGGTATCAGATGCATTACCTTATAAAGGCAGGTATCAATGACTTGATTGGTGATAGCCACAAGGTCATCAGTGAGCTGCAGTAAAGAATGCACATATGCACACAGTGCATCATTACTCATGACATCCCAAACTCCATCACACGCCAATACCATGAATTCATCTTCTGCTTCTGATCTCTCATGCAGAAATACCTCCGGCTCTGGAGAAACTAGTTGCTCGCACGGACCACGGTTCGACAGCCTCTTGTACTGATAATCACCAAGCGCTCGAGAAACAGCTAAGCTACCATTGACGCGTTGAATCATGACTGAACCGCCAGCTTTGACAATACGAGACTTCTCAGATGGTAACTCAGGTTTATGATCTCGTGTGGCAAAAATCGGAATACCGCCGCGGGCCAGTACAGCGCGAGAATCGCCACAGTTCGCGATGTATATCTGTTCGGGAGAAACGAAAGCACACACGGCCGTCGAACCAGACTTCTCTTTACCGTTGGACAGCTCGGGAAGCTCGCTCATTTTTTTATCTAAATCCAGGAAACCAGTACGGATTGCTTCAGCTATGTCTTCACGCCGAAACTCCTCCGTCTGCAGAATACATTCAAGAAGATTTTCTGCACAGTGTGCGGAGACCCGAGCTCCCGCATGTCCATCAAACACGGCGAAGTACGACCAGTCCGAGAGTGTACCGTTCAGAGTGAGCTGCGCGTGATGCGCGTCCTCCATCTCCACACGCCACCCCTGCATCGACGCCACGCCATAGCGAAGACCGTTTCCTTCCCCGCTCTCGTTATATTTTTTGGTCTCGGGCTTATTTAAAAACGCCCCCATACTTAGTCCTAGTTCACCGTATCGTTAATCGCACATAATTTCCACACCATCAGGCACTTAGATTCACGTCGCGAACGATAACGTAAAAGACGAGTTGAAGCATCACTGTGATACGATCTCACGCAATCACGTCAACTATTTTTACGTTACACTTATAGGCAAGCAAGGGTTCTTCCAAACCCAAACACTTTTATGCAGCTTGTCTGTTTCTTTTTTATTGAAGGTTAATTATTACGCGATGCTATTGCGTAGATCTCGATGACAAATCGAGCTCATAGGAATCGTAAAACGAAAAAGTAAATGAAAAGGATGAATGGCGGACATAAATAGTAATTGTCTATGATTTGACTTTTTAAAATTTTCAGATGTAGCTATAGATTTGAACCAGAACCACAAAATTAGCTATGGATTTTTTGCATTAAGCAGTGGATTTGGAAAATATTTTTAAACTATAAATTAAATTGAATCCCTGGGGGGTAATACCTATGATGTTAAATTCATCCACTAATATTTGTATATTTATTTACCGTAACTGAAATTATGTTTTTTTTATTTGTTTTGACCTATGCAGGACATCCAATCCTATTTCCGTAGGATAGCTGTCGAAGCACTGTGATATGTGACGAATATTGATCTTCTCCACAACTTCTAGACGTCTAGAATTGAACGCTACTTTCATAAAGCAGTGCGACACGATCATTCATTTATCGTGGCCAACGCTTTATTATAACCGGCCCAGGCGACTCCGCGATGGGGCAAAGCCGAACTTTCGTCGTCCAAAACATGTCTTGTCGGATCCTCTAAATGCACTTACGGTACGCTTAGGCTATTCAAGTACCAATCACTGTCCTTGTCGTACCTACTTGTCAATGACGAAGAGCTCGATGAGCGAACTAACCCATAGACCACTGAGTTTCTCCCAGATCTTGACAGTGGATCACGATTCCGATTCGGTAGTAAATTCAGCGAACTGCTCTTGCTGCGGCCAGCGTTAGCATTTCTCTCAGTTTGAGTCTGTGAGCTCACCTGTCTATCTGTGCACAGTTGGAATAGCCCCATAAGCTATCAACGACTAAGCGTGGAAAAAAAAATTTAAGAATATGGTAAAGTTATTTCTCCTTGAAGTAGGTATTTATAATTAAACAAATAGTTTAGATAATTTTCTTTATCTATAAATGAAAGGAAATGGACAGAATAACAAAATTAAATGTCATGTTTCAGTATGCGATATCACGTGGATATCACTAACTAACTTATGTATATTATTTATAATATCACTACTCATACAGTTTGATTTCGTATTTTAATATTGCCGACTTGTAAAATACGAATAGTTTGCGTGGTCATGGATGACTAAGGTGCTTTTTATCAATCGAATAGTGATTAACAAAGCAAACTACCGTCTAATTTATTAGACACTACCTTATGATTTATAATAAAAATTTAAGTATAGAAAAGATACAATTTGTCTACAAGGAGTAAGGAGCGCTGTAACCAACGCGAGGAGCAAAGTTGAGTGAATTGTTATATTTTATTAATTAAGTGCTTAGATTTAAATGTGCAATGACGGTAGTTTATTAACTGCTTAGCATCTGTGAAGGTGCAGAAATGAGGGAAATGAAATAAAACCTCTGGACATGGCTTCTCAAGTTCTTATAAAAAGTCCACTGAAAAAGTCTCAGTAAATGAACACCACTTAACTGAGATTATATTTCATCCCAAATCATCTCATCTCATCTGATTTGATTTTATTTCATTTCATTTCACTTCATATTAACATTTTTCATATAAAAATATGAAATATACATATGTAATTTTGTAATTTAGATAATAATATAAAAGATTAGACTGTATAGTATGACATCTTTGCCTTTCCGGTTGGAAAAACAATACTACTACTACTACTCAGATTTATAGGTTATAGCTACATAGTAGAATAAAAATAAAGGTTTAAAGAGCGATAGATCTCAAATATATTAAGTGTATAATTTATGACGATAGAGAACCTGAGAGAACCTATGCATAGATGCTATTTAGTAATTTAAAATTTAAAAAAACGGTGTATTAAAATTGTGCCTTTACTCTGATTATTATTTTAATTTTTTTATTGACACTACTTTAACAAATGTCTCTTAGACTTTATTTAATAAGCAAACTGTAAACAAAATATACATCTATAAAATGTATAGAAATCTGCTCTTTAACAGGTATTAACAATGATTAAATTGAGATACGAACACAGAAACTGATAAATTTAAGTACTATCTACAGTATTATCTTGCATTTCAACAGGCTTCCGGTAAAATTATTACACAGGGAGTACCAGCTACCAAAAGTCAGCTGTTTTATAAAAGCACATACAAATAATAATTTGAAAGTTAGACGAATTTCTATATCTGTAGTATGCTGGAAGAAAAGACGATCGGACGAAGAAAAGGTAGTTAATTATGATAACTCAGGCTTGGTTTCTAGATACTAATAGATTACCATGATGTCCAAAAAGTAATGATGAAAATATATTCTGGACACTAGACACCAGTCCTTATCAAAGTTTAATCTACATTATATAGTTAATAAAATAGTCTGGACATTACCATAAATACCATACCATTAAAAAATATGTATAAATGGCTTTTATCAAAATATTATGGCATGGAACTAACTCTTAATCTATATTGTTATACTTCTTTATTTACTGGAATCTTAAAATTGTTTAGTGAAACCAAATAATTATGCACATTGCACTATTTGTACTATTAGCTATTTGAAATTGAAAAACAAAGTAATGTTGAGATTGTGAATACAAATTAAACTATGCTCTAACTTATTACAGGCAGCAGTTAGTCAGGGTCGATCGGCAATCAGATATTCTCCAAAAGCTGGTTCAGAGGTTGTAGGGATTTGGAGGAACATGACAGTACAAGATGTTGCTGATGTGCTGAAAAAGGATATTGGTATGATATTTATTATTATTTATAAAAAAATCTGTGTCCAGAATTGAACTTTATTTGGTAATTACTGGAAGTCTCTGGGCATAATTGTATAGTAAAAATAAGAAAAAATATGTAACAATTACCTAAAATATGTAAAGAAGAATTCAACATTTATACTCAGTAATGTAAGTCAGTATTTTTTTGTAAGTTAAAATAATTAATTTTAATAATGTGTTATTTAACATTACTAAAATTAATTATTTTTTTATTTATTATTTTATTAAATTAATGTACATTAATTTATCTAATATGTAGATATTAGTCCCCAGTGACACTAATTCTAAATGCTTACCTTAACTTGAATGAAAAATAAATAAATAAAGCCACTCCTCATGACAAAATGGACATCTATTTTTCAGACCATGTTTTTAAAGTGCTAAATTTTGCTGACAAAACTGGAATGACATACAGAAAGGATACAGTCATACACAATCCACAGGTGGTCAGGGACATTGTCAAAATATCAGGATGCAGATTTAAGTTGGTAGCAAGACCTGATGCTGAAATCAAAGATGAGGAGGTAGACTTTTCAATATTGAATGAAACAAACATTTATTTTCTATTAATAAAATTCATACATAGTTATTCAATTTTGAGTGCTTGATATACCAAATGTTTTTGCATGGTAATAATATGAAGACTATTTTCCAATGTATTCGCAAAATATATTTTCAATTTCAAATTAATCCAATGTAAATGACTTTGCCTTAAGTAAAAAGATAGGTAGCGACATTGTGAGTGAAACAAAGTGTGTTGTCTATTTCTTCCAAATAACTAATTAATATCAGATGTTGGGTGAAGGCATTGGCCTGTCTTCACTAATAAAAAGGACTTTGCACTGCATTTAATTTCTGTAACCTAAACCTGTTCAATATCTCCTATACAAGCAGTATTTGTCTTGGTACAGAACAAGGACGCAGTTCCGGCGCCTCCTGCGGCCGAGGAGGCGCTCCGGCCCCGGCCTCCCGTGGTGTGTGTGATGGGGCATGTGGACCACGGAAAAACTACTCTACTAGATGCTCTCAGGGACACAGCGGTAGTGGAAACAGAGTTTGGGGGTATCACTCAGCATATTGGAGCTTTTGAGGGTACATCCATTTGGATACTCCTTGCTAACGGATAAGTACTATATAGCTACTGTAGCTGTGTACTGTTATTGTTGATTAGTTTGATTTGAGTTGAAAAAATTATTGACAGATACAAATGAACTCATAAATAGAGCCAACCAGCCATATTGCGCAATGTCTCATTTTGACATGAATAATGTTTTTTTTTGTATCCCTACCTATTGCCTGATAGTCTAAAGGGTAATCCCAGCTACGGTGTGATTGTTGGTGAGCTTGCGGGGCTCAAAAGAAAATATGCTAATATTGGCCCTAGCAAGAGCAGTGCTTTGAAATCTCACTAAGAAGATCCGGCGAGAAACTCAGTGGGTTGTGTTTATGGGCTAGTTCGAGTCTGGTGCTTGAAAACATTGTTTTTTTTTAATCTGTGGTCAGTCATAGGACTATGACCGGATTAGTTGCTGTTGTCATAGTGGATCTTCTGTATGTAGTCTCTGGATATTGCGACTTTACTGAAACATCGACTTTACAGAAGTCGTCGTGGCCTAACGGATAAGACGTCCGGTGCATTCATGTTGAAGCGATGCACCGGTGTTCGAATCCCGCAGGCGCGTACCAATTTTTCTAATGAAATACGTACTCAACAAATGTTCACGATTGACTTCCACGGTGAAGGAATAACATCGTGTAGTAAAAATGAAACCCGCAAAATTATAATTTGCGTAATTACTGGTGGTAGGACCTCTTGTGAGTCCGCACGGGTAGGTACCACCGCCCTGCCTATTTCTGCCGTGAAGCAGTAATGCGTTTCGGTTTGAAGGGTGGGGCAGCCGTTGTGACTATACTGAGACCTTAGAACTATATCTCAAGGTGTGTGGCGCATTTACGTTGTAGATGTNCAAACCCGCAAAATTATAATTTGCGTAATTACTGGTGGTAGGACCTCTTGTGAGTCCGCACGGGTAGGTACCACCGCCCTGCCTATTTCTGCCGTGAAGCAGTAATGCGTTTCGGTTTGAAGGGTGGGGCAGCCGTTGTGACTATACTGAGACCTTAGAACTATATCTCAAGGTGTGTGGCGCATTTACGTTGTAGATGTTTATGGGCTCCAGTAACCACTTAACATAAGGTGGGCTGTGAGCTCGTCCACACATCTAAGCAATAAAAAAAAAAAAAACTAACAATTACCAACATAATTACTACAGTGTTATCGCATGGGTATATTAACGAAACTAAAGTTTAAAGTGTTTTTAGTTGTTTAATAAATGTTCAACAGTGAAACTGCCCAGTGGTGGGAAGGTGACATTTCTGGACACTCCCGGACACGCGGCCTTCACGTCCATGAGGAGTCGCGGCGCGCACTCCACCGACATCGTGGTGCTGGTCGTCGCCGCTGACGATGGGGTCATGGAACAAACACTCGAGTCCATTCGAATGGCGAGAGAAGCTAACGGTCAGTTCTTTATAAATCTGATAACATACACACACACCCACACACACACACACACACACACACACACACACACACACACACACACACACACACACACACACACACACACACACACACACACACACACACACACACACACACACACACACACACACACACACACACACGCATGCAGCAACGCACGCACACTATGGTGGGACACGAATAGTATACCAGAAAGTCATGTCCTCAGTGTTTGAAGGTTGTCGAATTTATGACCTGGTAACTAAGACCTTTAAATCATGTCTTATTTTAATTCATATTCTTATTTTTATGAAAAATGATAATATGGAGTGAAATGAAATGAAGATGATTAATTTGAAACATTAATCAACTGGGATGAAATAAAATGAAATGAGATGAGATGATATGGGATGAAATATAATCTCAGTAAAATGGTGGTCATTACTGAAATTTTTCAATGGAATTTTTGAGAGGGTCCCGAGAAGTTACGTCTAGCGGCTTTGTTTCATTTTCCCACATTTGTGCACTTTCACAGACTTTAAACAGTTAATAAGCCACCGTTACTACACATTTAAACCCGAAGAAACACTAAATAGACAAAATAAAACAAATCACATAACTTCACTCCTCGCCATCCCGCCAAAAAGTCTTGAAAACCGTAAAGTACTCAAAGCGTCACAGATAATACACGAGATTAAACCCTGAAAAAATAATCGCGAAAACCGATGATAATTCTAAAATATTGTTCACAGTTCCTATATTGGTGGCCATCAACAAAATCGACAAACCAGGTGTGAACGTTGTAGGTATGCTTCAATCTTACATCGATCTTGTGCTAATGCGCGCCGTCGGGTGTGTGGCCGGCCCTGAATTGAAATGCAGTGTATATGTTGGCTATTTCTGAGTTATTGTACTGTATGTACTTACACGTGCATTTTCATTATGTGCTCATACTTGTAGTCTGCGATAACCTTTCCGGTCATCGTCCTCGTCGAACTCGTCGCTTGCGACGAAGGGCTCGACGAGTAAATTAACCTACAGACACAGTCCACTGAGTTTCTCGCCGGATCTTCTCAGTGGGTCGCGTTTCCGATCTGTTGGTAGATTCTGCGAAGCACGGCCCAGTGAGCTCACCTACTAGTTAAGGTTACGGTCAAATAGCCACTCCAGTAACCACTTAACACCAGGTGGGCTGTGAGCTCATTCACCCATCTAAGCAATAAAATAAAAATGATCATAGTATAGTTATTAGATATTGAATGAATGGAAGGTCCCCCTGGCAGGAGCGCGTGTTGCGCGGGCTGGCCCAGCACGGCGTGGTGTGCGAGCAGGCGGGCGGCGACGTGCAGGCCGTGCCGGTGTCGGCGCTGCGCCGCCGGAACCTCCACGCGCTGCTCGAGGCCCTCACCCTGCAGGCGCAGCTCATGCAGCTCCGCGCCGACCCCGCCGGACAGGTCGAGGGCGTCGTCATTGAAGCACTGGTCGACCCTAGGACCGGGTGGGTGCCGTGACCCCCTACAGCACTAGCGGGCTCACTTTTAATTTGCATTCATGTCCGAACGAGAGAAAAACTTTGAACCCCTTTTTACGAAAATTGCGCGGACGGTGAAGTATAAAATTTCCCACACTTATAGAGAATGTAGAGAAGGATTGCACAGTTCTAATATTTTTTTTAATTATGCATAAGAAATACATTAAATCAATAAAAAAAGCATTACACACACTACTTATTAAACTTAAAAACTTTTCTTATTGCTTATAGTCTGTGGTCAAATTGAGAATAGATTAAATATGATTTGTCCTTATTTCTATTATTCTATTTGTCTAAAGTGTAGTCTTGGTGAAATCTGTGATTATACAACATGTAACATAATTAACGCACACCCTGAAAGTAATTTGTTCAGAATCGGAATCTCGATCGATTTTGATTGTTTTTATGTACCAAATTTTTTTTCAAAAATTGTGTTAAAACTAAGTAAATTACAGTCACCCTACACAGCTAGCTAAACAGTTCATAGAAACGAAAATGGAACGTAAGTCAGGGTACTAAAACTTTTTAAAATGAAATATCTAATTAGTAAAAAAAAATATTATTTAATTAAAGAAATCTGATACTTATTTCAAGGCTAATAGTTTATTACAAAATAAAATACCTACGCACACAATACCAACAGCGACCGCCGGCACACAGCAACACTACAATACATAAAAGAAAGCCACGTAATACAAAAATAATTACTATCCCTTTCTTTCGTCGGCTTAATATTCTTACAATAGACGGCAGGCTAATCCCGATGTTCGCGGCGACGCGGTTGCGTCGGCGGTGATCAAAGAAAAATCTAAACAACGAAGTCAACAACATATTTTTGACAAGTCAGTCACGCCGCCACCACCTTATCGATAAGAGGTCAAATGATAGTGCAAATAAAATATCTCCCGTATTTCGCTATGTCTTTTCGGTCAGTGGCCTCCTGGATCAGCTCAGTGGATCAGCTGATTTGACGCCTCTCGACTTTTTTTTGTGGGGGCGAATTAAATCGCTAGTTTATAACACACAGACAATAAGTGCCGAAGAACTAAAGAATAAGATAATAACCGCCTTTGATAAAGTGAAAAGTGACATTGCAGTATTATCTAAAATAAAACAACAAATACGAAAACGGTCATTAAAGTGCATTGAACAAGGGGCGCGGCGAGTAGGTGTCTGTGTGTGCGTGCGCAGCGGAGTGTGAATCGGTGACCATTTTATTTCCACGAAATGGGAATAACTAATTTCACAAATAATCAATGTTAACGCACATATAAATAATATTTGGTGTATGCATAGCGTTTATACTATTAAAGTCTAATTGGGGTGTTTGAGGGTGTGCGTTAAATATGTTACATTTTGTATATACAACATGTAACATAATTAACGCACACCCTGAAAGTAATTTGTTCAGAATCGGAATCTGGATCGATTTTGATTGTTTTTTATGTACCAAATTTTTTTTCTAAAATTTAGTTAAAACTAAGTAAATTACAGTCACCCTACACAGCTAGCTAAACAGTTCATAGAAACGAAAATGGAACGTAAGTCAGGGTATTAAGACTTTTTAAAATGAAATATCTAATTAGTAAAAAAAAATATTATTTAATTAAATAAATCTGATACTTATTTCAAGGCTAATAGTCTATTACAAAATAAAATACCTACGCACACAATACCAACAGCGACCGCCGGCACACAGCAACACTACAATACATAAAAGAAAACCACGTAATACAAAAATAATTACTATCCCTTTCTTTCGTCGGCTTAATATTCTTACAATAAACGGCAGGCTAATCCCGATGCGACGCGGTTGCGTCGGCGGTGATCAAAGAAAAATCTAAACAACGAAGTCAACAAAATATTTTTGACAAGTCAGTCACGCCGCGTCCACCTTATCGATAAGAGGTCAAGTGATAGTGCAAATAAAATATCTCCCGTATTTCGCTATGTCTTTTCGGTCAGTGACCTCCTAGATCAGCTGATTTGACGCCTCTCGACTTTTTTTTGTGGGGGCGAATTAAATCGCTAGTTTATAACACACAGACAATAAGTGCCGAAGAACTAAAGAATAAGATAATAACCGCCTTTGATAAAGTGAAAAGTGACATTGCAGTATTATCTAAAATAAAACAACAAATACGAAAACGGTCATTAAAGTGCATTGAACAAGGGGCGCGGCGAGTAGGTGTCTGTGTGTGCGTGCGCAGCGGAGTGTGAATCGGTGACCATTTTATTTCCCCGAAATGGGAATAACTAATTTCACAAATAATCAACGTTAACGCACATATAAATAATATTTGGTGTATGCATAGCGTTTATACTATTAAAGTCTAATTGGGGTGTTTGAGGGCGTGCGTTAAATATGTTACATGTTGTAGAAGTATAATAGTCTGACAAAACCATAATAATGTTCAAACTTATAATTTCAATTACTTCTAGTCGAATTTGGACTACCGTGGTCCCCCACTAGTTTGTCAAATATCTTGTGTTCTATGATGGCTACCGCCGCAACCTCATCCATTGCTAAAAGCATATCTACAACACGTCGCATTGCGAGGCACACACTGACCGCGACGGTTGCTACACTAGTTGGTGGACACTAAGGGCCGAGTCATACCAGAATGGCAGCGGCCGGCAGCGATGCCATCGGCCACCGGCGGACTCGCGCGTCCTCCAGACTGCACGCGCCTATTCTCCTCTTGACTAGTTTAGTTTCTTCATTCGGCAATGATACTCGTGTGTTTGGAGTGAACATGATGGAATTGGTTATTATATATGAGGGCGGTGTCGCAAGCGGCCTCGTGTCGCCGCTGGCAGCAGTGGGCAGAACCACCGACAAGACATACGTGGCGCGCGGCCGTTCACTTCACCGGGGGCGGGCGGCGGCTGTGTCGCGACCTTTTCAAGCTTTGCAAACGATACTGATCTTTTCAGTATATAGATAAGATTTAAAATTATTTCACACTGAAAGTAGTGCCTAGCACTAGCCGCGACGCTGCCGGCCGCTGCCATTCCGATGTGACTCTGCCCTAAGAGTCCGTTTGTGTTGTGCAGCAAGCAGGCGACGGTGCTGGTGCGGCGCGGGACGCTGCGGCGCGGCTGCACGCTGGTGGCGGGCGCGGGCTGGGCCAAGGTGCGCGCTCCTACACTCCCCGCTAGTCCGTAAGGCGCAGGGGGGGCCCTCCGCCGGCCCCCAGTCGCAGGGAGCCGCGAGGGCGCTGGTCCCCTACATCCAACTACCATATCCTACTTTCGAAATGTAACGAAACTCCCACAAAAAACTCAATTACTAATCGAGCCGTAATATCAGGGGTTAAAGTATAAAATTGCGATTTATACTGAAAAATTGAAATTCCTTTTTTTCCATTTAACATATTTATTTAATTAAAATATCTATCATTGTTACCTATACATTGCTGCCATCTAATAGGAAGCTCATTTATGCCTTTGCGATAGAACTCTGCTGATCTAGATGGTACAAGTTGTGTGAAAGCATTTTTTACTGCCTCCTGAGAAGAAAACGTTTTATCACGTAGAAAATTGTCCAAATCACGAAAAAAAAATGGTAGTCCGTCGTAATATCCATCCTTCTTGTCTAAGCTGAATAAAAAAATAAAAACTAAAAGTCCATAATCGAATGTTGCACATTTTTTAAAAGAAGGACCTCATAGGTACCATTTGAAAAAAGTTTCACTCAAAAATCTCAAACCATGAAGGTTCTATGTCAATTCGAATGTACCTATTACAAGAAAACAGCAATTTCATACTTTAACCCCTATTATTAACAGACTTGTTGAGTGACCGGAGCCAACCCGGCTATTTTATCCCGTGATTTCTAAAACTTTTATTTAAAATAATTTTGTGCCCATAACTATTTACTGCTTAAATGGGTGGATGAGCTTATGGCGTACCCGGCAGTACCTGGTTACCTAAGCCCATAGACAGCACCATGTAAGCGCCGCTGCCCACTTTGAGTTATAAGGTCAAAGTCAGAACTATGTGGTACAGCAGCTGTCTCACACTTAGAACTAGAACACATGACTGATCCGCGGCAGGAATAGTTGTAATGTCGGTCCCCACGCCTCACCGGCACGCGTCGGTTGGCGGCCTCAGTACGTCATAACTAGAGATGGGTCGTACTAGGTATATCACGTCCTTACGGATCCATCAGATCCAATAACCTTTGCATTAGACGCCTTCAGCTCTAACACTAGGAGCAGGCTTAGGGACCCCGGTAACCGTACTCGTCGAACTCGACAAAGAGTTCGCCGTGCAACCTAACCTATGAATCAGCTCACTGAGTTTCTCGCCGGATCTTCTCATCGGGTCGCGATTCCGATCCGGTAGTAGATTCATTCGCGAAGCAGCTGCTCTTGAGCTGTTAGGTCTCCTTCGGAGGCGCTCGGGTAGCTGTTAGCAAATCCCACCCCCCCTGGCTGAGCCTTTGCTCGCCCACCTGTCCTGGTGAAACTGGAAAGGCCTCCGGGCCACCAGTAATTCTTCAATCATAAAAAAAAAAACTAGCTATATCAGATACTAGGTCCACCTGTTCCTAATCTTAAGAAATACCTAATTCAAATACCTAATCCACATAATCTTCCTAATCTCATTCACAACCAATATTTTACTTAGCAAGTAATCTCAATCTGTCTATTCTTAATCTCAAGTTCTGTGTTCGTTATTAGGATTTGATTAATGTGATCGTTGGATCATTATTTGAATGGAAAATGTGAGTGAGTAAGATAGCTCAGGAACAGGTGGAAGCGTATGCTGAACATTTGATTTTATGTTTTAAGAATACGAAGATTAGGTGCAACAGGTGGATTATACAAATTGACAAAATGGGCTTAGGTGCAGCCTAATCTCGTAAAATACCTAATACTAGGGTCTGTTCTAAGAAATCCGACTCATCTCTAGTCACAACACTCCGAGAGCTCTGCTGCCCACATTCCAGTGAGTACCCTAGTCGCCTTGCGACACCTCGAGAGAGGCGTGGGGTGGCGCTAGGTCTAGGCTATACTCAATAACTAATCTGGATTTGTGTTTACAAGTGAACAAATACAGCGCGTTTAAAGGATCCAATAATTGCGGTCAGGTCCGCATGTTGAGGTCGGCGGAGGGCGCGTCCATAGACGAGGCGCCCCCCTCCAGCCCCGTGGTGGTGCTCGGCTGGAGGGAGCTGCCTGCCGCCGGGGACCTGGTGCTCGAGGTCGCCTCTGAGGTTAGCTTTTTTTTTCTTTTTTTTATTGCTATGATGGGTGGACGGGCTCACAGCCCACTTGGTATTAAGTGGTTACTGGAGCCCATAGATATCTACAACGTAAATGCGCCACCCACTTTTAGATATAAGTTCTAAGGTCTCAGTATAGTTACAACGGCTGCTCCACCCTTCATATCGAGACGCATTACTGCTTCACGGCCGAAATAGGCGGGGCGGTGGTACCTACCCGCGCGGACTCACAAGAGGTTCTACCACCAGTAAAAGAGTTGTGTTATCGCATCTATGCCAACGCACAGACGCAATTTTATTCTGCATATTTACGCTACAGCTTCGAATTAAATAGTAACATTTTTTTCTAGTTATCTGTTTGATTTTACAGTGTAAATAGTATATGATAAATATAGTAAGTGTAAATAGTTTTATTGGTAAAAATAACACTAATTTTCGATTTATATTTATATTAGTTAGTATCTTAGTAGTATATTAGTATCTCTTTATATTGTTATGTCCTTGATATAAAGCGTTGACCGAAGCCCTTAGAAATCCGTTTCACTATCCGACGGCTTCGCAATAGAAATGAGTAGGACGGCGGTGCCCAACCCCCTCCTTTCCCCTCCACAGAAGCGCGCGGCGGAGGTGATGCGGTGGCGCGCGGCGCAGCGCATGAAGGAGAAGCAGCAGTCCGACTCGGAAGTTATCGAAGCCAAGATGTCGGAGCACCAGCAGCGGTACCGGGCCATGCTGTCCCGGAAGCGGGCGATGGGCCGCTACAAACTGAAGCCGGAAGGTCCGCGGGAGAAAATGATCAAGGAGGACACGCATCCCGCGCTCAACGTCATCGTCAAAGGTACCGCCACAATCTGCTCGCGGCTCGCCCGTGTCAGAGATCAACAAACAAACATGTCGTTAGTCATATTTTATAATACGTACGGACGGATGTTTTAACAAAATGTTCTTATAGATGTACACATACATTATACAACTTATATGTAATCAAAGTTAAATGTGACTAAAGATCATGTGCACATTAAATTATTATTCTATTAAACATAACATAACATATGATTTATAATAATAATGCTTTTATTACCCGATAATTTTACATTTTAAGCTAACAATTTCAAGTAGACTAAAAAAATAAAAAACAATATAATAAACTAGCAGACCCGGCCACACATTACTGTGGCTAAGGTTTTTTTTTTCAAATAACACGTAGCCGGCTATGCTAATACCAAAAATTAACAAAGTAAGAACAATTGGATTTCAATGTATTGCGTTTACTACGAAATAAATATACCTTAACCTCAGCAACTCGTGGTGTTGGTTTATGCTATTAAATTGTAGCTTATGTGAAACGTTGGTATTTTTAGCACAGCGCCATCTATGAGATATTAAAATCAGACAGTATTACAATTGTCTGTAAAAACTGATTTAAGGCGCCATCTGTTTTAGACTTATGAAACTTACAATTAATAACAATAATCAACATAAGAAATAATTTGATTGTAAATTAATAAAAAATGCGACCATTAATTGAAATAAAACTCATCCTATGGCCTAAGTTGGAACAATATACATATTTTTTTAAAAAAGAAGTTAAAATCGCTTCAGTAGTTTAGGTGTCCATCGCGGACAAACAACGTGACACGTAATTTCTATTTATTAAGATGAAAACAACATATAAAAGTTGCCCGGGCAGAGGGGTTTCCCCGAGGCCCGCTCCGTGCCCCCGCAAGGGGGTTCGATGACCCCATGACGATATAAAAGTAAAATCTACTCTTCTACTACAAAATGTCTCTCGTCTTGGCGTGCTCTCCTTTCGGCAAAGGCCTTCTCCAACTCTTTCCACTGCTTTCTGTCCGCTGCTACTCTAATCCAAAGGAGTCCAGAGGTAATTTTTAGGTCCTCTCTATGATTGATTTAGCAAATTATATTTATTAGATATTGTAACTAAAATGCATACAATATTAGTAGTACTATCGGATAATTGCCACGGTGATATATTAAAATTAAATTCCGTGAGGACCCCATCCAATGAATCAATCGCGGGCCGCGGCCGGTGCAGCTGTGCCACTGGACACATGCAACTTGTTTCACTCTTTCTTAGTTGTACGTTAAAGGCGAATAAAACCTAGTGTTATTATAAGCTTGATTAGATATATATGTAACAGTCTGCGCAAAAGTGACCTAACCCACAATTTTTTATATTCTTGCTTATATTACAATATATTGATACTTTTTATAAAAATAATAATGTGTTCTGCCAAGTCCTAGTACATTATTTTATTCCATCATCAATAGTTTTCGCAGGGCACGCGATGTAAAGAATATTTTAGGTAATTTTCTTACACTTTGAGTTACATTATTGTAGTTTCAGTAAGGGTCACTAATTAAAAAAAAAAAAATTATAGCCTATATCACTTGGGAATAGTGTAGTTTCCAAACAGTGAAATCATTTTTCAAATCGTTTCAGTAGTTTCGGAGCCTATTCAATACAAGCAAACAAACAAATCTTTCCTCTTTATAATATTAGTATAGACTATGGTAAGATTAGGCCACTTTAGCGCCGACAGCCTCAATATAATGATTGCCGTGTGTGGTCCCCAGGCGACGTGGATGGTTCAGTGGAGGCCATCCTGGACATCCTGGACACGTACGACGACCACGAGCGGGTCCGACTCGATCTCGTGCACTTTGGCGTGGGACAGGTCACGCCCAACGACCTGGAGGTGACTATACACTTGTCTGTACACTGGCGGTAGGACCTCTTGTAAGTCCGCACGGGTAAATACCTCCGCCCTGCCTATTTCTAGAGTGAAGTAGTAATGCGTTTCGGTTTGAAAGGGCAGCCGTTGTAACTATGCTGAGATCTTAGAACTCATATCAATATTTAGCGGTGTGTGGCTCGACACGCGAAGGTCATAATCATTATCATTATCATCAACAGCTCACAGTCGTCCACTACTGGACATATGCCTCTCCCAATCCACACCACTGACCCCGGTCTTCAGCTCTCCTCATCCACTTCTTGCCTGTCACCATTCGGAGGTCATCGCACCACCTAGCCAGGAGGTGTCCCAAGTTACGTTTTCCACTATGCGATCTTCACTTGAGAGCCCGTCTGCTCCAGCGATCGTCAGTTCTACGGCATATATGGCCAGCCCACTGCCACTTCTGACGCGAAGGTCATCCGGCTCGATCTATTTTTAAAACAATAATAACTTGATCATCCAGATAGCGGAAGCCTTCAACGCTATAATATACGCGTTCAACGTGGAGTGCCCGCCTGCGGTCGCGGCGGACGCCAAGGACCTCAACATCTCCGTGAGGAAACACAACGTCATATACCGGCTGGTGGACGACGTCAAGCAGGAGATCACCGCCAGGATACCGGTCACGCAGACCGAGGAAGTCATCGGTAACTCCATCCGCCATTCCTCCCACTGTGTGCTCCCGGGTAGGGGAGCGAGGCCGGGGTAGTCTTGAGGGATCAGGGACTTTCATGGGCGCACGACCTCACACCACGCGGTCCGTAAACTCGTTCGCCAATTAAAATATAACTAGTGGTCCCGCAGTAGTCCAAATTCGACTATAATTAATTGAAATTATAAGTTTGAACGTTATTATGGTTCTATTGTCAAATTATACTATTTTAATCACAGATTTTGCAAAACTACACTATAGACAAATAATATTAAAGATAAACAATATTAATGTATTCTCAATTTGATCACAGACTTTAAACAATAACAAAAGTTTGACAATAAACGAAGAGTTTATATACGTGTGCGTGTCAAATACATGGTAGCATTTTATTGATTTAATGTATTTATTAATGCATATTTTTTAAAAGTATTAGCATTCTGCACTCCTTATCTATATTCTCTATAAGTGTGGGAAATTTCATACTCCTCCGTCCGCGCAATTTTCGTAAAAAGGGATACAAAATTTTTGCTTCACGTATTAATATATACATTAGTAGTTAACTGAAAATTAAAGGATCCGTTGTTATAAACCCTTCGAATCCGGTGTAAGGTATAATTGTCAATAAACTAAAAAGGCGTACGTGTGTCGGCGTCATCGTGACGTCATCATCGCAAGCTGCGAGCGTGCGAGAGAGATGGCGATATGCAACGAGGCACTTTCGAAACCTGGGCGTATCTATCCTTTAAATATCAAAGTTTGCAAACTTGAATGAATGTACAAAGTCAAATGGTTAACATCTCTCGCTATAATGCAGCATGTTATTAGATAAGGCCTAAGTGTTTGTAGGCAACCTATCGATAGAAATCGTTATAAGTTATACTTCTTGCATTTCAATACAAAAAAAGGATAATTTTTTTCTCAAAAATTACCAAAAAAAAATTGGTAAATTTTCCTATAATATGGCAACACAAACGAAATCTACAGGAGATTTCAGACTTTTTTCCGGGAACGCGAGGAGTGAAGTTGTGTGATTTGTTTTATTTTGTCTATTTAGTGTTTCTTCAGGTTTAATAGTGTAATAACGGTGGTTTATTAACTGTTTGATATCTGTGAAAGTGCACAAATGTGGGAAAGTGAAACAAAGCCGCTGGACGCAACTTCTCAGGATCCTTCAAAAAGTCCACTGAAAAAATCTTAGTAAATGACTACCATTTTACTGAGATTATATGTCATCCCATAGCATCTGATTTAATTTCATCCCAGTTGATTAATGTCTCAAATTAATCATCTTCATTTCATTAAAATAAGACTTGACCTAAAGGTCTTAGTTACCAGGTCATAAAATCCGTTAGTAAAAACACGAGATTTCAAAACCTAAGTAAGTATTTAAAGTAACAATGAGTTGGAACAATAACGAACTGCATTCATCTGTTTCTAAATGTTACCCAGGCGAAGCCAACGTGCTGCAGGAGTTCATGGTGTCGGAGGGCAGGAGGAAGGTGCCGGTGGCGGGCTGCCGCTGCGTGCGGGGCTCGCTGGCCAAGAACGCGCTCTACAAGATCATCAGGGGACAGGAAACCGTCTTCGAAGGTACGTCCAACTGGTTTAACTGGGGCTCCTCACCGACACAACACTTACGTAGATCCACTTCTCTTTTTTATTATAAAAAAAAAAATCATCAATAGTTACTGGTGGTAGGACCTCTTGTGAGTTCGCGCGGGTAGGTACCACCACCCTGCCTATTTCTGCCGTGAAGCAGTAATGCGTTTCGGTTTGAAGGGTGGGGCAACCGTTGTAACTATACTTAAGATCTTTAGAACTTATATCTCAAGGTGGGTGGCGCATTTGCCTTGTAGATGTCTATGGGCTCCGGTAACCACTTAACACCAGGTGGGCTGTGAGCTCGTCCACATATCTAAGCAATAAAAAAAGTTATTGAACAATAAAAGAAAATTACTGTAGATCCTTCGATATTCGTTCGGCTATTCGGCGATAGATGGCGTTACTCTTACCGGCGTAACAGTTATCTCTATGATTGAACATTTAGGTAAACTGGTCTCGATGAAGCACCTGAAGGAGGAGGTGCCGACGATAAAGCGCGACCAGGAGTGCGGCCTGAAGTTCGACGACCCCGAGGCGCGCGTGCAGCCCGGCGACACCGTGCTGTGCTACCGCCTGCGGGACGTGGCGCCGCGCACCGACTGGGACCCCGGCTTCTAGCGCCGCACTCCTCGCACCTACCCGTTACACCATCTGCCGTCTCGCTCACACGACCGTATTATCCGACCCGAGGAAACCCTCACTCATACCCGTTATAGCATCTGCCGACTCGCTCAATCGACCGAACACTTAACCAGACACTTTATTATCGCCGAGAATCCCAAGAACAATGATGTCTCGGCGGAACATGACGTTTTACGGATGACGTCATTTGAGGCTAAAATAAAGTAAGCTTGAATTGTACTGGCTGTGCGATGTTGGCCTGGACTTAGCATCACCCCGTCTCTCTCCGTTGGTGTCGTAATGCTCGACCGGGAGATACATCGGAGTAGGGCGCCACCACAGCCCCAGTTCTGCCGCGAAGTACCGCGACCCCGTTTGAATGGTGGAACAGCTATACAATGCAATCGACACTCCGACCTCATGTCTCAAGGCGAGTGGCGACATTCAAGTCGTGCCGCCCATGGGCTTGTCCGGTGACAGCTTTGTAAAAAATACACTAATATTTAACGAATAGTTACGTTTAAATATTTACAATTATTAGATTGTATAGAATTGTTAATATAATATAAATATACAAAAAAAAAATGTGTTTCAATGTTTTATGACCGGTGTGCCGGTTGGTTGCGGTCCCGGGACATCAGCCACCTTGCTTCGTCGCCGCTGGACTGCAGGACGTACAGACACGCTTGCGTGCGGACTCGCATTAGTACCAGAGCGATCATTCTGCTTTACATTTAAGGGTGCAAAATAAACGCATTTAATGTGTATAGTAAACAGAATTATCTGTACATTATATACGCAGGGTTTTCGCGTCTCTTTACTTCGAACTATTTAATTATAAGTGAATAATAAATAAATAAGTAGAAAAACTGTTTTCGTATTTCAATAAAAACGTCGAAACGACAGTAATGAATGTTTATTTTAAAAACTATAAAATCAGCCAATATTACAGTAGAGTCAGTCTGAACTTGGTATTAAAGAAATAAATACATAAATAAATCATGACGAAACGAAATTTATCTATATATCTATCAGAATATCTCATTGGGACAATGAAATAGTACAACACTATACGTCTCGTTCTAGAACACAGCTCTTGCAGCGTAATATAAAACGCTAACAATGTTATTGACAAGGCTATAAACGTGGACAACTTTAAAGCTTTTACACGGCCCTTAACCGACCGAGGACTTTTGGCGGGAACGCGAGGAGTGAAGTATGTGATTTGTTTTATTTTGTCTATTTATTGTTTCTTCAGGTTTAAATGTGTAATGACGGTGGTTTATTAACTGTTTAGTATCTATGAAAGTGCGCAAATATGGGAAAATGAAACAACGCCGCTGAACGGGATCCTCCAAAAAGTCTCAGTAAATGACCACCATTTTACTGAGATTATATTATTTCATCCCATATCATCTCATTTCATTTCATTTTGTTTTATATCATTTTTCATTATAATCAACTTCATTTTATTTCATAATATTATTTTTCATATAAACATTTTTTCAATAAAATTAAAATAAGACTTGACCTAAAGGTCTTAGTTACCAGGTCATAAAACCCCTTAAAAAACAATTTAAAATTGGCCCATTGTTTAAAAAGATTTTTCACCCTTGGACTAGGGAGTTACTAGTTAAATATTTCTTGTGTATAAGGGATGTAGATCGCCTTGTATTACCAATCTTGTAGGTATAAAAGCCAATTGTGTTTTCTTATTATGTGTATATTAAATTTCTGAGCAGATTTCAAATGAATACGACGCTTGTAGGGCAAACCTGACTAAGCGACAATAACTGCTTTATACATAAATGATAGGCAATAACCATATTCTATGCGCAAAAAAAAAAATTTCTAGGTCTATTAAAATCATTTCAATCCTACAGCTAGATTCGTTAAAATAGAATTCTTTTCGGGTATTTCAACTTTAAATTAGTCTACTGTTTTTTTTTTTCCTACCTAAGCTGAGAGCCTTGAGAGGCTATTTCAGCGTAACCCTAACTTTTGTAGGTGAGCTCACGGGGCTCAAACCTGATGACGTTGCTAACACGAACCCTAGCAAGAGCCGTGCTTCGCAGAATCTACCACCGGATCGGAAACGCGACCTACTGAGAAGATCCGGCGAGAAACTCAGTGGGCTAGTCTACTGTAAAGTTCGCGCATTGTCGCTTAGTCAAGTTTGCCTTTCAAGCGTCGAATAGCAAACGTAATTATCGTGAATGGCAACCCTCGTACCGAAGATTTAAACATTTTAACATTAATTTTGTAACATATTACATTGAGAACGCAGTGTGAATTTAAAAAATCTTAATTAACTATGAAATGAAAATAAAACAATATTAATTTACTCATTTAATTAACAAAACATGTCTTTTTATCGTGTTGATGTATCGCAAATCCGCTACCTAAATACATAATAAATTAAAAGGAGTAAAATCCGCTATGTCGGTACATTGAAAAACAAAATAGTAATAAGAAAGGGGTGAAAGGTTAAGTAAAGATTTATTTTCGTGCAAATCTTCGGGAATACTTAATTAATTTTCATATTTATTATTACATATTCAACAGATAAACATATCGAGGGATGAAAGACTATTAGTTAATACACGACATTTATCTATGTAATTAAACGTCCGTTTTAGTTGGTATTAGAATATAAAATTAGGTGTTTTAATTGAACTTCAATTATGGTTACCACACTCAAATAGTTGAGGAAGTTTTTTTTTTGTTAGATATATTTTTTCCAAAATTTTAAACTTTAAACGGCTCTCTTGTAAAGTTGCAAAAATGCCGCTTAAACCAAATAACTTTTCACCCCTCTAAATATCGATTTAGATAACATAAGGTTGTTTAATTAAAATCGAATGTTGCAGTAAAGTTATCGTCATTGAATTATAGTTGGAATGTACTTTGATACTGTTGTTAGAAGTTCGATAGCTAATAATTATATTATATTGTTATTACGGAAGTAGCCCTGTCTGTCTGTATGTTACGTTTTAATGCACAAACCAAAGCCCAAAGCCGATTTCGAGGACGTCCGTTCGTGGAAATTGTTGAAGCTACCTTTTATCCCACTACTGATCGCGGGTGCCCACCAATGCGATATCAAGTACAGTCAACGCGGGCGGAAAGCTAAAACAAAACAGCGAAGGTATCTACACGTCACCATCGTCAACAGACCGAAATATGTATGGAAATGGTACTGCAAGGTAGAGGGGGAAGAGATCGACTGAAGAAGACTTTGTACTGGTGGTAGGACCTCTTGTGAGTCCGCGCGGGTAGGTACCACCTACCCTGTCTACTTCTGCCGTGAAGCATAAATTCGTTTCGGTTTGAAGGGTGGGGCAGCCTTTGTAACTATACTTGAGATCTTAGAACTTATATCTCAAGGTGGATGGCGCGATTAAAAGTGATTATCCAAAACACTCCACAGCTGTATTACAAAAGCAAATCTTCTATCAACTTTTACCAATAAAATGGTATGACCTTACCAAGATAAACCATACATTAAAAAGCACAACCTATTAGTGTGGAAATGTTAAGTTTCACTAACAACAATGTACCTCGGATGTTTCTTGTTAGGAACGAACTGTATCTCTCTATCTATCTATTTAACTAACGCTATATCTGTTTGATGCTTTAACGACTCAGTACAGCCAGCAAAAAAATTAATATTATTAGAAACGAGTTTTTTTTTTATTGCCTTTGTAGGCAGACGAGCATACAGCCCACCTGATGGCGAGTGGTTACCGTCGCCCATGGACTTCAGTAATGCCAGGGGCAGAGCCAAGCCGCTGCCTACAAATATTTCCTTTTTTGCGTTTTCAAAATTCCACGACAGTTAGTTATTTTACACCGACATATTTATGAATAGCTCTTCAAATACATCAAACCTTAATCGCGTTTTCTTTCATTTTCCAATGTAATAACATACATAATCAGTTCCTAACCAAAAATATCCATAAAAAAGCACAAAGTTTGTGTCCAAAGTTGTAATATATTATTAGCTTAAAGAACGATTGTGCAACCGCTAAAAACTATTTTAAAAGTTAACAATTATAAGGCCACGTGAAACTAACGTTTATTTTTAACCCTTCGACTGCCATGTAGTTGATCAGTTTCCCTACGCGGCACACTGGAGTAATTATGTCGATTTCTGTTAATAAGCGCCTGAATTGCCCAACTTTGCCATTATTGTTCTTATTCTTTTGTTTCTTAATGTATAAGTTCTAAGGTCTCAGTATAGTTACAGCAGCTACCCCAACCTTCAAACCGAAACGCATTACTGCTTCACGGCAGAAGTAGGCGGGGTGGTGGTACCTACCCGCGCGGACTCACAAGATGTCCTTCCACCAGTCAGCGTGGTGGGTGCAAGGTGGGTGGCGCATTTACGTTGTAGATGTCTATAGGCTCCAGTAACCACTTAACACCAGGTAGGCTGTGAGCTCGCCCACCCATCTAAGCAATAAATAAATAAAATGTATATTTTAGTGTTTTAGGTATCTTAGAAATAGATTCATTCTCAGTATCTTCGGATTGGTCTAGATACTAGACTAGATATTCTAGATTACTAGATAGAATATCTAGTAAATAAGAAATGATGCACCACATAAGTCGCCGGTGACCTACACGGCAGTCAAAGGGTTAAGATTGTGAAAACAAATAGAACGCACTTTTGAACGCGATAAAATAATTATTTGCGTTAAGTCACAGTCTGATGATGAACGATAGTAATGTAATTTTTGCGGTTCAGTCTTTATAAATCTACGGAAACATTGAAATTAGATTTACCCATACGTAATAAAAACGTTAAAATAATATTAATTTAATTATTTATTCAATGATTGCATAATATTTCTGTGCCTTTACTAAAAATTCTATCAGGTACCGATACGAATTTTACTGATTTTTTTTTATTTCAAATTAGATTCCCTCGATACGCATTCTTTATAACATCTAAAACTATTATAATCAACGTCATCGCAATGAAACTTAAAAACTGTGAACATTTAGACTGCACTAAACACACACTAAGGCTTCCCGTGCACTAGGGCAGCCAATTGGCTGTGCGCAGCCACAGCGAGCGAGTGTTGGCGAATGTATGTGGCTGCTATCAGTCCCCGCACACTTGCTGTGGCAGCCAATGCATATTCGTTTTGTCAAATGTTAGTTATATGACACGGCATGCTTGCAGAATCTCTTGTATTTAAAAAAAACCGGTCTGAGTATGTATTGACATCTTTAAAATAGTTATAGAACAGTCTTTCCCGAAGTGGGCGATAACGCCCCCTTGTGGGCGCTGTAGACCCAACGAGAGGCGGTAAGGGACCAAGAAAAAAATGGTGGCGTTGTGTAGAGGCTTGGAAGGTGATTTTTAATTTCATCTAGGAACTCTTAGACACGACTGAGCTCCGCTATAGCGGTTTTTAAGTAGGTACAATAAATGTGGGCGCTAAAAAATAATTTATTGTCACAGTGGGCAGTAGAAAAAATAAGTTTGAGAGCCATTGTTATAGAATAAGCCTTTTGAATGCCGTTCTAAAAAAAGAGGATGAATCCATTGTCTTTTCTTTGCTTTGCGTTTTTTACGAGATAAAGTCCAAATCGCTTGACGAAAGGATCATAAATGGGTCGATTGGCTGCTATAACTGGCTGCTCAAATATTTCGGTTGGCGTAGCCAGGTTGCCTAGTGCGCGGAGAGCCTAAATAAGACAGTTTTGTATTTAGTCCGTTTGACTTATTGATTCCTTTTGTCAGCCTTAAATCATTATTAGCTATAAACCCGACTTTCATTTCGTAGACTAGACAATGTAATCTCGAATTCTGATGAACACGTAACTCTTAACACCTTAATGTAGACCTTACTTAATGCAGACCATTGTAGACTATCATACAAACGATACATCTGCATTCTGTTATCTCTGTGCTAAGTGCGAGTTTTTAACGTTCTCGATAGCGTAAAAGTTAACTCAGATTTGTATGCAGTCGGAACAGCGCCCCTAGCGGCAAACGTAGACAAACGTTTCAGCTCCATACAAATTTGAATTAACTTTTACGTTATCGAGAACGTTAAAAAACTCGCACTAAGCACACTGAGTATCGTCCAATATAGACGTTATATCGAACGTTCAAATTGCTGTAACAAATTTGAAAACATAAAGTCCACTGAACATTAAAAGTCGAAATTTCAATATTTTTATCGAAACACATATACATATAAATATATTAAATAAAATTTAACATGTACATTTTGTGTTTGAATTAAGTTTCACTGATGAATACTCAGGTTTAAATAAATTTCGAATTAAAAGATGCGTTTTTACATTTACATTAAGGCGAACGAACGATTTATTCTTTTGAAAAACAATACTGAAGTCTGAAAAAATGTGTAAAATTTTTTTTGGCCCTGGTACTACGAGTATTTGAATTACTAACCGATAAAGGCAAGCGAAGTATTCTTCAGCATTTTTTTAAAAATCACGACATTGTAATTAGGTACAGGTATACAACTCGATAGTTGGAATCTAACAGTCAGAAAAATACTCCAGTTATGTTAAAAGAGTATACGGATCACAAACATTTAAAAGTTTAGAATCATAACCAGAAGTTATTATTCGCGTGCTTAATTTGCTCAATTTGTCCACAAAAAGTCTGCAGGAACTAAGAAAATTATTATATGAATTATTAGACTATTCAAAACGCCAGAAACCTTAGCATAAATAAAATAAGCAGGTAATTAATCGAAAGAATGAACCCGCAAAAGTTAAGTTGTATGCTTGAAACACAGGAGGAATGTCGTATAAAAACTCTTATCTCGTATATAAAATTGGGGGACTTGTCAATATTTCCTAAAAAGATTTTTGTTTAGTAGTAAAATCTACATTGATAGAAGACTACATTCGAATCGAGACTTGGCTGTATGGGCTACGTTCCCTTTGGCTGTCCGGTCGGACGAGTAAAACAACAAAAACCGCTTCTGCTCTTCATAACGATTTCATTATCTTTCACAGAATATGAATACTCAACTTAAATGCGATACAGAAACCGAACACGGATTCTTGTTCGGTAATTTAAAAATTCTCTAAACTACATTCTAATTATACTAGTGTCTGAATTTCAATACACGTAAAAGGAATCTTCGAAGTAATCACTCTGTAAGTCCTCAAAAAAAGCTTCATTTGTTCTGCTTTTTTTGTAAGTTGTATATTAATGCCACTAATACCATAAGTCTGAACTATTTTCATTTCGTCAACACAATCATTCATATGTCATCATGACGCTAATGGATGTAACCTAGATATTCCATAACTTTTTGAAGAAAAACTTATTTACGCACGCTTGACTTGGGGAGTAAGAGTGAATGCGTGTCGAGAGTGTTACGAAAATTGTGATCGGGCAAGGGAAACGAAAGTTGAGAGGGAGATATAAGTTAGTGAAGACAGAAAGAGAGAGTTACGTTTCGTATATTACTGCAGGGGCAAGAGAGAGAGAGGTGCGAGCACACATTTCCTTCTCTCATAGCCGGTGACGTTTTATATATCTAAGACACAGTGTAGGCCTATTGTATCACACTGTTGGAGCAATTTCTCAGTGGGTCGCGTTTCCGATTCGTTGGTAGAAGCACTGCTCTTGCTAGGGCCAGTGTTAGTAACGCCTTCTGGTTAGAGCCCCGAGAGCTCACCTACACGTTAGGGTTACGCTGACATAGCCTCCCAAGGTTATCAGCATATGTAGGAAAAAAAAGGAGCAAGAGAGAGGAGTGACAATTTCACAAATGTCAAAGTGACACTAACGTAAGCAAATACGAAAAACGTCATCCCCAAACTTTGGCATTAGTGGCATAATGTCAAACATTTCTAATAACGTTTCAGGCGGACCACCCCGAGGATCCGTCTTCCGTGCATTACGTACCGAGTAACAAATTACAAAACAGAGTCTCGACTTTAAAATGTCCTCAGACTCCGCTAGTCTCATAGACGTTTAAATAATCAACATTTAAATTGTTTAAAAAAATCCACATAAACATTTTTACAAGAAGAAAAGCACTGTAGTGCGTTGCGCTTCTGCGATAGTTTGCGAGACGCAAAATAAAACGTGAATCTTAAATGCACTCATCGGTTGTTACCGTTAATTGTATCGAGAATAAACGAGGAAAATTTTAAAGTTTTTTTTTACTCTGAATAATTGGTATGAAGGAAAACTCGATTTTATTTTGCATCTCGTAAAAGCGATCACATCGCTCGAATTATCTAATCAACTATATTTACAGACGTGAGCATTTATATTACATACAATACAATTAGATATATAATTCTATACATTACAAATCTCAATTCTTATTTTTAACATTATCGTCTATGGTTTTGCACTAGACATGCTCGTCGGTATGTCACTCGGGGCACGGCACATCGAACGAAGCGACGGTGGGCGACAATGGCGGTCGAGGCCTCTCGTTTAACTCATATTATTGTCGTCACATTGCAATACGGGAATACGATCAGCGTTCAGTCTCTGATTGAGGTTCCTTAAATAATATTATCTGTCTTTTACGAGAACAGGAACGTTAACGAACACGGCACTAGATCCCCGAGACACACACAACGCACAGTGGGACAGTGGGTACAGTCACGCGTCGTGCAGCAACACGATGAGCGAGCGGGGCGGGGCGGCGGGCGGCGCCGCGCACCTGCACTAGTCGCGCTCCGGGCGGTCCCGCCGCGGCCGCGCCCACGTGTTCACGCAGCCGTCCGCGCACGCCGTCACCAGGNAACGTTAAAGAACACGGCACTAGATCCCCGAGACACACACAACGCACAGTGGGACAGTGGGTACAGTCACGCGTCGTGCAGCAACACGATGAGCGAGCGGGGCGGGGCGGCGGGCGGCGCCGCGCACCTGCACTAGTCGCGCTCCGGGCGGTCCCGCCGCGGCCGCGCCCACGTGTTCACGCAGCCGTCCGCGCACGCCGTCACCAGGTACTCCGCGCGGAACAGCAGCGCCGTCAGCCGCTCGTGCGCTATCTTCTTGCACACCAGCGGCTCCAGCACCGGGCACTCGTCGAACCGCGGACACGCCGCCGTGCCCATCAGCCGCAGCGCGTCCCCTCCCCCTCCCGCGGCTCCACCTGCGGCCCCCGCACCGCCCGCGCGTCCGTCGCTGCGCCGGGCGTCGCGCCGGTCGCCGAACGAGAAGCCGGCGAGCCGCTGCGTGAGCGAGCCGGCATCTTCTTTGTGTTTACGGCGCTGCGGCTCGGCGCGCGGCACTGTGCCGTTTGGAGCGGCAAGGGGAGGGGCTGGTGCAGCCGGAAGCGGCGCCCTGCCTCGCGCTCGTAGAACGTCTTCGGTGAGATCCCAGAGACAGAGCTGCGTGTCCTGTGAGACGCTGCCGAGCCGATAGCAATGGGAATCGCCGGCTTCCGCCTCGAAACCGACCGCGTACGGATCGAAGGCAACGACGGAGACCCAGGAGCGGTGTCCCTGGCCGCGTGCGACCACGCGTCTCTCGGCGAGCGCCCACACCGTGACGAGATCATCTTCGCCGCCGACGACGACGTATTTGCCATCGGGCGACCAGCAAACGCAGAGGAATCCACCGAAGTAGGAGCGCGCCCGGCCGACAAGCTCCATCGTGTCGTAGTGGAATACGCGAAGAAAGCCGTCCTGCGAGACGACAGCAAGGTTGGCCCCGCAAGGGGAAAATGCAAACTCGTTCACACAGGATCCATCTCCAACTAGCCAGCGATAAAGTGGGTTGCGTGTTGACTTGGCCCGACAGGTACTAATGACATAGCCTTCGCCTTGCTTGAAAGGCTGGTATTGTGGTGCACCTGAACCACAGCCAAGTTCCTCATTGTAAACATAAAGCTGTCCACTGGCATGTGCTGCTATGAATAAGTTGCTTGACCCTGGCACCCACTTGATACATGTCACTCGACTTTTGTCTATCAGTCTCTGAGAAAATTTCACATATGATTAAATTGTTGAGGAATTCACATATGTAACTTGGGAAAAGAAATTCTCTATAATAATGTAGGGGAATGATAGCCCGCCCTGCTTAGCTTACTATGCATTTATAGTAATGAGCAACATACGTTAGTCAGTCAGTGGTTAACATATGTCGTTAACGTCGGGGTCACCAGTGTGAAGTTTGCTGATGTAGAGGGTTTATTGTGCGCTCTCCTCCGGAAACCTCATCAGAGTGGTCAATAAAACACTGAGTATGATTATATGTTTATTCGCGTCAGCAACAGTGGTGGATCGCTGTACGTTAACCACTGACTGACTAACGTATGTTGCTCATTACTATAAATGCATAGTAAGCTAAGCGGGGCGGGCTATCATTTCCCTACAATAATATACATTTAAGAGTCAAAGTGTGTATGTATCTTTCTTAAATACTCTTAAATGACTGGACCAATTTTAATAAAGTTTTCAGGAAAACTTCAGATTAGTCTAGGATAATCCCGTGGAATTTTATAGCAGTTGAATCGAAGTCAAAACTAAGATCAGTGAGCAAAGTGGGCCTGATAGTCCTATATAAATGATTTTTGCTTTTTCATATTATTCTTTTATTAAAACATCACAATGTGAAAGGCACCAGTTGCTTTAAGACATGAGTTTTAAGTCCCAATTATATTGTTTAATGGCATTCCCACTCTTCACACTCAAACACATGAGTGCTTCATAGCATACATAAGACAGCATCGTGGTGTGATGGCCAATGTAAACAAGACAGTTCTCATCATCATCAAAGTGAATCACTATACTTTATCATCACAAGAAAAATTATAAGTAAATATAATAGAATATATTTCCCGTTTGTAAGAGTAAAAGAGCTCAATTATAATAATTTTGTTTTTTATTCAATACATTTACAGTCCATCTAATATCAAACAATTAGACAAAAAAGTTGAGATATTGTGCATTAAAACAATAGCTATGTTGCTGTANATCATCATCAAAGTGAATCACTATACTTTATCATCACAAGAAAAATTATAAGTAAATATAATAGAATATATTTCCCGTTTGTAAGAGTAAAAGAGCTCAATTATAATAATTTTGTTTTTTATTCAATACATTTACAGTCCATCTAATATCAAACAATTAGACAAAAAAGTTGAGATATTGTGCATTAAAACAATAGCTATGTTGCTGTACTGTATGCTGTATTACCAGAACACGTAAAGTGCTTATTGAGGTAATGGGGTCATATACTTTCTTGTTAGCTCATAAGACTCTTTACGAAACAGGAAATAAGAAGAGAAGTTGGATTTAATAGAAAAAAGGATTTAGGAAAGCAGAAAGCAGACTTCACATGCTGACTCAGCTTGAGGTCATTTAGCTAGTTTCTGATTAATCACACAACAGAAAAATCCCATGTAAGGTCATATGAGTCCTATAAAATCAAAGGCTTCCTAAACACCATAATGTCGTAAAATGTATTAACAATGGCTCTATCTTGTTTAGTTAGTTGAACATGCTTTAGTGTTTTCATGTTATAACAAATGCAGCTAAATCTCTAACAAATTCAGTTCAAAAAAGTTAAGTTTACTCTGTATTAAGTACTAATAAACGAAGTTTTATCATTTAAAATTCAGATCATTAGTAATATTCACATTCTTTATAAATCTGTTTTAAAATAAAGAATATCGTAGCTATACGAACAAAGTTATTTCAGATTCTCAAACCGGGTGTTGCTAACACTGGCCCTAGCAAGAGCGGTACTTCGATGGATCAGGAGGGTCCGTAATGACGTATGTAGGGCCGATTTTTGTAGTTTACCTGAATATTTGACAGACTTGAATATAGCTGCCTTTGATTTTATAGGCCTCATATATCAGTTCTAATCACTATCTCTTTATTTTTAACTTTCATTTCTATATTAATTATTTTATGAGTTTACTTGAACAAAAATTGTATTAAACTCACCTCTTCGTTGTATAATTTACTTAATTCTTTTTTAATAGGGTCTATTAGTTGTATTTGGCCAGTAGAAAATCCTATAACTAATGATACACTATCAGCCGTCATTGTGACAGTATTGAAATCATGACATGTAGGATTAGTTCCTTTGTACATTTTCTTGTCTACAGGTTTGGTGAGATCAGCTGCCTGAAAAAATAACAGTATCACTAGTTATCTTACTGCTGTAGGCCTTTAGAAATCTCTTGGACACCACAATAAAAATGCTAATGCCCACTTCAAGACAAATTATTGAAATATCAATTGTATTGGTAAAACAGCTACTCTTTGTTTTAAAATATACTAATATTTAAAGCAGTATGAAGGCAGTTGGTTGATAGTCATTCTTATGGACTCACAGAAAAGACTACCCACTAGTAGTTACAAATAAAGGCATTACAAACTAGGTATTTTCATAAGGTATAGAAATAAGTGATGATATTTCTGCTAAGGAGGAATGATACGAAATTAACTATTTCAAGTAGGGTCTTATATTCATATCATATTGTTTGTAGTTAGACACAATAATAAAGTTAGCATCCTCTAGTCTAGTTGATTATGCACATGATATTTTTCTCTTTAATTTGGTAAATAAACAATGATTACCTTTTTGACACCTCTGTACACGTAAACATAGAGTTCTTTGCCATGATTGAAACATATTCTGTCGTCCGAGTTTTGAGAGTCCGAGTTTCCGACTCCAGGACTTGGCGGCAATGACACCAGAGACACGCGGACGTGCGAAGACCCCGACCCGCTGGTATAACCCACGCGATTTGGTCTTGAGTACTCCGACAAAGTCATCAAGCGGTAAGTCCCTTCGCGTGTCACAAACTGAGTCTTTACTTCGTCCTTCCCTCCAGAGTCCGATTGCACAGCCATATTAACATATTATCCTGTAATTATTCATGGAGACTGCTGCAAGAGAAGCTCCGATTGCGTTTGATAGATTAAACAGTCTGCCAGCCGGATTCCCACCGGTCGCACACGATTGCCATCACTTGTTCGCACGTGTTCGAGTATTAAATTCATTCACCTATCATACGATAAGTCTGTTTGATTACCGTTTTTTAATTATAAGCGTTGATTGAAGTGAAAAGTTGTATGCAGTCACAAGTCAGGTGTCGATGCTTGACAACTTGACGAAATGACAAGTGACAACGTCTTAAATGTTATGTGTATTATCTGTGTTTTTTTTTATTACTTAAACGGGTAGACGAGCTTACAGCCCACCTGGTGTTAAGTGGTTACTGGAGTCCATAGACATCTACAACGTAAATACGCCACCTACCTTGCGATATAAGTTCTAAGGTCGCAGAATTGTTACAACGGCTGCCCCGCCCTTCAAACCGAAACGCATTACTGCTTCAGGGTAGAAATAGGCAGGGTGGTGATACCTACACGTGCGGACTCACAAGAGGTCCTACCACCAGTAATTACGCAAATTATAATTTTGCTTGTTTGATATTTATTACACGATGTTATTCCTTCACCGTGGAAGCTAATCGTGACATTTGTTAAGTACGTATTTCATTAGAAAAATTGGTACCTGCCGGCGGGATTCGAACTTCGAACACCGTTGTATCGCTAGATCGATAGATTGAATAACATTAATACAAACTCTGAAAACTGTTTTAGACAACTACCTATGAAAACTATCCATGAAAACGCGCCTAATTAGACGCGCTAGGACTTACCGCTTGATTTAACTTTTAAATTTTATGATGTAGAGAATGAAAAAACACGATAGAAGTCCCTCTCAATTCATAAGTTTTTAAGTTATGGGCCTTACCAGAAGGCTCAAAATCACTCTCAGAGCAAAGGGGAGGGGACGAGCTATGGTTGGAGTTTCCCTGCAAAATCTAATAAGAATGAGAGGATTCGTAGAAGAGCAGAGGAAAATACCATAGTCCATAGGTTGCGTGCGTTGGATGCAGGCGGCGCGGGAACGGCATTTCATGTCATTATTGTAAAGCTGAGGTTAGAGCAAGGTTGGTCGACCACCTACCGATAGTAATAAATTGGCCGAGGGCCCAATTGCATAATTATGCTAATCATAAAAAAAGAACAATGAAATCTAAACTACTTCTTGAAAATTCATTGATTTATTTCTAATTTTACATTGTTTATATCACTTTTTTCGGATAGGTCTTGAGTATTTTCTTTTTCAATAGAAACCTCTTCAACTTTAAGCTCATCTGTGTCTTTTTCTTCAACAGGCAATTTAATTACCTTATTATCATCTTCTTTTTCTTCCAAGAATTTACCCCATTTATCTAACCTCTGATTAATGTCTGCATCAGTTTCAGCAATTTTGTACTTAGTTTTGCCATCCCATATCTCTGCAGTGATTTGTCTTTTGCCAAACCATCTTCCGTTGATCAGCTGAACAACAGCATCAGCTTGTTCCGGCTCTTTCATAGTTATCTGTGCCACTCCTTCAGGATGGCGATCATAGAGCACTACTTTCCGAACGTCTCCACATTTTCCACATTCTTCCCTCAAATCTTGCTGATAGTCCAGAATAAGCTGAACCTCTTTATCAAAATCACTAGAGTGGAATAAATTTTTAACAATAACTACTCTTTCATGTTTAGAACGTTCACCAATAAACTTCTCTGGCCTCCAATCAAATAGTTTTTCTTTCATTTTTTTTATTTTTTCCAACTCTTTTTTTCTCCTTTTCTTAGGTTTGAGGGCAGGATTGTATTTCCCTTTTAGTTGAAAATGAGCTCTTTCCACTTTAATGGTATTGCCTTTACAATCGCTGCCATCCAACAATTTTAATGCTAAATCTACAGATTCTATTTTTATATAAGTACATAATGCATCACCCTTGAAACAATTTTGTTCTTTGTCCATGTATAATTTAACTTTCATTTTTTGGTTACTTGGATCTCGTTCAACGAGACCACACTTCTGCATTAAGTCCACAAATTCTTGTTCAGTCATGTCTAGAGGTAAGTTTGATACATAAACTTTGGTGTTTTTATCATCAGTAGGTTCAAACCACTGCGGCTCACTTTTCCTTTTGACAGCCATAGCTTCTTTTTGCAACTCCTTCTTCTTGTCACTACCTTTCTCTTTCTCATCATCATCTTTCTTATTTTCAATAAATCCATAAGACATTTGATAATAAGCTAAAAAGTCATCATCAACTTTTGGTATCCAAGCCTTCTTGGTTTCATCCCAAAAATATTTTGAACCATCAGCCTCCGTGTATATATGAGTGTCATCTTCATAGCTGTAAACACGACCAGGTGCTTCATCACCTTTAGCATCCCAAGCATTGCTGGTTTTATTCCAAGTGTAAGCTTGACCTGATGAGGGGTCAGTATATATAGCTTCATTATCTTTGTAAGTTATGTATGATGCATACTCACCCCAAGTACTAGAATCAGTAATAGATTTGGAGGATTTCTTTGTTTTTTCATTATCTTCAAGTGTATTATCCTTATCATTTTCATCCTTATCATCAGTTATGTTCAGAACTATTTTTTCAGTTTGTGATGAATTTTCTTTTTGCAGAGTACTTTCTACAGTAGAATTTTCTATGGAATGGGAAGTAGGTACATCTAAAGTTTGTGATGTTGTTTTCACATCTTGAACATTTTGAATTTTGTCATTATTAATATCTTCTACCGATGTAGTATCCTCTATCTGATTATCTGTAGATTTTTCTTTTGTTTCTTTTTCCTCTTCCGCTAACTTTTGAACTGTCTCTTCGGAAAGTTTGATCACAAATCCCGTTCTTGGATTTAGTTTAGCCATTCTTGCATTTATTACGTTAGAACGTTACAACTTTAGATGTAGAATGTGTACAGTTAAGTGTTTGGAAATATTACATGATATTCAACACCTGATGATGACCATATGATTATGGCTATCTGTATTGCAGGTACAAAACTTGATTTCTACAGAGATAAACATACGTCAAATCTTTAGTTTCATCCACATTTCATCCGATTTCAAATTGGAATCTACAAAATAGTGCTGGTAAACGTAAACGTAAAGGTTATCGCAGATTACTAACATGCAAATCATAGATAATACTCTAAATATTGAAGTACCACATGTCAATTGTTATCAGGGAAATTTGATGCGCTAAAATGTATCGATAATTTTCGAATCGATTAAAATTAAGTATATATGTTGTATATTTTAAAAGATTTTGAAGCTCTAAGTCTGGTCTGAGAATCTCAAGTTCAATCTGATTTCCAAAAAACCAACATTAATCATCTACAATCAAGAACAACGATGAAGTTTTGGAACGAAGTTCCTTATCGCGCGTTGTGAAAGGGGGCTAGACGGAAAAAATTCTTACGAAAAGTTGTCACGACACTTTTGCTATAGTAAGCTATTGTAAGCTGTGCGGCGTCGCATGTTTCTCTGTCTGTCTGTCTGTCTCTCTCTCTGTCTCTCTCTCTCTTATACAATTATATTTATGTATATGTACAATTTTTTTATTATTATAAAATATTACTGATTATACAAACTTAGCCTTAGCCGATATCAAGTGGATTCGTTCGGAATCTGAAATTTTTTGTTTTGATATCCAAGACACTATTTTATTCTTTCGATTTTAATGTCATATCATGTTCCTAAATATCTTTCTTCATAAATGTACTTTACTTTATATGCACTAGTTAATTATTTTTAATTAAATAAACCGTAAATTCAAAAGTTTAAAATAAAATAACAACTTTGTTAAGTTTGCGAACGAATCATTAATTCCCTATGTTAATCATTTCATTCCAAAAAGACCGTCCCTACTTACGTTAGGATTCGAATCGAGCTTACGGAAGAAGCGCGGGAAACTCAATTACTGTAAATAAACGTCTGTAACAGACGTACGCATTTTTCGACTTTTATATTATTTTATTTTATTTTTTGGATTTGGATCAGTAGTTTAGTGTAGTTTGTATATTAATATTTGTTTTTTTTTAGTTTTATTTATTTAAATTTTATTTAAAAGTGAATGAGGACTTTTATTGGTAAGTTTTTTTTTTCTTAACTTTTGCTCCTTATCAACGGCGGATCCAGGGGGGGGTCATGGGGTCATGACCCCCCCCTGAGCTGGTTCCAGGACTTAGATGAACCACTAATTGAACCTAATGATTTTATTTATATACATATTTTGTCACTATACAGATTTTATGTAACTACATACCTTCAATATTTAATTAATTTAATATAATATAATAACTTTGTATGATGGCAAGCGTTTGGGAACGAGCGCATCGAAAATTTGACTATGTGACCCCCTCCTGGTGCCAAAGCTGGATCCGCCCTTGCTCCTTATGGAGCCGCCTGATGACCCTGGGGGCGGAGAAGTCCCTGGGGTCAGTTATAATGTAACAATCTCAAATGAATCTGGAATGGAAACCGATGGATCCGTTAAATCTAGCAGTGGTGCTCGAAAACGTAGAGCCACTGTCAATAAGCATTGCTCTAAATGCCATAAAAAAAGACGAAATCGGAAACGAAATGAGGGCAAAGAAATAAAACAAAACGAATGTGATTGCATACCTTTGTTTAATAATAACACTAACACCTAAAGTATTACTCCTCCCCAATTCACTGACTCGCAACTGAATTCCAATCAGTACAAAAAATCAGAATCGGTAGCTAGATTAACTTATCAGGTAAGTGATGCAGCACCATATGTTGTTCATGTGCAAAAAATACAGCAAACTCCTAACGATAATGTTACAGTTCACCCTATCGCTTTTGGTCGTTTTTTAAAAAGGAATTCTATCCACAACATCGGTAACGGAAGCTAAAAACGAATTGGCCGTAATCATGGAGTTACTTTTCTAGGTACTTATTAACTCCATGGCCGTAATAGACTGTCTCTATCTTTTAATAATTACCAGGACGCAAATTCTTTCTTAAACAGCCCTGCTTTGCAATCCGCCGAGTATAAGGTTTTTATCCCAACGTTTACTGTGACCCGTATGGGTGTTGTAAGAGGCATACCTGCTGAGTGGTCAGATGAAGAAGTTATGGAAAATATTAATTTACCTGTTGGATGCGGTCCAATTTTAAAAGTAAGAAGAATGAGACGGCGTATCATTACTAGTAATGGCACTGAATTTAAGGCTACTGAAACTGTGGTTCTCACCTTTGATGGGCAAATTCTACCTAAGCGAATTTTTATTTGCTACACTGCTCTCCCAGTGGATCTTTACATTTTCCCCACAATACAATGTTACAATTGTTGCAGATTTGGTCATGTAAAAGCATTATGTAGGTCAAAACCAAAATGTTTCAAGTGTGGCCAAGACCATACTGCTGACCAGTGCTCTATCGTAGAGGAAGATGCACATTGTTGTTTATGCCAAGGTTCCCATTTTGCCACAAGTAAAATATGTCTAGAATTTGAGCACCAAAAAGCCATTAAAGAAACTATGGCCAAGAGCTGTATTTCGTACGCTGAAGCATCTAAAATTCATGCACCCATTTCTAAAATATATTATGCTGATGCTTTACTTTCTTGTTCCAATGTCGGGCTTCTACTATTTCTACTCCTCGATATGAACAGCCTCATAAACAACCTTTTAGTAACTCTTACAAAAAGACTGTTTTTCTTAAACCAAAATCTGTTCCTGAGCTATCTAAAGGATATGACAAAAAAACACAACAAGAATTAATTAAGGACTATGATATGCCCTCACCCAGAAATGGTATTGCATTAAACTCAAATAACCATAATGAATTGACATTACAATCAATTGCAGACCTCATTAAAATTCTCATTAACACTTTATCACAGTCTAATGTTCTTCCACCGTCCAACGCTGCCCCTTTAATTGACACTATCGTTAACTTACCAAATTATATTAATAATGGACAAGCAAGCCAAAGTGGAACTGTAGAAGTGCTTCGTCTAAGAAAAGTGATATTATTTATCTTGTAGATAAAATTCGTTGCGATATACCTTTTTATATTTTATATTTTGCTTTTTATATTTTATTGTGCATAAAATGAAGTCTTGGCGTTTATTGAATTAGGTCTGTGTCATAAAGTATAGTAATATAAATAATATTTAAGCTGATGATGATGTTAAAGTGTAAGTGTATTGACAGCAAATCATATGATATAGGTAACCTAAAAAAACTGTCCTTGAACTTCGTTTAGTGGGCCGTGCAATGTATGGAGAGTGGCCCATGTCCTTTTTGGTAGTTTAGGTAGGTAATAGGTTCAAAATTAAATGCAACATATCACACCATAAAACATAAACTTTATATATAAACACAATACTACACACTGCAAAAGAAGTTTCAGTTCTTTCAAATGCGCCAAGTTGCATGCGCTCAATTTTTTTTTCTTGTCAGTAAAGTATAAGATCATATTTCAGGTGCACAACTCCCTACGATAAATAGTGTTTAATTTCTTGACTTTTAAGAAGAAGTGCATTCGTTTTAGAGTTGCTTTTTCAGAAGCAAGTTATGAAAATCTCAAATTACATTTACCGTATCAGTTTACTTTTTTAATATTATTTTGTGGAAGTTGTTGCTGTAATTTCAAAATCCTTTAAATCCAATGTCGATTTTTAAGGGTGAAATATCGATTTAAAAACACAGATTTTTCGAACAATCGATCTCAGATCATCATCCCTACTTTGAGACACTAAAAGACTCAAATTATAGTAGAATTATTTTGTCCGTGCAGTTTGGGTCATAAAAAATCGGAGCGGTGCAGTGAGTATTTTGCTCTGTCTTCCACTCACGAGCCTTATGGACGGGCATAGTGATGCGCATTATTGTTGTCGATAAGCGTTGTCGATAGTGTATTTAGTTTTGTCGTTTTGTGGGTTAGTGATAAAAATGAAAGAAAAAATCACTAATCGAACACTTACACCACATATCGCCGCAGCAAGTTAACGAGAACGGCAGAAATTAACATTGTAACTTTTTGGGATCTATTCTCATTTTAGTGAAAATTTTTAACACATTGTTGATTGGATTTTAGCACACGTGCTTGTGCTGGTATATTTTTGCCAACAAGCAAAATATTTGAATAAATTCTGCCGTTTTGGTACAAAACAAAGGAGTAGCCATTGCGTCACTAAAGAAATTCAGAGAGCGAATGCACAAAATCACATTTCTCTTCGACACATCCCTACTAATATATAAATGTGAATGTAAGTTTTTTTGTTACGCTTTCACGCGAAAACTACTGAACCGATCATCATGAAACTTCGTACACATATTCTTTGGGGTATTAGAAGTAACATAGGATACTTTTTTATAAGAAAAAAACATTACTTTTTACGAAAAATTAAAAAATTGTTTGTCAAATAATCTCAAAATTTAGCTTCTTCAACGCCATCTGCCGGTTTAGTAATGAAGTTCCAATCCTGAGTACTGTAATTCCGTTGCACTGTATTACCGACGGTCACGTCAATATCCAATCCAATTGACTATAGTTTTAGCTGTTTGGGATTTTTCTATATTTATTTCACTTTCTACGTAAATGAAGAGGTGGGTAAAATTTAGCGTTATGCCAAAGTAACTATTCCACGCGGACGAAACCGCGGGCAAAAGCTAGTGTACTATAAATTTGGAGGTAGGTACAACAAATGACTCATAATATAACAATGTCTCACCGCCCTTCGTATATCACCCCGCCGCCGTGTACCTGCCTTCGATGACTCATTTGTTTTTATCGATAATGGCGTTGCACCCGCGCAACATGCGCACCACCCTAGCTGGGCTATGTTTTCTGACCCAAACTCTGCAGACAAATTAATTCTACTTTCAGGACTTTCTGGCGGGGCGGGAACGCGAGGAGTGAAGTTGTGTGAATTGTTTTATTCTGTTTATTTAGTGTTTCTTCAGACTTAAATGTGTAATGACGGTGGCTTATTAATTATTTAATATCTGTGAAAGTGCACAAATGTGGGAAAATGAAACAAAATCTCTGGACGTAGGTAACTTCTCGGGATCCTCCAAACGGTCCACTGATTTTTTTTTAGTAAATTACCATAATTTTACTGAGATTATATTTTATCCCGGTTGATTAATGTCTCAAATTAATATTCTTCATTTCATTTCAATTCACTCCATAGTATCATTTTTCATAAAAATAAGAATATAAATTAAAATTAGACATGACTTAAAGGTCTTAGTTACCAGATCATAAAATCCCTCATAAAAAAATCATTCATACATTGTTTGAATACTGTGTGACTTAGGTTAACTTGAAAATTATCGAAAAGAATAAAAATTGGAACAATGGAAGATTTAAAGGATGTGTATTTGAGTCCATTACCGGAATCGCCGTACGTGAAGCCGTTCAGGTTCAATTATACGCAGAACGGCAAAGAGAAAACTTGGGATCTTCTAGAAGTTCATGACTCCGTTGCCATCATAGTATTTAATGTAACTAGAAGAGTAATGATATTCGTAAAACAATTTAGACCAGGTAAACAATTTCTTTCTTAACTTATGATTAAAAATGAAATGAAAAAAATATTACTGATTTACGTAGTTTGGTTAGAAAATTCTAAAGTTTTTATTATAGCTACATTTTCTGTTTGTTTGTCTGTACAGTCACAACCTTCCACTGACATATTCGTTCAGCTTATTAAATTATTTAGAGTTTCTAATAGGAATATTTATATTTGGATATAAAATCGATACAATTTTTTTACAGCCATTTATTACAATTCAATAACACCAGAAGATAGAAAAGCATCAAAGATAGACACAAATAAGTATCCTGCATCTCTTGGTATCGCTTTGGAAATATGTGCTGGAATCATTGACAAGAATTTACCCATAGAGGAAATTGCCAAGGAGGAGGTGCTTGAAGAGTGTGGCTACAATGTTGAGCTTTCAAATTTGGAAAAAGTTATAGCATATAGGTACAATTTTATAAAAAGCTGGTTTATTTGGTTTACACACAACTGTAACATTAAAATATAATTGATGACATTAACACTTATCATCATTGTGAATAGTCTTTATTTGAAAAATGTGTTTTTCTGTTTGTTTCTTTGTACAAATGGTGATTGTTTTGCATCTAGCTCATGATCGAGCAAAGACGCTAGCATGCTGTCAAACAACATGATTACATGCCCACATCTTAAAGGAGCTCAAATATGGCTTTGAATTTGATTATAATGTATATTTGCCCCACTAACAATAAATGACAAATTAATATTTATAATATTGTATCAACTTTAAATAGAAATTGTAATTTTGAACTAAATTTGGTGTTGGTTTGATTTTATACTCTCAGTTGGCCTTGAATAGTAATATAAATTTTGAGAAAACTAGTTAAATCAAGTATTATTTCTGATAAACATTTTCTATCTACAGGTCAGGTGTCGGGGTTCAGGGTGCCTTACAAACAATGTTTTATTGTGAGGTCACAGATGATATGAAAACTGAACAGGGTAATCATTGTTTTGTATTACATAATTACATGTTGTTAATCAACCATTAATTTTTTAGGTAAATACATGTTTTAGATCTTCAAACAGTTAAAGAGACTTATTGATGCGAGGCTAGACTTTGGAGTAAAAAAACATTGTGCAGTAGTCAAGAATCCTTGTGAACTCTTTCCTTCCACTTTATTTTAGTGAGCAATGTCATGAGGAGTCATTTCAAAAGTAGTGCTCAAGATCCTGAAGTCTTTGCAGGCTTTGAGTTTACACAAGCTTTAGAGTAATTTAATTATTGACTTTTTTAGTGTCATATGATGGACACTAATAGGAATCTTTCAATCTTTGTACAAAGAAAATATAACAGAACATGGTTGTTCCACATGTTACACCTAGGTGCACATGCACATGTTTTAATAAGATCTTGTTAGATACTAGGACTTTAGTTAAAAATGAAGAATGTAGTTTTCTTTTATGCTCTTTCTTTGTATGATCAGCTTAGTTTTCTCTGTTTATGTTGTCATTCCTATTTCTGCCATGAAATAATCTTCTGTGATTCCTACATAGCGGTGTTCATGTTTCTCTTATGTTATTGCTCTCGAAGATACACAAATATGCTATCGACTTAATAAATTGTTAATGTATTGTAAATGTAACCACTCCAGCTAAACACCAAGGGGCTAACAAACTCGACCTGTCTATTTTACAAAATGTTTACTTTACCTACACATTAAGGCAGAACAATCATAATTTTGTTTGAAGGTGGCGGCGTTGACGATGAAATTATAGAAGTTATAGAGAAGACAATACCTGAAGTGGAAGAGATGCTTCGTTCACAAGACATCCTGTCCAGTCCACCGAGCTGTCTTTTTGCTTTAATGTGGTTTATACACAATAAAGCCGATAAGTTTAGGAAGTAAGTCTTACTAACCAATGTTATGTATTGGTTTTATAAGACCTGATTAGCAAATTATATTACAACTCGCAGCTTTCCGCATGTCGAACATACAAGCCCATATATACAATACATGGAAAAGATGACAAAACATTTATCACCATATTTCAATTTCTCTATAAAATTATCATAGCCTATAATAAATATTGTCACAATTGTCAAAATGTCATAAACATGTTAGCGACTTAACAGGTTCACTGTCCACAGACCACATATGGTCTGTAGAGAGATTTCCATATCAGTCCACAGATCTTATGTGGTACGTGCGCGCGTACAATTTCTAAACCATCTGATATTGTAGACTTACGTCTACAATAAAGGTATAATTATATAAGGTAGGGTATAATAGGTATAAGGTAAAATTATGGTAATTTACTTGTTACCAAGAAAGTCTCATATTTAATGCGGATTCGGTAGGACAAGCATTACAAAAACTGCTGGGACATAGGGAAATACTGGTTTTTTTTTTCGAAAGGGAATAAAGTAAACTGACAACTAACATGTGTCCCCGAGTTTTGATGCGGGGTAGAGCAAAAGGCTTTGTAAAAAGTAACGACAGAGGTACCGTTCAAGGCCGAAGGTGGTGAAAGACTGTTTTATTCTTCATTTTTTTCCTACCTAAGCTGATAGCCTTGAGAAGCTATTTCAGCGTAACCTTAACTAGTAGGTGAGTTCACGGGGCTCAAACCTGACGACCCTAGCAAGAGCAGTGCTTCGCAGATTCTACCACCGGATCGGAAACGCGACCCACTGAGAAGATCCGGCGAGAAACTCAGTGGGCTTGTTTTATTCATAAACATTTTGTGCTTATATACTATATTACAAACAAGGGCTGTTTATCTTATTCTATTTCTGGGTATGGAATACAAGGAATATTATATTTGTTATCTCATCCTAATTACCAAAGTTAAACAATGATGATGTTATGAACATTATCTGGTTACAAAGAGCTATTGTGTAATAGGCTGATTATGGCTACGTAACACCCCCCCCCCTCCCCGCCGCCCCCCAATCCCCCAAGATGGTGCGTATTGACGGTTGCTACTGGAGCCGATGTTCTTTAATTTGGGGCTGCTGCTGTATTAGGAGATGCACCAACCTGGGTTTCCACCAGAACTTGTAAATGGTTGTTCCAATTGCTGCTGTTAGTATTATGATGTATAGAAATATTGATGGCAGCTGGGTGTGCTGGGGATGATAATAGTGTCTGCTTCCGGGATTTTAATCATCTCTGATTATTTCAGTGTTCTGTAATTACTTATGCTTTACATAGTCTAGTTTTATTCTTATAGGTGAAATTTGTTTACTACGGTGTGCTCGTGGTAGTGGTATTGTTGGTCTGATATTGATGTATCGTTGATGCGTCCGTAATATTTTATCTAATATATGTACGTTGCAGTTGTTATTAGCGGTGACCAGGAAGATTCCTTTGCTCCTTTGATATTGCATGTCGTTATTACAGACTGTCTTTATTACTACTTCTTGTTTTAGGATTACTATCCAGCTGTTGTCTTTGATTTGTTGTACTATGTTGTTTTCATAGGTTGTTGGTGCGTAGATGCAGTTATGAGGCTCCTGATGTTGTATTAATTGGGCGATGCAATCGTTTGAGTGCAGCAGGGTTTGCCACTCCCAAGTGTTTGCAAATGACTTCGTTTTCTGTGATTTCGACGCATGGCTCGTAGGGGTAGGCAAACTCGTTATTTCCAAGATAGGGAGGTGGTTTTTAGGTATAAAGATTATGTTGTTATTATTTGGGATTGAATATAGGTGTAGTAGGTAAGGTTGTTCTGCAACTAGTGGGATATCCAGTATAAAGGTGAGTGTTTTGTTTGTGCTAAATGTCTTTACTATGATAGATTTTTCCCAGAGGCGTATACTCCGTATACTAGGGTCAAAAGGGAGGTTACTGTTGATTTCATTTTGTATTGGATATTGTTCTTCAATTAGGTATACTGGGTCGATTATACTGGGGTGCCATGTTGTAAGGTGAGAAAATGTTAACGCGTTTTCTAAAGACTAGTTTGTCGAATAGCTGTTGAAGTGATGTCTCTATTTTGTTATATATGGTCATTATTTCATATTAATTTTCGAAATGTTAGTTTTGTTTAGAAAACCTATTAATTTGCTACTGCTATTTCATTTTGATTATTTTTAATATTTTTTTATATTAAACTCATATTCATTGATGAAGTCTTGCATTATTCTTATTGTCTTTTTCTGATTGGATCTGTCTCTATTTATTGGTAGTTTTAGTGCCTTAAATTCATTCTGGTCCACGTTTCCTGTGATTGCTTTTACTATGGAATCCAAATCATCAATTAGTTTTTTGCCTATATTTTCTAATCTTAGGTACATTAACCAACTCTCTATTGTATCTATGAGGTATTTGTTCACTAATATTAATTGCTTCGTTATATTTTAGTTTCATAGTATAATAATTGCTACATATTTCTAAAAAATCTCAGTAATGTAGTGTTATATATTACTGCCAGGTGGTGGCATGCGTCAATTTGGTATTGAAAGCTTGCTTTTGTCAGAACGAGTATTCCGTTGTGGCTATCTATTGGTTGTATTACTGCTGATGCTGCGACGAGGGTGATGGCATTCTCGCAACATGTTCGGGTAGCTTCAATAATCGGAAATGTACTCTTAACTGTTTTGGCATTTATGTGTTTCCCAACTATCTCTGCGACTCGTTCCGGGTGAATACGCACAATAGTATATGGGCCTAGGTATTTTGGCTTCAGTTTGTTTGCTCTCGCAATTTTTGTAACCTGTTAGTATACAGTGTCGCCTAGTTTGAATCTTGCCGTTTCGGTTCCTTTGTTGGCCCTGTATATATGGTTTGTTGTTTTACGGCAGATAATATGCTATTTATTAATTTTTGCGTATTCTCCATGATTTGTTTATGTTTTACAACATATTCTTCATAAAATTCTTTAGGACAATGCAACTCTAGTGGGTTTCTTCTGTCTGTTTGTCCATATAGGAGTTCAAAGGGTGTGAAATCGGTTGCGGCCTGAATTGTGTTTTTGAGGATATTTCTGGACGTGTTAGGTCGGTTTAGTTGTTCGCGCCTTACTCTTAGTTTAGGCTCTTCCTGTTTTGCTACGGTAATAGCCTGTCCCAGGTTTTTCTACGTTTTTAATCTGTATGAGAATGGCTGTAATTGGGTTAAGTTTGTCTAGGAATGTTTCCAATGCCATTTTCTCGTAGTACCTACTCATATTTTTCCGGATTTTTAGAAATTAATGCACTCATAAGTACTCTTACTTTGTCTCCGAACTGATCTATTGAATTTTTATTTCTGGAGACTTGCATTAGTTCATGTACAAGTTGTAATTCGGTTCGAAATTCACCGAATTTTCTGTATAGGGCTTCTTTTATGTCTGTCCAGGTTTTTGCGCCTGGGCTTTGTGACAAAGCTTCAACAGCTTTATTAGTTAACTAGCCGTACCCGCCCACATCGCTGGGCATTTAAAATTAACATTATTATTTATTGTCATTATTATTAGGGAGTCCAACACTCATATAAATATTAGCCATTGAGTACGTGTATTTTCTACATGGATACCAAGTTTCAAGTCAATCAGATGCATGGTTCAGTAGTTATAACGGAACATCCGTAAAAACCATTGTAGATATACTATATATTAGTATATATTTGTTTCTAATTAGGTTATACAATGATCTTCCGTATTGGTTATTAAATTTAGCGCATTTTCTACACCTTCTATGTAACATGCAAGTGTTCTCCTGTTACCATCGTAACTTGGTAGCAGTTTCGAGAATGTGGAATAGTCGGTAGACACTACTGGTTTTTTCTCAGTAAAAGTCTTTTCGTTCTGGGTCCCCTTGTCGTATGACATTTTAATCGTGCGAGCTTAGAGAGCGCTAGATTTGAAAAATCTGTACAAGTTGTGTATATTCAAACAATGGATATTTGTACCTTCACACTAAAAACACTACAAAGTCGTATATGGAGAATTAAGGAGAAAGGTAGGAAATCTCGGGAATTAACAGAGTTAAATGGTCACCCCACGAGCATTGCCGAAATATAGGCTGGAGATGATGGTGAGTCTAACTGCCTCTGCTTAAGTCTTCTCGCCTGTTTTGTTGTATGCTGCCCGCTGTAGGTTCTTTGTTCGCCGCATATTTTTTATCGAATTTATTGTACCAGCCCTGCAAAATTATATACGACTTTCCTACCGTTCAAAGCAGAGAATGGTTAAAGACTGTTTTTTTTTCCTACATAAGCTGATGGTTTTGAGAGACCATATTATAAGCGTCGCCGGGCGCTCAGACCTGATGTTGTTGCTAACATTTACACTAGCAGTGCTTCGCAGAATCTACCACCGGTTCGGAAACGCGACCCACTGAGAAGATCCGGCGAGAAACTCAGTGGGCTGTGTCTGTGGGTTAATTTACTCGCCGAGCCCTGCGTCGCAAGCGACGGGTTCGGCGAGAACGATGACCGACAGATTTATTCATAAACATGCTGTGCTTATATACTATGTTACAAACAAGGGGTGTTTATCTTATTCTATTTCTGGGTATGGAATACAAGGAACATTATATTTGTTATCTAATCCTAATTACCAAAGTTAAACAATGATGATGTTATGAACGTTATCTGCTTACAAAGCGCTATTGTGTAATAGGCTGATTATATTATGGCTACATACCTAGTAGAGCATAAATATTTGATAACAAATTTTAGCATACATTTTAATCACAAATAAACCGACTTTTAATAGAAACATAACTGGACTTATGGACTATTCCCACTCCGAAGCCTGAACAGTGAACCTGTTAATAAATCTACTAAAATATACAAACACACCTGGTTGTTAATAAAGCGATGTTCTTTGGAAACATAATCATTGTCACAATGTTAAATAGAGTAAATTTTTCACATAATGCGAGCACTGTGTGAATGATCGCCTAACTCTCAGATTCAATTTTATTTCTATTTGTGGCGAGTAGTTATCACAGAACACAAGGTATTTGACAGACGCTTGAACTTCACTACGACATTACATTAAGCCGCTTTCAGACTACGCTATAATAGCATATAGTATATAGCTCATAGCACAACAATATCGCACACCATACGTTCACACTGTGCTGTACTACATATTATTGGCTTACTATACGCTGCTATACTATATGGCACTATAGTATAGCGTAGTCTGAAAGCAGCTTTACGCACACAAGTTCCGAACAATAACATTTTGACCGTCGGTCTACTGAGCAATATCACTCGCTCGCTGGAAGATCTTCCCTTTGTCATATACCCCCACATATTCAAATCAGAGTAAAAAAAATAATAGGATATGAAGTTATGAACCTTTAAGTTGCCATAAAGTATACATAGTATTATATTAGTATTTTTTTTATAGTTAATTTTTGCTTCTATTAATCAAAATATGCATCCAAAAGATGCATCAAACAAATTATGGTAATATGGTAATTTTCAATGAACCTCTTGAAGTGCGGGAGCTAATAATAATTGAAGATCATTGTGCATATAATATACAAGTTTTGAACAGCAATATTACCTACTCATATAATCTTCTTCTTTCCTAGGATTATGATGTCGTAATATTGTTTTAAATGGTTATGGTTGGCTCCGGGCTATTGTGGGTTTCCGGGTGTAAGTCGAGATGAAATTAATATATACTTTACTACAGGACATTCGACCGAACTTGCGGGGAATGTAAGAAATCGAACAAATAACTGCAATTGTATGTATCTGTATTTTTATACTATACTATCTTTGTATTTTCTGTTGGCGTAGTGAGTCGTAAATATAGTGTCAAGGCTTGATGTAATATTATGTTCCGAACGTTTTTTGGCTGTGTAAACTTTGAAAAGATAAAAATCTTAAGCATTGCATTGGCTTGTTTTATTAGATGTGAATTTTTAAATATTGTTTATTTATATTACACACAATATCCTTTGGTAGCTTGTTACAGTTGTTAAGTATGTGACGTATCCTTAGTTCAGGAGAACTTTTTAAGAGAAGAGAGGCCACATAATATATCTTATTTATTGAAATATATTCTTTTTTAGTATATTTCTTTGATGAGTCAATGAACTCTGGTGATTTAACTGGTTCACCCGATAAAAAAATTGTTATCATAAAAAACAAAAAGACTAAACCTCCACTTCTGGCCGTCTGGTCTTTTTGCTAAGCGATGAATCATAGTGCTGTGAAAATTCATGAATCCTCTGCGTGTATTTTTCACATGCCAGTAACGTATGTGGTTTATCATCGTGATCCGATATTATATCCTCATGTTACATACTCAATATGAAGTACTAGGTTTGGAATTGATTATTTAAAAAAGTCCACGTTCGTTTTTACATTTAGATTACTTTGATTTTTGTGATTTTTTAGCTGCAAACGTGTTGATAAATTAAATGTAAATTTTGGTTATGTACTTAGAACATATGATAATATGTTATGATATTGCGTAAATTGTTAGCGTTAAAGTTCCTTCTGATTGTAAACAAATAGGAAGTACATATCGGGTTGATTTCATATGAATATATTATGTATTTAGAGCAAAAATGGGTTTGTTAAATTTGTTCAAAATTACTATTAAATGCTTAGCTTGAATTTGTATTTTAGTAAATAGAGCCCTGTAACATTCCTCGAAGTGAATTACATTAAGAAGCCCTTAATTATGTTTCGTTGATTGTGATAGTTGATTATCTCATTGCGATTGAATTTCGAAAAATTGGATTTAAAAAAATTGTGCGTAGAAATAAGATTACTACACGATGTTTTTTTTATATGGATACTACTATTACGGATATGTTGAATATTAATTAATTAAATTGGAGCTTCGTTAAAAATTTAATAATAATTTTAATCATTATATCAATTGGATGTACAGAGAAGCAGAAACTGAAATAAACTACAAATGAAACTGTACCTAAGTAATTTGCTGAAATTAGTCCTTTTGGTAATTTCAAAAATCGTGAACCCTCAACAAACAGTAGGTGCCCCCCGCGGGACTCCTCGAGCCCCGCGCCCCCCTGACCGTGTGCTCACGCCTCATCATCATCAAATTTAAACAACGAACGGGATCCAAATCGTCTTACTACTCGTGTTCTTTTATTTTTATTGCCCTTGTAGGCCAATGAGCACACGGCCCGCCGACTTCAGCAATGCCAGGGGTAGAGCCAAGCCGCTGCCAACCGTTAAGTACTCCACAACCCTTTCGAAATGGTTCTAATACATCGCGTCTATTAATCGATCGGTGTAATGGATTGTAATCTCACTGAGTGCGCCTTAGAGCGGCTAACGAGAATTTAATTAAAAGAGGAGGTAATTTTGATTAAGCCGCTGTCGCGAGGTTCGCCCGTGCCCTATGTGGCGCGCTGATGTAATTATATCGATTTCTGTTACTAAGGCGCTGGAATATCTAGTAGAATTTGGGAAAGTCGAATCCGAAGATACTGAGAATTAATCTATTTCTAAGAGACCTAAAAGACTAAAACAGCTTAACAAACAAAAGAAGGCTCAATTAGGCAATCCAGGCGCTTAGTAACAGGTCTCAACATTATTACTTCAGTGCATCACGTAGAACAACAGTGACCTTCATGGCAGGTATAGATTAAATGGGCTACTCAAAAAAATACTGTGAAAAACACGAAACTGTGATGGCGCTCTTTTCTGTAAATAAACCGATCGTTCGCTCTAACGACTCGTCTTATTCACTTTATCGCTGTGACGTGATTTCCCTCGATCAGATTTTACAAAGGACGGTAGGCTGCGGTTTGACTACCTCACACATCAAGGGTGGACATTTTGCTGGCCGTATTCTATAGCCATAAAAAACTCAGGCATTTGATTGATTGTCATACCCGATGCTGTAAACCGAATGGTAAATAGTCGACGTCTCCCTAAGCACGTCATTACGGATCCTCCCGATCTATTAACGGTGCTTTTAGGCACCACAAGCACCGGTCACCGTCCTCGCCGAACCCGTCGCCTGCGACGGAAGGCTCGACGAGGAAATTAACCCATAGATAGTAACCATAATTCATAGTTTCTCACTGGATCTTCTCAATGGGTCGCATTTCCGATCCGGTGGTAGATTCTGCGAAACACTGCTCTTGCTAGGGCCAGTGTTAGCAACACTCCCGGTTTAAGCCCCGTGACCTCATCTACACGTCGAGGAGAAGCTGAAATAGCCTCTCAAGGTTATCAGGGAGGTAGGGAAAAAAGGCCTTTGGTTGATCGACATTCTCTAAATGCGATCGACTTCAGAAATTTAGAGAAGAGTAAAGATCGCGTCATAAGTGCAGGTGTAGCGATGTCGCACCGTCCTACGTTTGCCTCAAGGTATCGGCAACTTCAAGCTGACGCCCCTTGGATAAGACTGACTACATCAGCCACTACCCTAGTGCAAAACTTTGGGAATATATACGACAAAGGGAAGATCTTCCACCGAGCGGGTGATATTGCTCGGTAGACCGACGCGGCGACGGTCCGAATGTTGTTGTTCGAATCTTGAAAATGTCGTAAGCGAGATTCAGGCATATGTCAATTATCTTGCGTTGTATGATGGCTACCCGCCACAAAACTATTTCTAACAGGACAACGACTACTCAGTCACATCGACTATCGGTAAGTATTATTGAAGGCTATAATTATTCACTTTGAGCATCTTTAGTAGCGGCACGACGTGTGTGTACACTCGTTGTGGCAATACATAATAAAATTTCTAAATTACACATCAATAAGTTTTATTGAAATTTAAAAAAAACATTATTATTACACATATAAGAAGATTATTTATGAACGTAGTTATGCGAGACGGCACCACGCCTCGAACGAATAATGTGAATAATGTAATTTTCTGTAGCCTTTCTAACGCAGTCTCCTAATACTGAATTTTGATACTTTATTAACTGGAAATATGAAATGGTTTATTGATTGGGCCGCCCTTTGCGCCACCTAGCAGTCTTTCTCCAACTAATTCGGATAAACAGATCTATAATTGTTCATTTAGATTTCCATTTAAAAATCTGAATCGCAATCATTTTGGCACTACCGCGTTATTGTTTATACCGAAGACTCGCGTTTTAGAATCAAATTTAATTATTAATGTGTATCACGAATCTAGACCAATTAAGTATCATAAAGTTTAATATCGATTTAATCGAATTGCTATTAATTTTGAAGGCTTTGGCAGCTAATTAGTTCCTCTCGCATAACCCAATCCACCATAACAATTACAAATAGATTGCTTATTACAACGACTCAATGTATCCTCGTTAGGTCTTCCACTATTTTGATTAAGTCGTCTATTTTGGCGTCCCTCATCATGCCGCTGCCCTCGTCGATCTGTGTAACACAATTTTATTATTATTAACCAATTTTATTAACCAACGACAGCTCGTCCGCAGCGGTTGGGGGGCGTCCCCCCGAGGGTGTCCCAGTTCTATCGGGACCACTGTAGAGTAATACCTCGCAGGTCGACACGGATGTTATAGCAGAGCAACATAAATGTTGGTTTTACTAAAATTTTCCGGATTTTACGGTACGGGTATTGGGGGCCAGTACAGGAGACTGCGAAATGGTCTTTGTAGAGTAACATTGAGACTTCCGAGTCAAGACTTCATTTGCATGTTAACATGTCCACGCCGCTCACATAACCAATCAGCACTGGTAACCGTAATAAAATGAATTTTAATAGTCCATTGATTATCAATTATTTATTAAGAAAAGACTGAAGTGTCAACTGTTACTGGTGGTAGGAGCTCTTGTGAGTCCGCGCGGGTAGGTACCAACACCCTGCCAATTTCTGCCGTTAAGCAGTAATGCGTTTCGGTTTGAAGGGTGGGGTAGCCGTTGTAACTATATTGAGACCTTAGAATTTATATATATATATATTTTATTGCCCTTGTAGGCAGACGAGCGCACGGCCCACCTGATGGTGAGTGGTTACCGTCGCTCATGGACTTAGGTAATGCCAGGGGCAGAGCCAAGTCGCTGCCTACTGATCTCAAGGTGGGTGGCGCATTTACGTTGTAGATGTCTATATGGGCTCTGGTAACCACTTAACACCAGGTGGGCTGCGAGGACGAGCCAAGGATGAGTAGGTGATTGCTAATGTGTAGTGCGGCGACCTGTAGTCCCTTGACGATGTCGTGCTGCACGTCCCTGTTGAGGTCGAGGAAGGTCTCGATGAGGTCCCCGTCGACGAACCCCTCGGCGGGCTCGGTCTTGATGTCGGTGTTGAAGGAGCGCCAGAAGGCGTGCGGGATGCGGCCCACGGACTTGATGCAGTGCGACAGCCGCTCCTCCACCTGCTGCAGGAACTCGAACAGCTCCTGGGATATCTGAGCCACTAAAACTGTCCCCAGAAAATACATAGATATATATATTATACACGCAAGAGTAAAACTATTAAATGCCATTTTTAATTATTCGTTAACAGATTATTTGTTTCAAGTTTACAAATTTTTTTTTGGAAATGTCTGTTTCTTAATATGCTTTCATTAGCTTCGCATGTATGTTTGTAACGGAATCTTTGACCATAATTTTGACCCCCTTCAAAACGTCGGATTAACTCGAAATTTGGTATTAAGGTCCGATACCAATTCAATAATAAAAAAATATTGAAAAAATTGAAATTCAAGTAAGAAATGGAAAATAAGTAATATGTAGTTTAAAGAAATAACAAAATACGCTTTTATAGAAAATCCAACTAAAAAATAGAAAATAAATTTTAATAAATTTGAATTAAAAAGAGTGTAAGAAAAAATGATTTTATTGTTAAGAAAAGCGTGGGGTGCATTGTATAAGTAGTTATAAATATTTTATGAACAGATATATTGTGTAGAAGGGTTATTTTGTTAATACATATTCTGAAAAACATTTTTTTGGCGCATTTTTATTAGTTTTTTTAAACTATCATAATAGATACATAAATTAGCGACCCGCCCTCGCTTCGCTTCGGAAACTGTAATTTATTATTGATTTCATCACTATTTAATGGATGTTATTATCCTTATTATATTATAAACCTTCCTCTGCAATCACTCTATCTATTAAAAAAATCGCATCAAAGTCCGTTGTGTAGTTTTAAAGATTTAAGCATACATAGGGACAGAGAAAGCGAGTTTGTTTTATACTATGTAGTGATGTCAATACTTTGCGGTTGGGCGACGGTGACCACTCACCATCAGGTGCATGCCCGTCTGCCTACAAGGAGAGAGAATGTGCGAGTACGTACAGATGGCGCCGTGCACGGTGGCGAGCAGCACGGGGCGGTGCGTGGGCGCGGCGGAGTCTGCGTGGTGGTGCGGCGCCACGAGGGAGCCGGCGCGCATGACGTTGACCATGTCGCCGAGGTGGAACTGCCCCGCGTAGCCCATCTGCTGCCGGTCCTCGTCCGTGGTGGCCGCGCTGTGGACCCACACAAGGCGTTACCAACCTCGCCCCCAACCCTCCCCCTACCGACACTTCCATACTGTTCATTTATTATGTGTATGTAAGTATGTATATTGGTATATAAATCAGTTAGCTTATATATTTCATATTATATGTAAACGGTATATATCTGATTATTGTATGTATATATTTTTTATAATGATAATGTATTGTCTTTAGAGTACACCGCAACATACCTGCTATGTTTTTATATTTTCCAGAGTTTCTGTAAATTAAACGGTTGTCTGGATAGATCGCTTTTAGCGAGAAGACCACCTATTGTACCACCTAGTGTATTGACCACAAATGTATCTGCTTTTTGACTATTTTTTTGAAAGTAAATTGTGTTTTGGTACTTTTTTTTCCTACCTAAGCTGAGAGCCTTGAGGCTATATCAGTGTAACCTTAATTAGTAGGTGAGCTCACGGGGCTCAAACCTGACGATGTTGCTAACACGAACCCTAGCAAGAGCCGTGCTTCGCAGAATCTACCACCGGATCGGAAACGCTACCCACTGAGAAGATTCGAACCTGGCGAGAAACTCAGTGGGCTGTGTCGGAGGGTTATTTGGTGTGCAATAAAGTGTATTCTCTCTCTCACCTGTCCTTTTGACAGACGAAGAGGTTGAAGCTGTTTTCTGCGCCCAAGAACGTGTCGTCGTCCAGGATCTCCACGGCCGTCATCCAGTTGGGGCTGTAGTCGCGGGCTATCTCCTCGAAGCTGCCCTCCATCTGACGCACAAATATCACGATTTAATTAGGACCAGTGGCCCCTCAGTGTGCTTAGCGCGAGTTTTTTAACGTTCTCGATAGCGTAAAACTTGACTATACTGAGACCTTAGAACTATATCTCAAGGTGTGTGGCGCATTTACGTTGTGGATGTCTATGGGCTCCAGTAACCACTTAACACCGGGTGGGCTGTGAGCTCGTCCACACATCTAAGCAATAAAAAAAAAAAACTTAGCTCATATTTGTATGGAATGGAATCGGTTGCGTACGTTTGCCGCTAGGGGCGCTGTTCCAATCGCATACAAAATTGGCTTAACTTTTACGCTATCGACAACGTTCAGAAACTCGCACTAAGCACACAGTAGTCGAAATTCGACTATAATTAATTGAAACTATAAGTTTGTGCTCTATTATCAAAGACTCTTAAACTTCTATAATCACAGATTCGCCAAGACTACACTTTAGACAAATATCAATAAAGGCAAACAATAATTAATCTACTCTCAATTTGACCACAGACTGTAAGGCAATAAGATTAGTTTGAAAATAAACAAATAGTATGCATGCGTGTTTTTTTTATTGATTTTAATGTATTTTTATGCATAAATAAAAAAAAAATTAACATTCTGCACTTCTTTTCTATTTTCTTTATAAGTGTGGGAAATTTCATACTCTACCGTCCTCGCAATTTTCTTAAAAAGGGGTACAAAGTTTTTGCTTCACGTATTAATATGTAGATGAGACGCGCGTCATTCTCTTGTAACGAGTATTAATATTTTGAATTAAGTGTAATTACACACTCCGTACATAAGACTTACGGGTGTGTGTTGTGATACCTGTTTATATTGCAGTAGCGACATGGAGCGCATCAGATCCCCGACCAGGATGAAGTCTCCTTTCGCCTTCAGGTACAGAGCCACGATGTTGTTGAAGTGACTGCACTCCAGCCGCAGCTCCTTGTCCGACGTCCACTCGAACAGCCGCACCTGTGGGGGGCACGCGGCGGTGTTACTGTGGGGGGGCACGCGGCAGTATTACTGTGGGTGGCACGCGGCGGTATTATTGTGGGGGCCACGCGGTTGTATTACTGCGGGGGCCACGCGGCAGTATTACTGTGGGTGGCACGCGGCAGTTTAATTGTTTGGGCCACGCGGTTGTATTACTGCGGGAGGCACGCGGCAGTATTACTGTGGGTGGCACGCGGCAGTTTAATTGTGGGGGCCACGCGGTTGTATTACTGTGGGTGGCACGCGGCAGTTTAATTGTGGGGGCCACGCGGTTTTATTACTGCGGGGGGCAAGCGGCAGTATTACTGTGGGTGGCAGACAGTAGTTCACAAGAAGCAATTATATGTACTCAAAGGACCGAAATAGAAGATCACCGTGCTGTTGATGGCGGCCAGTAGCTTGCCGTTGAACTCCACCAGCGAGTAGCAGCCCCCTTTGATTTCCTTTTCGGCCACTTGTACCAGTTTCCCTTCGGACCAGTGGAACAGCAGTATCCTGCCCTGTTGATGATAGTCATTATATTATTTAGCCGGGGATTCTTAAACTATTTTGAGTGGGACAACCTGTTTGGAAGTCGTCGTGGTCTGAAGGATAAGACGTCCGGTGCATTTGTATCTAACGATGCACCGGTGTTCGCATCCCGCAGGCGGGTACCAAATTTTCTAATGAAATACGTACTCAACAAACGTTCACGATTGACTGCCACGGTGAAGGAATAACATCGTGTAATAAAAATCAAACCCGCAAAATTATAATTTGCATAACTACTGGTGGGTAAGACGTCTTGTGAGTCTGCACGGGTAGGGTACCACCACTCCGTCTATTTCTGCCGCGAAGCAGTAATGCCTTTTCGATTCGAAGGGCGGGGCAGTCGTAACTATACTGAGACCTTACAACTCAGGGTGATGGCATTTACGTTGTAGATGTCTACTTAGCACCCAAACACACAGCGGGGAGGCTAGTCCTCCGGTCACCTTTTTAGGCTCCGGCTCCTCGGGGTTGAGTATGGCGGTCCCCACGGCGTAGTAGTGCGCGGGGTCGTCCCCCAGGCGGCACGACATCAGCGACATGGCCAGCTCGCTCGACATCAGCTGGTGCGAGTGCAGCACTGCGACAAGGGCACGCGCGTCAACCTCTACTCATTTTTTGGCGGGAACGCGAGGAATGAGGTTATGTGATTTGTTTTATTCTATCTATTTAGTGTTTCTTGAAGTTTAAATGCGTAATAACGGTGCTTTATTTTAACTGTTTAGTATCTGTGAGGGTGCACAAATGTGGGATTCTTGGGATCCTCCAAAAAATCCAATGAAAAAATCTCAATAAATAATCACCACTTTACTGTGACTTTATTTTATTCCATATCACCTCATCTCATTTCATTTAATTTCATCCCAGTTAATTAATGTCTCAAATTAATTATCTTCATTTCATTTCACTCCATATTATAATTCTTCATAATAATAAGAATATAAATTAAAATAAGACATGACCTAAAAGTCTTAGTTACCAGGTCATAAAATCCATTAAAAAAAAATCAACCTGATCTCATCTAAACAGGTTATCTTAAACTGTTTTAAGGAGAAGTGAGCCGCGGATGACACCGGTGACCTACACGGCAGTCAAAGGGTTAAATCAGTGATTCTCAACCTTTTTTTTGTTGCGGCACATATTTAACGATTTCAAAATTTGGCGGCACACAAAAAAAAAGATAAAAATTATTTACTTACTGCAACACACTGCATAAACAGTTTATGAAAAAATTTTAATATACGAAATAAACTAAAATATACTATATATATATTTTTTGTGGATTTAAATATATATTCATGTTTAAAATATTTTTCTTTTAAAATGATATAATTTAATAATATTAACATTATTATATATTCGCAAAATTTGGCGGCACACAAAAGTGCCGCGGAACAGTGGTTGAGAATCACTGGGTAAAATCATTAATTTCTCGTTTCTTAAAAAAATATTTTTATTGCCCTTGTAGGCAGACGAGCATACGACCTACCTGATGGTGAGTGGTTACCGTCGACCATGGACTTCAGCAATGCCAGGGGCAGAGCCAAACCGCTGCCTACCCACCTTCAAATATCAACGTGTAATAATGATGGTTTATTAGATAAGTGTACGTATGTATTATGAAGATCACGCGTTTTTGAGGGTCATTCAGCGAGCTAGGGGCTGGGTCGCGGGGTACCTTCGAAGGTGTGGTGGTCGAGTATGAGCAGGTTGTGCAGCTCGTGGTCCAGCGCCCGCCCCGCCTCGCCGCCGCCCCACTCCAGCTTCTCCACGCGCATCGTTATCACGGCGAAGGTCTGCGGGTGAGCAAGCGTGAGCATCTTAGACAAGGAGAGTCATTAGGCTGCGTGGACATATATCCTTTGATTTATTGTACCAATCCCTCGCTGCGCGCATTTGTGCGTCCCACATTGCGCTTACCATTGCGTGGTCTCCGCACCTGGCACCGGGAATGCGAAAAAAAGTTTTTTTTTCTGCCTAAGCTGATGGCTTTGAATGGCCATTTCAGCGTAACCCTAATAAGTAGATGAGCTCATGGAACTCAAACCTGACGACGTTGCTAACACGAACCCTAGCAAGAGCCGTGCTTCGCAGAATCTACCACCGGATCGGAAACGCGACCCGCTGAGAAGATCCGGTGAGAAACTCAGTGGGCTGTGTCTGAGGATTAATTGTAATTCTGTTGACCAGTGCTTTAGGGTGCTAAAAGCACTGAGAGTGAATTCCAGGGATCCCACAAGACAAATTTACAGGCGCTATGACATGTCCTTCTTCAAACGAGGCTTGTGGAGAGTATTAAGCGGTAGGCAGCGGCTTGGCTCTGCCCCTGGCATTGCTGAAATCCATGGGCGACGGTAACCACTCACCATCAAGTGGGCCATACGCTCGTCCGCCTTCAAGGGCAATAAAAAAAAAACACTGCCTCTTTGCGTTGCCCTGTCTCTTGGGTCGGATAAGTAATTAGCAGCAGCCAGGATGATGGGGTTATCGTGTGGACACGGTGGGGGGTGGTGTGGGACCTGAGAGGCCTCCTGGTAGGCGATCCTGCGCGGCGTCTCCCCGAGCGGCACGGTGCGGATGTGCAGCTTCTGGATCTCGTCGATGGTGCCGATGGTCACCGTGCTGTCCGTGGCCAGCGCCAGGCTGCCGACACGCGACAACAGCATTGTACTTGTATGGCAATGATTAATGTTAACAAAATTATATAGTTGAAACGAAGTTCCTTATGGGACGATGCCCTAACCGGGAAAATCGTCCGTAACGTAAGATTTTTCATTAGTAATGTATAGAGTCTTAGTATGATGGCTATACAGTGTCTAATGTAAATAAATACATGTGTCTACGTGATGAGGGTTATTATTATTATTCATATAAATAGCTGTTTCTTTGTATATTATTATTATATATTTTTTATAAATCATTGTGAATAAAATAAAAGTTGATAACTTAGTAAAGTAGTTTTTTTTTTTTTTTATCAATAATTTTTATTTATTTATAATAAAAAATGTGCACCTGAATAATTATTTTCTTTATACCTCGAATAGAACTTAATATTAATATTTTTATAATATGGAACTTCGTCCCTATCCGGTGTCCCACGACACCACACATCTTTTTTTTTTTTATTGCTTAGATGGGTGAACGAGTTCAAGGCCCATCTGATGTTACAAAGTTACCGGAGCCCATAGACATCTACATAGTAAATGTCACCACCAACCTTGACACATGAGTTCTAAGGTCTTAGTATAGTTACAACGGCTGCCCCACCCTTCAAACCAAAACGCATTATTCTTCACGACAGAAATAGGCAGGGTGGTAGTACCTACCCGTGCAGACTCACAAGAGGTCCTACCACCAGTGTACTACGAATTGACGCACGCAATGTACGCTATTTGTACATAGTGGCGGGTACATGGCGAGCTGGCGCGCGGCGGTACCTGTCGGGGTAGGCCTGCGCGTTGAGCGAGCACATGTGCGTGACCTCCTTGAGGTTGACGTTGGAGAACACGAGCTTGTGGTTGGACGAGAATATCACGGTGGGCCGGTCCGAGCACGCGAATATGTTCGTCGTGGACAGCGACCTGCGAACAACACAACTACACTTGTACATATCGGCGGGAGATAGTAGAAATGTCGTAATTTGCATTTTGGGCTAAACGACTTTGTACTTTATCATATAACACATATGGCTCTAGTACAAAATTGGTCTTTTTAAGTTACGACAATTGCGCTTTCTTCCTTCGATATGTATCTATATGTCGACGGGTCGAAGGCTATGTCCGATCCAATAACGGTGCTTTTAGGCACCTCAAGCACCGGTCATCGTTCTCGTCGCTTGCGACGAAGGGCTCGACGAGTAAATTAACCCTCAGATGTATTGGAGTGTTGTAGGTGAAATAAAAGAGAACTGTTCAAGTCGACAATTCGTGTAGTACTGTTGTAATTTAGTGTGTGCAGTTACAAATATAAGGTTAGGCGAGCTGCACACTACACCTCCCCTCTTTTAAAAAAAATGATATTATTACATAACCACTTTTTTTCTTTTTTTTTTTACTAAATCTAAATTACACAAAATATTATTAACTTTCATACTTTACTAACAAAAATCCAATAAAACAATATTTTAAGTTACAAACTTCTTTGTCAGTAATACTTGTCACGTCTTTAATAACAAGTAACTTGGGAAAATCTTTAAAATGGCTCATTTCCTTTACAAAATTGTTTACAAGTCGTTCATAGCGCTTGCTTTTAATTATTACGAGCACGTTTATATTGATTTGCTTGCAAAAACGTTATAATTCTCTCATTAACACACTTACGGTAGACAACGATTGAGAAATTATAAAAATTGCTGATTTTTCAGGCACGAATTTGCAATTACCATTATCACTAGTAAATGTTTGAATTTTTCTATCTGTTTTAATGTATTTTTATTACAAAATAGAATCAATTCAACGCCGTCAATTGGTCGTTTGAGGATTTCCACTACTTTAGGTTGATCAGGCCTTGGAGTAGAGGATACCTCCGTAGTCATGTTATTATTGTCACAGTCAATACGTAACCTACGAGCTTGTACTCTTGTCATGAACGATACTACATGCTGTTGCATTTCCTTTAAGCTGTTGGATGTAAAAGGTATCCGGCTCAATGCATCTGCAACTGCGTTGTGCAAAATTCACATGATTAATTATAATATTTAAATAAATATACCCCATAGACTCTAAATTAGAACTAATTTCTTCTATAATTATCTTATCATGTTTTACTAAATTCAATAAATTCTTATGAACTAGCTGCACTATCGATTAATAAATTAAGATCGATATTACTATTTTTAAGTTGACACTTAATTACACAAAAATTACTATAACTAAAAATCGAATGAGTGCACTGTTTAGGTACGAAAAACTCTAAGTTGTCATAATTATTTGCGTTATCGTTGTGCAAGTTGTCTTGGACATTGGACTCTTGCGTATTATGCTGTACACGCTGATTATTCATCGGCCGTCCGTGAAAATGCTGACGCTGGCGTTGATCGCCTGAGTGTTTACCTCGATTTACGATATGTGAAGTTCGTTGACCTGAACTATTTTCATAACAATTATAGTTACGATTATAATTTAATTTCTGATCTTGTATTTTTTGATTCGGTTGAGTCAAAATACACTCCAATTTACTATATTCTTTTTGAGCTTCCTCTTTGAGTTTCTTAAAACCTAAATCTTCTGTACGCCTATTTGGACCAAGTTTTACTACATATTCTCTTAAATATTTTAAATTAGCATGAAAATCTCGCAATTATCGTGACATCATTTCCTTAAACTAAATATAAAGAAATTCCGCATGAACTAAATAATAACAACATATACTCGTAATAGAGAACATTAAAATAATGAAAAAAAAAATATTACAATATCAAAGCAAAAACTTACATTGCAGTAAGCACGTATTTACTGTCAACGTATAAGTAGGTCATGACGTCTTACGTAGCATGGGTGAATGAACTCCTCAGCATTGGACTCGAGCTGACTCCTAGCTGCTCCACCTCGGACCCGTACAATTTATCTCCCGGCGCCCTGCATATCCTCTCATCATAAGGCTTGAGCATTCTCCCGGCTCCCGGCAGCAACACCCTTTTCTGTCTTCTTCTATTGTTCTCATCGCTTCATCCAAATCAATCTTCTGTGAGGGTTTTTTTTCTTTTTTTTTTCATTTTCTATAATTTGAAAATCTTCTTTTCTCTTCTCGTTTTACAAACTTCTATTCTTCATAATTATATTTCTTCATATTTTATTCAGCTACTCTCGTATTTTACGTATGTTGCAAAATTTTAACTGCTGGCTAAGGGTCGCCATGTATTGGAGTGTTGTAGGTGAAATAAAAGAGAACTGTTCAAGTCGACAATTCGTGTAGTACTGTTATAATTTAGTGTGTGCAGTTACAAATATAAGGTTAGGCGAGCTGCACACTACACACAGCCCACTGAGTTTCTCGCCGGATCTTCTCAGTGGGTCGCTTTTCCGATCCGGTGGTAGATTCCACGAAGCACGGCTCTTGTTAGGGTTCGTGTTAGCAACGTCGTCAGGTTTGAGCCCCGTGAGCTCACCTACTAGTTAAGGTTACGCTGATGTAGCCTCTCAAGGCTCTCAGCTAGGTAGGAAAAACAAGGCTATTTGGTTTAACCCTATGACCGCCATGTAGGTCACCGGTGCCCTACGTGGCGCACTCAAGTAATTATGTCGATTTCTGTTAATGTGTTTCAGTATTTTAGATCTCTTAGAAATAAAATTTATACTTAGTATGTTCGGATTCGTTTTTCCCAGGATCTACTAGATATTTGGGCGCTTTAGTAACAAAAACTGACTCAGGGCACCGGTAACCCACATAGCAGTCAGTGGGTTAAGGGACAATTTTGCAACTATACAGTACATGCTTAATGAGACTTTTTTAACGTTCTCGATAGCGTAAGAGTTTGCTCATGTTTTTTTATATTTTGTTTCATTGAAAGATATATAATTATATAAACTTTTTCTTCTTCAATATAAACTTTTGTATAAACTTCTACATCTGTTTGTATAATACAAACAAATGTATAATTTGTATAATACTATAAACAGATGTAGAAGTCAACGTTTCGGAGGTGTTTTTTTAGTGTCTCTACTTTCACATGTGTGGCAAGACCGCCACGCTTTTCCATTATCATTATTCCTTATCCATTCCCGCCCTAAACCCTTCTCCATAAGAGAAACAGCGTGAGACGACGAGGTCATCGGTTCCGGTGAGTGATAAGCTAATATTTTGTTAAAACAGTACATATGGTGGACACATTCGACGGGCACCTCGTGCTGGTTTCCGGAGCCCTGGGCCGCCACGAGGGCGCTGGGTTCGGATCGAACAATGACACTAAAAACTGTTTGTTCGTTACGTGACTCACATAATGGAGGGCACGGTTTTTTTTTTATTGCCGTATAGGCAGACGAGCATACGGCCCACCTGATGGTGAGAGGTTACCGTCGCTCATGGATGTCAGCAACGCCAGGGGCAGAGCCAAGTCGCTGCCTACCGTTGCTGTGGGGCGTTACCTGAAGGTCCTGAGCACGGTGGGCTGGGTGCCGAGGGTCACCTTCTTCTTGTTGGACAACACTCCGGTCTTCTGGTCGACGGTGAAGTAGAACATGGAGCCGTCCCCGAGAGCGCACAGCAGGTAGCAGACGCCCTCCAGCACGCTGATGATGAGCGACCGCGGTATTATCTCTGCAAACAAATATACATCGGACTTTTCTCACTGGTGGTAGGAGCTCTTGTGAGTCCGCACGGGTAGGTACCACCACCCTGCCTATTTCTGCCGTGAAGCGGTAATGCGTTTCGGTTCGAAGGCTGGGGCAGCCGTTGTAACTATACTGAGACCTTAGAACTTGTATCTCAGGGTGGGTGGCGCATTTACGTTGTAGATTTCTATGAGCACCGGTAACCACTTAACATCAGGTGGGCTGTGAGCTCGTTCACCCATCTAAGCAATAAAAAAAAGAAACAAATAGACATCGGTCTTTTTGGCGGAAACGCGAAGAGCAAAGTCGTGTGTGTGTGTGTTTTTTTTATTAATCAAATCATATTATATATTGCTTAGATGTGTGTGTGATCTCACAGCCCACCTGGTGTTAAGTGGTTACTAGAGCCCATAGATATCTACGACGTAAATGCGCCACCCACCTTGAGATATGAGTTCACCAGTGAATTGTTTTTGTTTATTTAGTGTTTCTTCAGGTTTAAATGTTAAACAACTGTTTAATATCTGTGAGAGTGCACAAAAGTGGGAAAATGAAACAAAGCCGCCGGAAGTAACTTCGCGGGATCCTCCAAAAAGTCCACTAAAAAAGTCTCAGTAAAAGACCACTATTTTACTGAGATTATATTTCATCCCATATCATCTTATCTCATTTCATATAATTTCATCTCAATTGATTAATTTGAATTACGTTCGTTTTTTATTATTCATAAACTGTAACTATTTAAAACGGCGAATTATAAACATTTTATTACTTGACGCTGGCTAATGTACAAACCGTGCTGGAGCCAAAAAATAAAAGAAGAAGAAATGGACATCATACACGAAACGAAGGCGGGGGACGAGCCCGCGGACCCCCGGCGTGTGAGAGGACGCTGTCGCCCCCTTTTTTATTGCCTAGATGGGTGAACGAGCTTACAGCCCATCTGGTGTTAAGTGGTTACTGAAGCCCATAGACATCTACAACGTAGCTGCGTCACCCACCTTGAGATATAAGTTCTAAGGTCTCAGTACAGTTACAACGGCTGCCCCAGCCTTCAACCCGAAACGTATTACTGCTTCACGGCAGCAATAGGCGGGGTGGTGGTACCTACCCGCGCGGACTCACAAGAGGCGTGAGCCCGACTCTAAGCTGTACAAGCTTTTTTTCATACGAAAATACCAACAAGATTTCCGATTTTTCTTGTGGAATTTCCTTTTTTTTATGATTGAAAGATTACTGGTGGCCCGGAGGCCTTTTCAGTTTCACCAGGACAGGTGGGCGAGCAAAGGCTCAGCCAGGAGGGGTGGGATTTACTAACAGCTGCCCGAGCGCCTCCGAAGGAGATCTAACAACTCAAAAGCAATTGCTTCGCGAATGAATCTACTACCGAATCGGAATCGCGACCCGCTGAGAAGATCCGGCGAGCAACTCAGCGGGCTGATGTTTAGGTCAGGTTGCACGTCGACCTCCTTGTCGAGTTCGACTAGTATGGTTACCGGGGTGATGTAGATATTCCTGACAACCAACATTACTAAGAATGAATTCGTCGGATCGATGGAGCCAGTACACAGTACACAGGGTCGCACCTCCGTACAGCTTCTCGGTGTGCAGCGGCGTCATGTCGGGCAGGCGCAGCACGCGCACGGAGATGTCGGTCCACAGCCCCACGCCCAGCAGCGCCTGCTCCTCGCCGGGGCCCAGGTCCAGGCACGCCACCTCCTCCTCCATGCACACCTCGCTGCGCCGACACAAACCCACGTCACACATATAAAAAAAAACAAAATGTGTGTGCGTGAGCAAATCACACACAGTAGAAATGAAACTTATAAAAATAACCGCAAGGGTCAATCACTCCGCAGTGCAATGGCACAGCGGCACCCTGGGGGATCCGCCTGCATGATCACGGTATTCCTACTTAAGTATGATTTTTTTTTCCTACCTAACCTGATAGCCTTGAGAGGCTGCTTCAGCGGAATCTTAACTAGTAGGTGAGCTCACGGGGCTCAAACCTGACAACGTTGCTAACACTGACCCGAGAGCAAGAGCCGTGCTTCGCAGAATCTACCACCGGATCGGAAACACAACCCACCGAGAAGATCCGGCGAGAAACTCAGTGGGCTGTGTCTGAGGGTTAATTTACTAGTCGAGCCCTTCGTCGCAAGCGACGGGTTCGACGAGGACGATGACCGGTGCTTGAGGTACCTAAAAGCACCGTTAGTAGATCGGGAGGATCCGAAATGACGTGCAGTATGATTTAGCAAAAGATTGAAGAGAAATACGAGAACGTCTATCAACTGTTTTCTCTTTCTCGTCATCGCGATTCAGGAATTGTTGAATTTACGTGCAGCGAAATCTGTTGATAACAAACTAAATAGAAATAAAAGTATCTCAGGGCGCTCCGAGAGCCACGACAGCGTGCACGGACGTCAAAAACACACTGAACTGGTCGGGAACGCGAGACCGTGTGGAGCGCTTCGTTATTTGTCGGCGCCGCTCGGAGCCGCTTCGGCAAACCACTTATTTTCGTTTCGTTTCATTTCGTTTCATCGAGTTTGAAATCAACGATTCTAAAGAAGTTCCACTTCAAAAAAACCCCAGCACTCACGCCTTGAGCTCGATGGCGGCTTCGTGCAGCAGCAGCAGGTAGAGGCGCGGGCCGGCGGCGCACACGAGGCGGCTGCGCGCGCACGCCACCACGGACAGCGCGGCGGGCGCGCGCCACTGTGACGTCACGCACCACCCCGCGCCCGCGCGACCCGCCAGCCGCACGCCCTCGTCCGTCACCTGCGACACAGATCATACACGTAAATAAACTATTTATAGACAAGCAACTCAAGCACTACCGCGCGGGTAGGTACCACCGCCCTGCCAATTTCTGCCGTGAAGCAGTAATGCGTTTCGGTTTGAAGGATGGGGCAGCCGTTGTAACTATACTGAGACCTTAGAACTTATATCTCAAGGTGGGTGGCGCATTTATGTCGTAGATATCTACGGGCTCCAGTAACCACTCAACACCAGGTGGGCTGTGAGCTCGGCCACCCATCTAAGCAAATAAAAAAAGAATAAGAGAACATTTACAGTACAGCTGAAAAATTTACGTTGGAGCGTCTCACCTGTATCAGCTGGTCGTAACATACGTTGCCTGTGAAGAACGTCTGTCTGTCCGAGAGGAACCCCTTGATCTCCGTCTCTTCGACTTCTTCGCCATTAAGCGCCAGCACCCTGTAACAGATCTTCATCAAGACGGGAAGACGACCACGGCACCTACATCTGATTACCTTTCTCTCAGAAATATTGTCATTGTCAAACCAAAATCTGCTATGTGCACTCTTTGAGATTTTTACTTTTTGACCGTTTCGTATAGATCACAGCCCTATCTATAGTATAAAAAAAATGTGTGTGTGCAAGTCACACACGGTAGAAGTGAAACTTATAAAAATAATCGCAAGGGTCAACAACTCTGCAGTGCAATGGAGCAGCCGCAGGTAGGTAGGTATGATTTAGCAAGAGAAATACGAGAACGTCTATCAACTGTGTAACATCTGGTCACCGCGATTCAGGAATTTTGGAATTTATGTGCAGCGACATCTAAACAAACTAAATAGAAATAAAATAAATATGGCGCGTAACGGAAGAAATTAAGATGGCGCGTAACCGAAAAACGTTACATACGTTTTTTCCTCCCTACGTCGATAAAGAAGTTTCACTTCAAAAACTGTTATGTGTCTATAGCTTGAATATTTATTTCATTTGATATAGTTCAAGAAAAATTCACCTTCATATAAAGTTTTTATACGAAAATGTTTTTACTCGTTAATTCAAAATAGAGTTTTTGCACATAGCTGATTTTGGATTGACAATGACGATATACCAGTAAAAAAGTCAATGATGTATGTATAGAATAAATTCTGATCACTTACAACGAATAAAAAACAAGCAAAATATGATTACCGTAGATTCGGGGGAATCGGGACCCTTTCGAAATCCAACACAAATTTTCAATAGTTTTTTTAGGGTAACACCAATAAAATTGAGATTAAAATGGTTCCGGAGGCTTAAATTTTTATATACGATGCGTTATTATACATAGTTTATTACAAAATATACACAAACACTGAAAAAACTAGCTATACCCGATTCACCTTGATTTTGGGGTGAATAACGTATGGGGACAATAGTTTTCTGATAGGGCTGTCACTTTTTAGTTGTTAGCGTAGGTACCTAAATTTAGGTAATTAACTTTTTAATATATTTAATGAGTTACAAAACATTCATGACTAAATTAAGTTATGCGGTAGGCAGCGGCTTGGCTCTGCCCCTGGCATTGCTGAAGTCCATGGGCGACGGTAACCACTCACCATCAGGTGGGCCGTATGCTCGTCTGCCTACAAGGGCAATAAAAAAAAATGCAATATTCTTAAGCACTAAAAGTAAAAGTCATTTTCAGTTCAACAAAGTTAAATCCAACTACTCGAACAAAAGTATTGTGACATCCTAGATTTATCGGTATTCTAACTCTAGTCTCTATTCTCCCCAATCTACTGTACTCAATAAAAATGTTTTTAATTGCCAAAAATACTCGTAAAAATATAACTGGTNCAAGGGCAATAAAAAAAATGCAATATTCTTAAGCACTAAAAGTAAAAGTCATTTTCAGTTCAACAAAGTTAAATCCAACTACTCGAACAAAAGTATTGTGACATCCTAGATTTATCGGTATTCTAACTCTAGTCTCTATTCTCCCCAATCTACTGTACTCAATAAAAATGTTTTTAATTGCCAAAAATACTCGTAAAAATATAACTGGTTTGACTATGGCGCGGGACCCCCGACACGGCGCGCGACTTTTGAAACCTCCGATCCGTTTCACAACGAGACACCACAGTTGAATTTCGCTCGTAAGCAAATGTGGAGGGAGGGAAATTCGAAATTAGAACTCGATCGTGTTTTTGAAGTGAAACTTGTTTAGGCGTGTTGAGAATAAAATTTACCTCGCAAAAGTTTCGTTGAAAGAAGTTTCACTTCTTTAAAATAAATTAAAAGAAGTTTCACTTCTTTTACGTATACCAAGTTGCACGCACACCATATTTTTTTTATAATAAATTATATCTGGCCTGTCTTTTGTATATCCCAAACCCCGACCCCCTCGGTAGCACGCGTGTACGAAAAGGAAACTTGTTATACATATATATCCATCCAATTCCAATATAAACCAGTAGTGACTAGTGCGTACCTAGTTTGTCCGACAAAGGACAGCACCAGGGTGTCGTGGTGGGCGGAGTCCGGGGCGAGGGTGAGGGGCCACATGCCCTTGATGCCGGGCAGGTCGATGGAGGCCTGCTCCTGGATGCCGATCCCGTTGCGGATGATCCGTAACGAACCCATTTTGAACGCCCCTGGATTTCAATGAGACCAGATCAATTTCTAATTGTTCTTTTAATTATATATATTTAACTTATATTTTACATAGTTACTGGTGGTAAGACCTCTTGTGAGTCCGCGCGGGTGGGTACCACCGTCCTGCCTATTTCAGCCGTGAAGCAGTAATGAGTTTCGGTTTGAAGGGTGAGGCAGCCGTTGTAACTATATTGAGACCTTAGAACCGTGGGCATCACAATGTGAGCTTTATACATTGAGAAATAAGGTCGAAGTTCCATTTATAATCTATGAGATTAGCTCACATTTCAAATCAAATAAAATAAAAAATTCGACATAAATGAAAGTACATACTTGTTGAACCTCAAAAAGAACTACCGCTAATTCACAAAAACTAGCCTCCGTCCTGAGAAGAACTGTCAAGAAACTCAGCGGGCATGTCCTTTTCTTTTGTTAAATTTTTTTTTTTACGTTTGTATTAATTTTTACAATGAGTATTATAACGTAACAATTATTGCAATATTGAAATGCCCAGAGCGAGCAACTCATTCCCACTTTGTGCAATCTTCTAGATAATCATTGACTTTAAGTAAGCTTTATTGCACAAATGTTCTTTAATAGTTTTCTTAAATCTATGTATATGTAGGTTCTGAACATTTTGTGGGATTTTGTTGTACAGGCGCACAGACAAACGCCCGAATGAATTTCGTATCTTATGTAACCTACTCATCGGCACAACAAGCTTGTGTTTGTTCCTAGTATTTCTATTATGTAAATCAGACTTTTTAGGATACTTTTTTTTATTTTTATTTTTATTGCTGGGATAGGTGGACTAGCTCGCAGCCCATCTGGTGTTAAGTGGTTACTGGAGCCCATACACGTCTGCAACGTAAACGCGCCACGAACGTGAGATATAAATTCTAAGGTCTCAATATAGTTACAACGGCTGCCCCACCCTTCAAACCGAAACGCATTACTGCTTAACGGCAGAAATAGGCAGGGTGTTGGTACCTACCCGTGCGGACTCAGAAGAGGTCCTACTACCAGTAAAAAAACGGGAACACATGATGACAATGATCAGCTTTGGTTACCGGAGCAGGTGATGAGCTGGCTCTGTCCCTGGCGCTCGAGGTCCACGACGCACATGTCGACGATGGGCGCGAGGCTGGTGAAGGTCTCCATGGGCAGCACGTACTGGTGCGTGTCGTCCCGGGAGCTGGACAGGCGGACCAGCGCGGAGTCGCCCAGCCGGGAGCCGATGAACACGACGCCGTTGTCCAGGTACGTCATGCACTCCGGGATGGGGATGTCGCCTGCGAAACTTCCCCGCATTAAGCTCCACGCTGCCACTGAACTTTCAAATAAAACCTTTACTAATTGTACGGTTTGTCCACGGTAGGCAGCGGCTTGGCTCTGCCCCTGACATTGCTGAAGTCCATGGACGACGGTAACCACTCACCATCAGGTGGGCCATAAACCATAAGGCCGCCCACGGAAGTTTTTTTTTAGTTTTTCCGCAGAATCTACCGCTGCATCAGAATCGCGATCCACTGAGAAGATCCGGCCAGAAACTCAGTGGGCCCATGAACGTCAGCAATGCCAGGGGCACCAGCCAGCCCGCTGCCTACCGAAATGTTAGTTTGGCACCATGATCGATTATTCAGTTATACGATTGTAATCAGCTGGTGCGTCGGTTTGCTGGTGTCTTGTGATGCGTGGAGCGGTGCAGTAGTGTAGTGGCAGTGGCATGCAGATGAGTGCCTTTTCAAATTTTTAACTATTCTAATTATTGCATTAGAATATTTTAAATCTAAGACACGATAATTAAGATACTTTTTTTCTATTAGTTAAGCTACCAACAGTCTCTTGAAGCTGATATTTTAATATATATAAATCACGTGTCACGTTGTTTGTCCGCGATGGACTCCTAAATTACTTAACCAATTTTAAATTAAATTTGCACACCGTGTGTAGTTTGATCCAACTTGAAAGATAGGATGGTTTTTATTTCGATGAATGGTCGCAATATTTATTAATTAACAATAAAATGATTTATGTTGATTTTTGTTATTAATTGTAAGTTTCATAAGTCTAAAACAGATGGCGCCTTAAAGTTGTTACAGACAATTGTAATACTGTCTGACATTAATATCTCATAGATGGCGCTGTGCTAAAAATACCAACGTTTCACATAAGCTACAATTTAATGGCATAAGCACCACGTGTTTCTGAGGCTAAAGTATAAGTGAAATTTATTTCGTAGTAAACGCAATACAGTGAAATCCAATTGTTCTTACGTTGTCAATTTTTGTTATAAACATAGCCGGCCGCGTGTTATTTAGAAACAAAAACCTTAGCCACAGCAACGTGTGGCCGGGTCTGCTAGTAATATACAAAAAGAAAGACCGAACTGACGTTGTTAGTGTCTAGGACATGATTACCTAAGAGCTCGACCTTGAGGTCCTTGACGGCCTGCGTGCCGTCCATCTTCTCGTGCAGCTCCAGCAGCAGCATGAACAGTCTCCCCGCGATGTCGCCGGCTAGGTAGCGGAGGCCGCGGCTGTCCACGCGGCAGTAACAGTTGATAGGTGTCATCTGTAACCACGCGCTGCATCAGCCACGGAACTGATGGAGAACCGATATCGGTTGATAAATGGCACTCAACTGCCCATATGATTTTAAGAAGTTGCTTATACCCATAGACACTGTCCCCCCATGAAGGGTGTCCCCGGATGCTTGCAGTGGGCTCTACCTCCTCAAGAGAACAAGATGATTAAGAATTACGGAATAGGGAATTAGGTGAAGATACCGATGCTACCCTGAACAATAACAGTGGTCAGGGCGGTCTTTGTTGCCCCGACAAAAAATATGTTGACAGAAAATTAACCGGAAAAATAATTAAATTTTTTCTATCATACATTATTTCAATCGTTCACTATTTTGCAAAAATATATATAATAACACAGAAAGTACATTTAACAATAATTATTATTATTTTTGTATGATAGCATTGAAGTAATTTTTGTGTTTTTTATGGCAACACCATTACTGCCTTCATAGAAGCCGGAAATCTTAAAATGTCGAAATCATTGCTTGTTTTACAACTGCCTTGTGACTGTTTGTGTACATTTTTTGTGGTTTAAATCGACAACTTTTACCTATATGGTTACAGTAGGATGCTGTGCCCTGTGTACTATGTGTAATATTTTCCCTCCGGCTCAATTTTTATGTTTTATTTCATTTCTAATAGATTTTAGTTATAAATAAAATAAAACAATAGATTAACTAATACAGGGTTTTACATACAGGACATTTTATATAACATGTATTGTCGAGAGATAAAACTTTAAAATGCCAACTTTTTTCTAAATCACTCAATTAATTATTACCGTTGTCTGCTATTATTATCATGAGTCTGTATAAATGTGCACTGTGGCTTTAAATTACTATGGCCATCTGGCATTTCCCTTTTATATACCAAGTGCCGGATTTTTTTATTACATACCTCAAAAGGTACATCAAGAGCAGACTCTGCTGCGTTTGTAAGCTAATAAAAACAATTAAAAGTTTGAAAAAGAAATGCTTGCAGCACAGACAAGCGCCAGAGGATGTTGCTGAAATGCTTAAAGAGTACTTACTATTTACTTATATATTAATTCTAGTTTCTATTTTATTTATTCTTTTGTAGTTTTAATTAAATTTTATTGTATTAATTGTCTTTAAGCGACTTGTATATTTTGGTACTTTGTGTCATTGGACTTCTTTTACTTAACTGAGTAAAAATTTGTAGTTATTATTAACATGTTATCTTAAACCGTACTGAACATGGTACCTTAAATGAAAGATAGGTGGCCATGAAATAGCTCAACAAATTGATGTATTCCATATTTATTAATAGCAAAGCCTGATGGAAATTAATTAGTTTTAAATATATTAGCTTATTTTTTTGTAAAAATATTTGGCATTGGGATTAATTTTGGCAAAGTTACAGTATACACAAAAATGACAGAGTGTGGAACGGAGCGTTAAGATGAGAGTGAGAGAAAACGAAAAGAAAGGGATAAGAGAATGATAGACAGGAATCACAGAGAAAAGGAAGATGGCGAAGACGGTTAAAAAATGAGCAAGGCGTAATAAAAGTGTTAATTCATTTTTAAATTATTATTATAACAGAAGATTTTGGAACAGTGGAAGTTTTATTTTATGCGTTGCTATCCCTATTCTACATATTTTATGTTACCTTGATCTGCGGTGGAGCGACAGCCACATAGCTCTGACCGTCATGATACACTATAGATTCTTGACCAATAACTATGGCTCCGCCTGTAAAATGTACATGATTATTAAACAACTACCTTAAATTTTTTCAGTTGATATGTTACTCAAGTCAGTAATAAAAATAATAATATTTACATTTTTCTCTCTTAAAGCTACATATTATAGTACAAATATTTAAGGTTAAATTTTATTTTGTATTGTACAACATTAAGTAGAAAATCTAAGGTGTTTCTGATAAATTTAAAAATACTACAAAGTCCAGCATTATACCCAACACCAACTAATATTATGGTATCACAATATTCACATCATCAATAACATAAGCCAGTTAGTACCACCACAAATAAATTGAAATTCTAGACTGTCTTCTATAGATGGCAGACCAACATGGTCCACCTTAGATGGTCACAAGAACCTATCGACAATAGAGTGTTAATGATAATTCAGTGCTTTAAAGTGGCGGTCGAATTATTGTTATACAGTTGTTCCATTCTTAAAAATGGCATACTTGGTGGCAGAAATAGATATGGCACATGTATAAACAACTGTAATAGCCACATTCTATATTCTTTTTATTGAGTTGCTGCAACTGTTAGAACTTGACAAAGTTCAAATCCTAAGGCTTTACATGCCTAAAGTTTGATTTAAACATTTTGTTAAAAAATAGATCACCTAGTGGACTCGGAACCGGAATGAGTATGGATGCTTCAGTTTCAACATTATCCTGTTTCCATGATACTTTTATAAAGTCTTTATCTCTTAAGCCTATTTCGCGTGTCTGAAAAAAAAAACCTTGTTTATGCACACTTATAGTGTATTTGAAATATTTAATTTTGCAATATTAAGAAACTTAAATATGTATTTTAGAAAATAATTTCGTGCTTTATGCGGGGATACTTTATACTGGATTTGTCTACTGTGTAAGTTGAGTTAATGTACAAAATTACACTCATAACAACATTGTATATTCCACATAATTATATGGTATTTGCAGTAATTTGCTTCTAAGAGCACAAGACAATCAGTTTTCCCAAGCAACCGCTCACAATCGGTTATCTTGTAAAGTTACAGAAAAAAAAAACAACTAATAAATACCTTAATGTGTCTCCCATTTGTATCCTGATGGATCAGTATCAATGTAGGATTCGCACACCCATGAAGGAATTCGACATCGTAAACATTCAATTCTTCTAACCTGAACATATTTAAATACACTTTTTAAATTTAAAATTTAGATTTAGTATTGTGGCTAGTATACTGATTCAGGTTGATTTCTGAATGAAAACACTAATAATCAATGCCTTTAGTAAATTTTTGGGTCAGTGATTTTATTGAAATGCACTTTTAAAATATATTAATTATGTGATTGTGCTACTTTCGAAATAGTACATACATAGACAACATGGTACACTTAGATTGACTGGATAATATCTGTGTAAATGTACTTCTAAAATATTTTTTTATTAAAAATAAAACATGTACCTCAAGCTGGCAGCCTTCAGCTCTGCTGAGTCCTTCTCCAATGGTATAATCTTGAAGAGACCGTCATACAGCCTCAACCCGATGACCCTTGCCTGGGGATCTATCACAACTAGGATGCCATTCTCTGATGGTTTCCCAATTCGATCGGATACATTACCATGTGCACGTGTCACAACTTCGAGATCACCATTTGCACCTGTACGCCATTCTAGTATCATGGCATTGTATCTTGCAGTTAGAATAAATACTAGATCTTTATTTTCATACTGAAAAATGGACAATTACATGTTTTTCTATACTTAATTGGATTTCACAACACTAGGTTTAGGCAGTAATGTATTAGTACCTTTATACCAATAGCTATTATTAGTGAACTTTAATCAACTATTAATCAAATAAGGCAAAATAAGCAATTATAAACATATAGAAGTATTCAATTTTACTAAACATAGGTATATAATTAAGGCATTAGTGTAGAATAAAAGTTTAATTCTACTAACCGGTGGTCTAAAGAGTTTCATCTTTGCAACTTTTCCATATAAACCAACTTCCTTCATGGGGCGAAGTCCTTCTGGTGTGACCAAGTACATCTCCAGGCGAGACACCTTTGCTACTAGTAGATTTAGGTCTGTTGGTGATGTGAAGTTTCCTAGATAAACAGTTTTATAAAGGATAAGTAAGCTCATCACCAACTTTGGTTTAAATATAATAATTATAATGAAAATAAATACCATGTACATTATTTACAGGCATCACCAAGCATGGCATCTGCACTGCCACTGTTTTGAGGGATATGTATGTTTTGTAAAGTCTTACAATATATTTAAAGCTGCACAGTAATGTCCGAAATGTATTTAAAAAACATGCTTTTTTTTTTCTTTTTGTGGTTTTTATTACATACTTTTGAAGACAATGCATCCAGCATTGTTATTGGTTTGAAAGGATTGACTAGTTTTCTTTCTTGGCAAATTTCTTATTGGAGCTCAATTAATTATGTTAGTAAGCTTAATCTCTCTAGTAAGCTAATGCTCATGAGTGCCTAAAGTGCCTAAACCCTCACTGGTCTAACAAGACCAAGGAGACCGAAACAAAAAGTAAGAGTTTCAGATACAAAATACAGACATAGGACATTAGATGCTTTTCAGCATTATTCGGTATATTATAAGTGATTTCGCTAAAGTTTAGATGTTGGAATTAGCTTCATTCCAAATTTGTTGGCGCACATATATTGTTCAATAAGTACTATAAATGTACACAAAATCATATGCTTACAAGTATGTTGTACAAAGAAAATATAGTAAAATACTTCCTTAAGTTCCTTTCCAAACTAATATTAGCTTAAAATATATATCCTATTCCTATTTCTATAACCTCAATTTAGCAATAACAAAAATCAAAATATACATTACCTGTTACACATGCTGTGACCGAAGTCTGTTTTTGGGCTGTGACCACGTAGTGGTAAGACATGATGGTTTTTATTCACTTTTAAACTTTGTCACGCAATATAAACACTTTATTTAGCAGCCATTTATTATTAAAACAATGCGCTATTTTGCCGAAAACACCGACTCTTGCGCGCTCTGACTGCGCGAGTTCAAATACTTTATCTCGCATTTATCGATCGGCCGGATTTTTTGACGTTTGTGACATCTATGCATTGAGGAATTCATGTCATCGACATGAAGCTTTGGCTGTATAGAACAGTTCCATAGATATTACTTTAATGAAAATACTTAATATACTTATTTAAGCACACTCAATGCTACAATACTAAAAGGCTTATAACATTTGGCTAAATTTAGTCGACTGAATTCAGTCGCTACTGAATTCAGAGAAATGTGTAATAGCATTCAGTAACCTAGCTTACTAAATTCAGTAGCAAGGATAGTTTCTGACTGATTTAGAAGCCTAATTAGCAACGCATTTAGGAAGGTGTAATCGCATTTAGTTACTTATTGATTTCAGTCGTCCCATAGCTCTCCGTGCGTAAGGACGGTTTAGTTTGTTTTTTACTTCCGAATAAAAAGTATTTATTTCAGTCATCTTTATTTAATGTGCCAGACATTTATAAATAGCTCGACATGTTTCAGGGATAATTTTTGTCAGGAGGGGTTGGGATAATAAAGAACTAAATTTTAAATCTTGATGCGAATTTCCTGTTGCAAGAAATTTTAATATTACAACCAATTTTTCTTTTGGACTTATACTATCGTAGGATTAGATATGTAATAGTTATATACATAATAGATATATAATAGATTATCGTAGTATCGTAGGATAGTATCCTGCTTTTGAATAAACGGTGTCACAAGGCTTAATATTAGGTCAAACGATCTCGAATCCATTTGTAGATAATTTCTGAAGTCTGCTAGTTCTAATAAATGTTGATATTTGCTAACTTTCTGCGCAGCAATAAATATTTTTTCACCTATATTCTTCTTTTTCTTTTTTTTATTTCAAATTAGCCGACAGCGAGAGCTACGCCGCGCCAAGTCCAATTTTTTGTTGTCTAGACATCCTCTTATCCACACGATCCATATCCTCTTACACACACGACACGTCCAACTTCGTCACGCTTAAGCTGGCAATTGATTTAGTAACTCAATTAAGAGCAGTGTAATCAGAAGCTTCTAACTTGCTTCTAAATTCAGTCGACTAAAGTTAGCCAAGTGTAATAAGCCTTTTAGTAATAATATAATTCAATAAAATAAATAAAATAATACACTTATTTCTTATGTATACCTACTGTATGCTATATGTTATTTGTTTACTGATAGAACATAGTGAATAATGGCTTTATTTCTTAAAGGTTTGGCTGATTTAATTTTTAACTTCATAATGTAAGTTTAAAGGCATAATATGATAAACAAAAGGCAGCAACAGACAGAGAGAAGGATTTTTTTTATATTTCCCGTTGTTTTGGTTGAGCTGCTTCTTTTTACGTTCTTAACTTATTCTGTTCTGAGTCCATGGTGGAGTTTATATGTTTTGACTCTAACTCAATTGGTTCAATATGTAGGTATTTAATCATCACATATGAGATCAAATATTTGAAAAGATACCTAGATAGCACTTTATTGATTACATATACGGCGATGCGGCACGATAACAGCGTTTAGGGGGCTGCTGAAGACTACTCAAATCTAGAGGAGCCAGTCACCATTGACGCTACACATCCATACAGATCCATCCGATCCATTAAGCCAGTCATTAGGCGTCTGCAGCTCTGACTCTTCCTTCCTTCCTTCCTTTTTTCTTTCCTTCTTGAGCAGGCACAGATCCTCTAGTATTTGTACTGAACCTACGTACGTGAAATCATTAACGACTCTGCTGATTTTCCTTTCGGGCTTACTCAGCGGGTTGCGATTCCGATTCTATGGTAGATGCATTCGACAAGCACCTGCCCCTGAACTCTTAGGTCTCCTTCGGAGGCGCTTGGGCAGCTGTTAGTAAATCGCTCCCCTCTTGGCTGAGACCATGCGCGCCCTCCTGTGTTGGTGAAAATAAAGGGGCCTTCGAGCTACCAGTAAGGCTAAGTTCATATGATCGCGCGGTACCGCGCGTCACCGCGTGGTGGAAACGTTCACATGACAGAATATGTACTCCCGAGAGTCTGGCATTTTTTAACTATACCGGTAAAATGGGGCGTTTAGGGATTGAGAGGCGAATCGGGAAAAAACCGGGAAAATCTTTCGATGCTCAATATAAGTTTTATATTCGTTGCTAAATCTTCCATTTTTTATAGTTTAATAGTAGAATATTGAAAGTTCACAAAACAACTCTGAATTTGCATGTTAATAGCTGCTAACTTATAAAAAATCGCGTTTCAAATTAACTTCCTGCGGTGGTAATTATTTTAGTGCTAGAAACTTTGCTCTCTTTTATTTATTTGATAATAATAGAAGACGACTATGATTTATAAACGTTATTTAGTGTTTGAACCAGCATATATATTAAAGGTAAGTCTCCGTTGTTATTGGTTTTAATGTATTGGTTAAATAAAAATACATGTAAAAATCTGTTGTTTTTGGGGATATTTGGGACGTCTTAGGTACAAATAACAACGAAAAAGGGGTCAATTGGGATGAGAATACGTGAAATGGAAACGACCTAAGTATAAATAGGTACAGGTTTGTAGGGTTGTCTATGTAGTTATAACAATATTTTTTTAAATTTGTTGTTAAAAATCTGGTTTATTCGAAGCGAAATTGGGAATAAGTCTTTAGTTGAAATAGATAAGCAATTTAATATAAGTAAGTCGATTTTGCAGAGACATGTAACAAGATCAATGAAATCTCAAGGTGGACAAAAATGTCTAAGTAATACATAATAAAATATTTAATATTTGTTCAGAGTGGGGGTATTCATCTGATTAATCCATGGAATAACCGACACACCTAATCTCTTAACCCAGATAGAAATATCAGCACTGTCGATTGCACCTATAATTGAGGTGATGTCTGCCATGTACTTTTGTCAGTTTTTAAATTTTTTTTATTGATGATCACTTTGTTGGTGCAACTAAATAAATAAATTAATTAAAACTATATATAAAAATAAAAGTAGTGCCAACCCTAGCAAATTTCTCATTTCGTCCCAATTAACCGCAATTTTCGGGTAAATAGGGATTACACCTATTTTTGCGTTTTTTGCTTAAACTGGAATGCTAGTTGCATAATTTTAAATTGGACAACAAAGATGCCCCCAAGACTCAATCATTTTGATCCTGATATAGCATTATATACATCAACAACTACCTTAAAATTGCTCATAAAGTTGGAATTTGTCCCTAATCGCCCCATTTTACGGTACCTACTTTAGGATGTCAGTTTCATCTTTTGATTTTTTATATGGTTGCTTTGAAAACTATTTAAAATCGATAGACGCGATATCGTTTTCGCTAGGTACTCATTTTTATTTGATTTATGCGTCTGTCCATCTCAAACCACGCGGATCAGCTGAACAGGTTTATACAGTTTTGCAGAACGTGTACCGCACGCGAACAAGAACCCGCGCGCGGGTCGTAGCGGACCGCGCGTTACCGCGCGGCGGCTCGCGATTATGTGAACACTGTTTAGATTGAACTTGTACCGCGCGGTGAGTAGTTCCGCGCGGTACCGCGCCGTCATATGAACTTAGCCTAATTCCACCTTACTACAAAGACCTTGTTGTCACACCGCTAAACTCAGTAAAATTACACTACTTAATAATATCTTAATACACATGTTTAAATAACTTATGAGAGGTTTGTTGTTGTGCGTGCAATATCCATAAACTACAGGATAGACATACTTTTTTCTTTTATTTCTGAGGCCCACAATAATCGTGACTTCAATAAGACCTTAATAAAACTTACTTCAAGCTTAATTTAAACAATAAACTTCATATTAGCATCAGCACGTAAACAAACACAGCTTAGTTAGCTTTAATATGTGGCAGCACTTTGCGTTGAATTCAATTTATTCCTTACCTATTATATCATGTCTACAGGCCGAACGTGCTCATTCTCAATTCGTCAGAAGAATCGTTTTCGGACCAAAAACAATTCTTTTTTCGTATTTTAACGTGAAATTATTTCTTAGAAGCGGTTTATTTATTTATTTATGTACACATAGTCTTCGTGCGTTCTGTTAAAGTGACATCATGCTTTACAATTTTTTCTAAATAGAATCACCTTGGATATCTGTCATAAGTGTGTCCGGGATCATGCCGCTCTTATTCTCCTTTACCCGATCATTTGCAAACGCAGGAAATTGTGCCTTTTTACTACGAGGGTGACATTTTACAAAACTCGCCTACGTGTCTTAATAGGACCATCTATGGGAGTGTTCAAGTCGTCTATATTCACGACGATTTAGACCACGAATGGTTCAGGAAACATCTGAAGTCAGCTTAGTAAACTATGCTTGAGACCTTAGAACTTATATCTCAAGGTGGGTGGCGCATTTACGTTGTAGATGTCTATGGGCTCCAGTAACTACATAAAACCAGGTGGGCTGTGAGCTCGTACACCCATCTAAGTAATAAAAAAAATAAGCTTTGGAACGCTACTACTACTTGGCACTTCATTCATCTTTCGTGGCTACTGCTAACTAGGTACTCTCCTGATTCGGCTCACGCTGGAGTTAGTAACCGGTGCTTTTAAAAGCTACTGTGGCATCCAAAGCACAGAACCCCGTACACGTCGAAGACTCATTCGAAGAGTGCGGTGACCTGTGCTTTAGATGCCACAGTACGGAATAGTACGGATATACCGAGATGGTACTACCTGGTTCTGTGGAATGTTTAACGACTAAGGGAAGATCTTCAACCGAGCAGGGGATATTGCTCGGTAGACCGACGGTCCAAATGTGGTTGTTCGGAACTTGTATATATGTAAGCTTGCCTTGAAAATGTCATAAGCGAGATTCAGGCATCTGTCAAATATCTTGGGTTGTATGATGGCTACCGCCACAGTTCTACCCTCAATATTCTAAATCAACGGGTATTGTCCATATTATCACTGGTGGTAGGACCTCTTGGGAGTCCGCACGGGTAGGTACCACCACCCCGCCTATTTCCGCCGTGAAGCAGTAATGCGTTTCGGTTCGAAGGGTGGGGTAGCCGTTGTAACTATACTGAGACCTTAGAACTTATATCTCGAGGTGGGTGGCGCATTTACGTTGTAGATGTCTATGGGCTCCAGTAACCACTTAACATCAGGTGGGCTGTGAGCTCGTCCATCCATCTAAGCAATAAAAAAAATATTAAAAATTTTGCGAGAAGTCGGTTGCAAAAAAACACAATAGACACTGTCCATGGAATATTTTATTTAGTTAATTAAAATATATTTAATTGTTGTACTATATATATTAACTTATTTTAGATCATAGCGGCCAGTGGATGATTCAGTCATCTTGATCCTTGCTCGGTGGTACGCTCTCGAACAAAATTTGAGTGACAAACGTGAGCTTTCCTGAGAACAAAGTAAACGTAAAGAGTATCTTTGACTAAAGTGCAAAATAGTAATGTAAGAACGGGTGTAGTGAACATATAACTAGACCCCAAACGACTATTCAAATTAAAATGTGGCTGTATAGAATTTTATGCTAGGTACTAGGTAGGTACACGGTTCATTAGGTTTCTTTCAGTGAGCTCGTGAGGTACCAAAATATAGAGCTTTTTTGTGTACCCAGTTTTTTTCAAATGTGCCAAAACTGTTTTGTGGTCAATTCTCAGTTTTTCAGCTAACTACGCCGTAACTACTGATATGCCGATCTTGCTCCACTTTTTCAAAAATGGCATAAATTTTATCCGTAATATGGCGACCAGAGCGACGTGCATGTTTGACATCATAATTTCCGGATTGAAAACGCTAAAACCAAATTTGTGCTACTCTCACAGACACTGCACAAGGTCCATAAACATCGCCAATTTTTTTCGCGCCTTGCATTGCATTTTTACCTTTTTTGTAGTAAAATTATAAATTGTATCGAATTTCTTTATTAGATTCACTCATTTTGACAGTACGAAAAATAAATAAAAATCACACATTTTCCTAATTTGAATCTGGAATTATCTTCTTTGAAATTTAAACTTTTAATGATACCAAAACCAGCCAGATACAAATAGTATAGCCAAAGAGATATTATTACAAGCTCATACATACTATAATATAATGCGAAAAGACTTTTTCCCCAACCTATTATTATCATTCAGTGACATGGGCACTTAACGTATTCTTTAATTTTAGATGATTCCAAACAATAATACTCTGGAGTGGATGAAGGAGAAATAAAGTAAAAAGTAAGTCCGTTTAAAATAATAAAAATAACAGCCCCAAACGCAATATCTCAAAAATAAGTAACAAAACTTTGTTGTTTGTTTTCTCAAAATTAACAAATTGTATCAAATCCCCTTCATCCACTAATATCTTCGATTGTTGAATACTCACTTATTAAAGCCGACGGAGTTCTCTTGTAATATACAAACACAGTGTACACGACGACGCCTAGCAGAATGAATCCTATGGCCATTAGATATTTCACGGAAGGGTCTTCAACTATGGGCAGGACCGATAGGAATATGGCCACAATCAGCACAAAAACCGGTATAGGCGTTGGCACTCTATACGGACGTGGTTTAGCGGCTTGAGTCTTCCTGAGCACCAACAACGCCACCATCGCGAGACCGTAGAAAAACCACAGGAACCAACTAGCGAACTGTATTAAAGTTTTGATGTTTCCGACCGATATGAATATAGCCGTTAAGAAGGCCTGCAAGTAAACAATCAGGTTTATTGATCTATCTGTATAACTAACGCTACGGAGCTAACAAATAATTGTACTTTTCAAATTTTTGGTAAGCTTAGGTCCGTGATTTAACTGGTCACTGTCACTAAGCCAACTAGAACTAGCCTTTTTTATTTATTGCTTAGATGGATGGACAAGCTCACGGCCTACCTGGTGTGAAGCGGTTACCGGAGCCCATAGACGCGCCACCCACCTAGAGATATAAGTTCTAAGGTCTCAAGTGTAGTTACAACGGCTGCCCCACCCTTCAAACCGAAACGCATTACTGCTTCACGGCAGAAATAGGCAAGGTGGTGGTACCTACCCGTGCGGACCTACAAGACGTGCTACCACAAGTAATTACGCAAATTATAATTAACATCAGCCTACTAACAAGCACACTAAAGCAACGGAATTTCCCGAACGCTATGACATATCCTTCTTCAGACGAGGTTTGTGGAGATAAATCACAAGTAGGTAGCAATTTGACTGTGCCCCTCATATTGCTGATGTCCATGAGCGACGGTGAGTACTTATTATCAGGTGGACAGCAAGGTCGTCTGTCTGTGAAGGCAATATAAAAAACTAGAGTAAGGTAAACCACCTTGCAACATGAGCTCGAAGTACCACTTGTATGAAGACATTCCCTTTTAATTGTATTAAAATTTTAAACTTATTTTCATTGGTATGTTAGCTATTTGCAAGTCGTTGCCAAAAAAGACTTTTTTAAGTTTCAGTAAAATTTTGCTCATCATTCGCTTAGACACTTTTTCGAAAGATAACGGTAAATTTAAATTGGTATCTTTTTTCTACCTTTTCGTTGGTAGCTTATGAGCCTATTCCAGATACGCGTGGACGAATAGTTGGGCTCAGGGGCTTAACCTGAGGAAATTGCTAACACTGCCCCTAGCAAGAGCAGTACATCGCAGAATCTACCACCGGATCGGAAACGCGACCCACTGAAAAGATCCGGCGAGTAATTCAGTAGGTTATGTCTATGGGATTTTGTACCACTTTAAGGTACCGTCCTCAAAACAACTTTTTATTCTGCCATAGTTAAATAGATGTAAATTACATAGTAAGTATATTTACTTGAAATGCCACAGCCGGCGCGGGTGTTAGACGTTTTATGTTGACATACGAGAAGAGTTCAAGCATGTGACCCCCACGAGCCGCTGTGTAACACACCCTGAAATTGCATTGATATTTCAATTCTAATTTAAATGTTATAATGCAGCTATAATGAAAACTACTGATTTTATTGACAATAAAGAGCATCACTAAGGTCTCAGAAGTATTGATTTATTAAAAATAAAATAATGATAATTGGTCGTAATTAATATATGTATTAAGACAGTTGTAAACCAAAGATAATGGTGTGTACTGCTATCAACATTTTGTAACGGTAAAAAAATCAAATGGTTTCACGACGGTACGTGTTTTGGATTATTAGATCGCTAACCTGGTAACACCAAACTGCACACTCATAGCGCAGCCAAATGTTGCCACGGCAACACCGAGCGGCATGATGAAGCTAAACGGCCCGAGTACTCTTGCGCCGAACGCCACCGCGACCGCAGTGCCGGACGTCATTTCCGCGTAGCTCAGCACCGTCATATAGGCAACGTTCATGAAAACGTACAGCGCCGTGATGAGCGGCACGGCGATTGATATGCTCAACGGAACATTTCTGAGAACAATCTTGAAATTCTAGAGTTGAAACACAATCTTATCGCCATCGAACGATTTAAATCGATTACCTACGAAAAACGTGAGGGAAAGGCCTACATTAGTGAATTGGAAATTCCCGAAAACGACAATTAATGCTCGTTATTATCGATTTTTTTATGATTTATAAATGATTCTTTATAAATTAACTAACATGGTCCACTGTTTCGTGCGGGTCAAGAAGGTATTCGCCATCTACCTCTAAAGTAGCAAGCTTTTGTCGCGCGTTTTGCGGTAACTTAATTATATTGCAGTATTTTTTTTTATTGCCTTTGTAGGCAGACGAGCATACGGCCCAGCTGATGGTGAGTGGTTACCGTCGCCCATGGACTTCAGCAATGCCAGGGGCAGAGCCAAGCCGCTGCCTACCGAAGTATGAAGAATGTTTGTAACGGTTAATTGAACCAGAAGATCTCACTTCGATTAATAGTCTGCTCGGTGACTAATCAGAAGAAACCTTGCCAACAATCTTTCCAACAGGTGGTCTTATTATCATTTCACAAATCTTATTTTCCCATCAGACGCCTGCCTATTTCTGCCTCAATGCAGCCATGCGTTCCGGTTTGAAGAAACCGAAAGCCATATAGTGATACAGTCGAATGTTCTACCTCATGTCTAAAGGTGATCAGTAGAATCGATGTTTCGGTTTCTATGTACTACCCTACCCTTGTTTCACATTAGCCGAGCAAAAAAGACATCGTTTTTTACACAAAAGTTCGTAACAGCACATAATGCGAGACAACGCAGTACTCACACGCCAGGATTAATGATTTCCTCAGTGACAACGGTCACGCTGTTCCAGCCGTCGTATGCCCAGAGCCCGTAATACAAAGACAGAGCAATACTTCCGGGATTAGTTGTGCTACCCTCAAAACCTTTATTTAAGTGAGAGGTGTTGCCTAAAAACATTGAACATATCTTATCAACTGTATAGGAATTATGAGTCTCGTGGTTGAAACAAGCGCGTTTTCCCGAGCGCTATGACATGTCCTTCTTCCTTCCTTCCCTCCTTCAAGCGAGGTTTGTGGAGAGTATTAAGCGTTATCAGCGGCCTGACCCTGCCGCTGGCATTGCTGAAGTCCATGGGCGACGGTAATCACTAACGATCAGGTGGGCCGTATGCTCGTCTGCCTACAAGGGCAATAAAATAAAAATAAACTCGTTAGCAATCCGACGAACCCTTCCGAAGTGGTCAAAATTACAACAGTTTTCTGTATATTTAGTTAAAACACGTCACCTTTCGCGATTTCGTAGATGCCTCCACCAATGACGACGAGGCACGCTAGAACTTTACACACTCCAAAGACGTTCTGTACCTTCACGAACAATTTGACGCTAGTTATGTTGATGTAGGTCATGATGACTGAAAGATAATCCAAAGATTTACAGATTATTTTGAAGTTGGTATCATTAAAAAAAAATCAGTATTTCAATCTTTCCATACAGCTTTTGTTTATTCCTCATAGAAATTGTATTATTATAGTTAAATGAGTCGTCTATTATCAAAGGTGGCAATCTGTGCATTTGGACAAAAAAATGTTATTGATATGTCAATACAGATTGATTTGAATATAATCGTCTCCTTCAAAGAATACGGTTCAAAACCTGTATTAAATAAAGGTTAATACTCAACCTGTTATTTATCTAAGATGTCGTTCAGAAGAGTTTTGTGACTGCCAATGGAATACAAAGTCAATAATTAGTTTTTCTGATTTACCAACAATTGTTCAAAAGTCACATTGCCGGCTTTGATAATAGTCGACTCAAATTAGGTATTTAAATTCTGGTCAGACTGTTCACAGGCCACTTAGAGTTAAGTACACTTAGACATTACAATTTCAATAGTAGAGTAGTGGTACCTTGAGGTCGCAGGCTAAAATCTATTTGTAATCAGTCTCTCTCTTTAAGTCCTGAATACATGATACGCATTTGCCACACGCCACCATGCCTACCACCACTATTATCAAATGAGCTACCTTGAGCTTTATTTAGCCCCAGTGACATGCTATTACCAATGTGGAATCAGTTTTAAATATCCCCTAAATTAGGTACATCTGTGAGACCGATCAATTAATTTTTCATTATTAAAACAGACATAAAGTAAATCTTGCAATACAGTTTGTTTCTTAGGGAGTACCAGTTGTTTGGTAAAAAAAAGATGAGAGTTTTCATTCACAATTTTTTATTTCATAAAAACTTCATAAAAATATTTATACAATTATATAAAATAAGAATAATTTATTTCGCTAGGTAGGTACATTATGTTATATTTATTTAATAGGTATGAACTTTAATATGCAAGTTTCACTTCCATTTTATTGTACGGGTTTGTTGATATTATATTAGTGTCTTTCAATAATTCAGCAATTTGATAATTCTCCGCAGTTATTTGAATGTATCCACTGGAAGCTGGATTTAATCTTTCTGCCATTAATTGCTAAAAGGATAATTATATTTACAAGAATTTATTTATTTCATGGAAAATAATATAACAGTTCTGTAAGATTATTATGTGGAATTGATGCATTATATCAACTCCACATTATAATTTTGTTAAATAATGAATATGCACTGTAATATGCATGCACTGCATATTATGCACTGGTAAAAACATTTGCTATTAGATTTCATAGGTATCTATAATGCAATTTGTGAAGGTTTTGGATTTGTAGACTGCTGATCATTGTGGTTTTTTTTTCCACAAAGTTTTGTAGGTGTAGGCTCCATGTTGAATAAGAATGTTTGTTTCCATCAAGTTTACTAAAAATCAGCAATGTTGCATTGAAATTTCTTATTGCAACAGTAATATAAGGCAATGTAGGGAGAAACAGCTGCTTACAAACCCAAATATCTATGAGATAAATTCATCCAAGATCAGATACTATTGGGTCTCATATAGTCATCAATTTCTAGGACCATGCAGCCATTTATTCTTATTTTGTTGTTAGATATTCTTTTTAACCGTGCTATGAAATGTATTCAACACTTACCCCCATAAACTCAATAATAAGAGCACTGGTATTCGGAAACATGGAGTAAATTAAGCCATGCAATTCACTCTTTAATTGTGAAAACTTTTCTTTAGCATTCTTTACATGTTCTGATGATACTTGTCCATACTTTTGTATTGGTTTTGACATGGCTTCTTGTGCAATAGTGATTTGATTTTTTAACCTATAATATTTAAATATTTAATTTTATTAAGTACTTAACATAATGTTAATAACATGATAAACGTTTAGATTTAAATTTTGGTAAATTAATATCAGTTTCACTTTCAACAACAGTTTAATTTCTATTTTCTTAAAAAAAGTGACCAGTTATTTATTGCACTGCTTGAAATCTAATTACAAAATTAATATGCTATATTTAGTGCAGAAAAATGTTATTACGATGTTTTAATTACAATTAGTATACATTTTAGTGTTATTTGTTGAATCCTTCAAATTGAAATACAACATTTTGAACTAAGTTGGCAGTAGTATGTTTCCATGCATGCACAAACTCTAGAAATTGTGATAATTAGTAATTATTTAATTAAAATAAGTTATAAAGTTTACATTATAACATTTTTTTAGTAGAATTCAGCTGCGAACATTGTGTAGGATAGATATATCTACTTAGAAAAAATGTCATAAAACTTTAGGGTTTGAGCTTGTCATTAAGCATTTCAGAATGTGAAAACATGTTTGGTGGTTGCCCTATTAATGCTTCTCCAAAGAGTTCATTTAAATTATTTTCACTAATAATTATTTTTGCCCCTACCTCATAATTTCTTCATCTACATCACGAATAGAACCTTTCGTGAAAGCTGTTAATTCTTCTATCTGACCTGTTTTCTCTTTTATTTCATTTAGAAACTGACTGGTTAGTAAATTCTCATCTGTAGTGATAATCGTGTTTGGATTTTCAATTTCCGTTTTAAGTGCTTGTATGTAGGATAAGCATTTATGTGATATTTCATCTTGATTTGTAGAAGGCGTTTCTGGAGGCGCGTTTTCTATTATATTACAAACGTTGAGACAATCATTTTGTAGAGTTTTTATTTCGCGCTTCAGTGCATCTAAAGTCTCCGTATTATGTTTACTTGTCATCCTAAAATCACAAGTTTTAAACAATTATGTCAGTGTATGTAATTTTTGAAAATGATAATTTTTGTTTTTGTACTTACTTGAAAAGTTTAGAATTTGTAAATGTCTCACTGCCTCTAAGTAACTGTACTTTGAATTATTTTAAAACTTAAACATACGAGGTTCTTTAGCGTATTGTCGTATTAAAAAGTTTTGTGAATTTACCCTAAATTCAACCGTTTGTATTCGTATCTTCTTTTGTTTCACTCGTTTGATTTTGAAAACACATTTGACATATTAAACGTCAATGTCAAAACTAGAAAACAGTGCAGGACATCCTTTGGTATAAATACAAGTCGATAAGACAAATCGATTTTAAAGAACAGAAATAAATTTTAGAACAAAATTACTATGTTTACTTACACAAGGCTGCGAGTGATGCTAGTTTGATGGCATTGTCTTTATAATCTGGATGTACATCAATGGTAATTGGCTGAATTGCATATTCGGCGAATGTCATTACTACAATAGCTACTTCTGCCGGTCTAAGGATCATTACATAGATCCAAGCACATGAGAAAGACGGTAATGGACCCCAAAATTTGTGAATTTTCCCAAAGGCTTCCTGAAAATATGCATACTCGGCTCCTGATTTTCCAACTACAGTTCCTAACTCAGCGAACGATAATGCTCCTGAAAACAATAAAAGATTGTATTTGCACATGCGGAAACTATTGTTGCAATTTATTGAAATTACTTTTTGGATTTAGGCGTCTTACCTACACCCACCTAGTAAGGATATTATTCCTGAAACTGTCCATATTATTAGACATAGCGCTACGGACCCAGAATACTCCAATGCTGAAGCTGGGGAAACGAATATACCAGATCCAATCATTACCCCAAGAATTAGGTTAACAGCGGAGAACAAGCCGAGTTCTCGTTTTAATTTTACTGCGCTGCCGCATTCGCTGTGCTGTCTGCTTAGAGTTTCAGGTCTATCAGATATTTCCGCTTTTTGAGCGGACATCGTGAAACTGTAATGAGAAAAATTTTTTTCCTTTAAGCTAAACGCCGAACACAACCCTTGGCTAGTTTATTACGTATTCGTGTGTGATCTAAAGTTAGCTACATTTAGGGCCCAAATGACGTCAGAGAGAAGGAAATGAATTCAATTAAATTCAACCGAATTGAGTTAAATTGGCGTGTTATAATAAGCGTCTGGTTTTTCTTAGAGCTTTAGAGCTACCATTCGCGATATTGTATCCATAGACAGCGCTACTTAAAACTAAGGATGGCTTGTGGGCTCTTCTGGCTAAAAAATAATAATATATAAATATATGTACATTAATTATAACTGTAATTATAAAATGTAATTATAACTGCTTCCGCAGTAAAGACTAAGGGTCAATTCCTACTGAAAGAGCAGCGGCCGGCAGCGTCTTTTTGAGGCAAAATGTTACAAACTATTTTGAATCTTATCTACGTTATTAAAAAGTTCATAGTCATTTGAAGGCAAAGGAGGGGTAGCGTGGCGTCGCGAGGCTGCACGAGCCTTCTACCGACTAGTCAAAAGAGGCGCCGCGCGGCTGATCGCGGCGCAGCTAGCTGACGTGCGGTCGACCGCGGTACAGCTGACAGACTCGCGGCTGCGCGCGAGCGACCATTTCATACCCGCCCGACCTGCCGCTTGCGCATTTCGCGTCATTTTATTAGAGGGTATCTTGTTCTTCTTCTACAGCCAGTGCTATGATACATAAATCCAAATGCACCATATTTATTGCCACACAACTTTCCTTGAGTGAAGTAGATCGCACACTAGTTTTCAAAGCTACCACGCGGAGGTTCATTGCGGCGCCTCGGGATGCCGCGCTGTCTCTCGCGGCGCCGCACTGCCCCGCGCGGCGCCACACTGCCCCTTGCGGCGCCGCGCTCAGTCACTTGCTCTTACGGCCGCTGCGCGCCGCTGCTCTTTCAGTGGGAATTGACCCTAATGCTTATGATTTCTGACCCGCTAGGGTCGATTAACAGGAATGAAAAATTTACATTCGATAATTTATAAAAATCACTCATTAACGACAGCTGTTTGTGTGTTACGAAAATAAAAACAATCAGTATGTACGATTGTCTTTGTAAACGAATGTTATTTTCGCGGTAAGTTTAGGTATCGATATTCTATATTTTCGTCAAAGCATATTTGTGAAAAATTAATGAGGCGGCTACAAAATCCACCAATACGTCTAGGTAGAATGATTTCAACTTATTTGGAGAAAGTTGGAGAGCAGGCGACAACAAAGAAAAGGATAGGAAAGATGACAGAGAGAGAAGAAGGAAAAGGAAAAACACTGAAAAGGCTTTTTAAAAACTGCATTCAGATTTTAGTAGGTATAGTCTATTGGCAAACATGTTAATTGAAGAGATATGTCAAACGTGTCTTTTGTCATAATCCGTTTAATTTCGGTATGCCGTAGGTATAGATACCTAAATAAATTAAATCCTCGTTTTAGGGCCCCATCGCGTGCTACCCGTAATACCAATTTACTTTATAAATTCGTATTGTTAGAATGTATCGTGTTACGTGATCGGTATTTCCAAAACAATAATCGTAGTTTTGTAATTTACAAAACGAAGTATTCTCTTTATTGTTTTTTAAAGGCAGGATAGGCTTCGATCGTTTTTTTTTCTTCCTACCTTTGCTGAAAGTTTTGAGAGGCTATTTCAGCTTTACCCTAGCGTGTAGGTGAGATCTTGGGCTCAAGCCGGAGGTGTTGCTAACACTGGCCCTAGCAAGAGCAGTGATTTGCAGAATCTACCGCCGGATCGTAAACGCGACCCACTGAGAAGATCCGACGAGAAAATCAGTGGACTGTGTCTATGGGTTCATTTACTCGTCGAGCTCTTCGTCCATTTTCGCCACCAATTTTCGATCGTATTCAAGCGACAGTACCAGTACAAAACGATCGTGGAATTTGAAAAAAAAATCGGAAGGTTTAGACGAAATGTTTTCTTTAGAGGGTATACAAAACGATGAGTTGACGTCTATTTTTAGCTTTCCTAACATCAACGAAGGAAATTAAACACTCGTCGCCTTTATTGGTCTAAGTGGCTTACCCTCTTTGATTCGGCAATGAGATCGTTACAATAGCGCGGATATACTGCGTAATAGTTAGAGTCGTGACACAGGCGAGCGAAAATCGCATTTTAGTGCGAGCTCGTGACCCACTAGATTTTAAGTGACAGCCGGAGCCCGCTAGAGTATTTTCTCTTCTTTTTGACCCACTATATTATGTGATCCCTTTAATCCAGGTTTTTGGTCAACTGGAGTGTATTGGCGTTATAGCAGCTTTATTTTGTGAGCCCTTATGGGTGATTTCACTGTATGTATTTCAACCGCGCGTCCTTGTAAGAAGAGTGGTAATAGGTATAGAGCGGTAATGCAATGATTTAGGTCTATTGTAATAAGGCAGGTGCTGATATTCATATAGTCTACTATATAATGTCTACATGCTTCAGTAGTACCAAATCGGCCAGATACCAGATCCGATATTAACATTTAATTTCGTATTCAGGATAATACATATTATCCTTTTAACACTGTTATCCGTTTTTCGTCAAAGAGGTAAAAGTAAACCGTGTCTATATGCGCTGAACTAATAATTTGAATTCGGTTCTCATTTATGTTAATTAAGTAATGTTTATTTCGAACCGTTGTTAGCTTTGTATTGTCTCGTAAACTAGCTAACGGATCGAAGTAATAAAAATTAAAATCTGCTCAGATTTAAGTAGAAAGCATTTTGATTTGATTCTGCACTGAATGCAAACTAATTCAACAATGATGGTAGTGATCACATTTGTTAAAAATATTGATTAATAAAATTTATCTTGCGGGAACGGGATAGAGCATTATCTCTCGTTCTCCTTGTTGGACGGTTAAATTTGAGGGGATTGGGTTCTGTAGGTGAGGGGCTATTTAAAAACACTCTGCTTCATGGTTAATATATATTACAAGCACTTTGTATCTACACTATTATACGATTACAATATTTTATTTTTATAAAACCCTAAGACAGCGGTCGGGGAACCGAGGTAAATTACCCCAAATGGGGTAAAATGATATTTTGGGGGGTAAAAATGAAACTTTTGTGAGTAAAAAGTATATATTGAAATAAAATTTCTTTAGAACGATTCAAACTCGATGAAACGAAATGAAACGAAAAGAAAAAATAATATTTTTTTCAAAATTATCATGGGGGCTATATTAAGAAAGATACTAAAAAGAAGCGATTTTGTTTTTTTTTGTTCTTCGCCATGATGGGGTAATATCAACTTACACAAAAATACTTTGGGGTAATAATTAAAAAAGTTACCCGAATAGAAGACAATCATCTGTTTTAAACATTTAAATAAGCATTCCAATATTCGAAAACAAGTGAAGTACTTGTAACTTCACATGTGACAAGAGTTGCCTGCCATTACTTTCATATTCAAACTCCAACACTCCTCCCACATAATATGTCGTTGGGCATATCACAAAGCCATTAAGTTATACGAACAGAAGGAAATTTATTATTTTAATTCTCTTGAATTCACCTTAAAGTGCGCTTAGTGAAAGTTTTTTAACGTTCTCGATAGCGTAAAAGTTAAGTCAAATTTGTATAGAGTTAAACGTTTGTCTACGTTTGCCGCTAGGGGCGCTGTTCCAACTGCATACAAATTTTACGTACGAAGCAACGGATACAACCGTTCTGTCTATTTCTTCAGCTTAGCAGATACACTTCCCCTTTGAAGGGTGGAATAGCCGGCAATACAGATGAGACTACTCATATCTCAAAATCATTTAAGCTCCGGTAACCAACTCGGCAGGCCCCGAAATAGTTCTCTCATACGTGCATAAAAATAAAAGATTAACAGGAAATAATAAGGATAAATAAATTGTTAAAATTAGTAAATTCCGATACTCGAACTACATATTATTATTTTGTTTTGTTGTAGCTCGGTTATTACGGTGATTAAGTTTGATACATTTCTCTTCTGAAGATCGCATACAACCGAAGATTTTTAATGTAAGCGTTACCCGGTCACGTTTCACTTTGAATACCTTTTTTCCTCTCTATTCGCTGGTAGCCTAGGGCGTTATTACAGCTGCGCTCTGATGGGTAGGTGAGCTCAACCTTAAAGTATTTGCTAAAACTAGCTCTAGCAAGAGCAGTGCTTCGCAGATTCTACATCACCTGCCGTATTCTGGTGGAAATACGATAGAAACCTTCCCTAAGCTACCCATAACATAATTCCTGTTCGAAACATAGCAACTCTGTTTTCCTCACCGCGGTGGAAGAGGGAGAGAGGCGTGGACTTTCAAAATAAAAGGACGCGCGGCAACAAAAAAAAGCAAAATCAGTGTCGGCCCCGTAAAACTGTACAAACTATTATAATCCGATTAATAAATCAGTTTTAAATAAAGTCCACTTTTATTAGAATAAGTCTTGCACCCAACATCTCATCGGAATGGAGCCAAAAGTTCAAATTAAACATTATACCAAAAAAGCATACTAAATAAAATTAACTCTGATTACCTACTAGCTTGATGGCCGCAATTTTGTTTGCGTGGGCCACAGTTTATATGCCACGGACCAATGGGACTTGTGCTCAACAGCAGTGAGACAAAAGTTAAGTAATACTTTATTTGTACTACTTCCATATTAAATTACATGAAAATTCCTGTCATCTGCCCACCGTGCCATAGGTCTTCAGACACCACTGCGATCTAATCTTGGCCACCATTCCGTGACTGTCTTACTGTATCCATAATTTCGCCTTGTTAAGTGTCCAGCCCGACTTCATTTCAGATCCGGTACTCTCTTACTTGTTATTAAACTATTAGTAAAATCGAGGACACGAACATCCAATCACATAGTTTGCAACAAAGTTATCATTACATCGCAAATGGGTTATATAGGTACGTGACACGGACGAACTGGTTAAGCGATATGAACCATTCCAATAACATAATACAAAATGAACGCTTACTTTGAAATTC